ACTGGGTTAGAACTAAATTCTGCTTGTATTTGATTGGCCCAAGAAGGGGTAAAGTATTCTCAGCGAATATTGATTCATCTATGAGAATCAAACCACTCATCCAAACTCTCGTTGGTATAAAATATAATTTTCGAATTGACTACGATTAAAACTATTTTAGAATTTCTAAAATTTCACTAGGTGAGTATAAGTATTCCTATAATTCTCTCCTTATTCCCATTTTTAAATATAGATATAGGTATAGATATAGATATAGAATACATACTATATATAGTTAGAAAATATTAAAAAAAATCAATCATATAATTAAACTAATTCTGTAACCGAATACAATATTAAAATACATAGATAACTTTGATCGTGTCATATTTCCATATTAAAATACCATAATTAGTACCTCCTTTTTTATATAAATACAGGAAAAAAATAATTATTTTTAATGAATACAGGAAAAAATTATAATTTTCTCAAATATAAATTAAAAAAGATTATAAAGTATTCGTAAAACACTAAAAGGTAACTATTAAACTTTAAATAAACACTTTAATTTTTTTTTTTAAGTCTCTAAATTTCTCTGTCTCCTTCAGACCATTTTTTCTAATTTTAAATTATTAAAAACTCTTAGAATTTTAAAATACGCATAATGTTGATTTCTTTGTAATTCTTGTTTGATCTTTCCAATTATTTTTATAAAATCATACTCTATCATTTATGGTTAACAAACTCAAACTATTATCGAACTCGAACTTAACTTATTTAATATTTCAATTCATTAATAAGCTATCAATTTGAAAGATGAAAGTAGACAATGTTAAACCATAAAATTTGAATTATTTCATTTGAATTCTTAATTTTCATTTCATTTTAGTTCATTTTGAATTTTTTTATATAATTTTAGCTCTTAGTTCTTATTTCGTTGGTGAAAAGAAAATTCAGAACATACTCTATTGAATTTGATTGAGACAGTTTTTGTAATTAAGGGGAAAAAAAGAAAGATTAGAATGGACTAACCATCCCCTTCTGACAAATACTAATGAAAAAGCATTATTATTCATAGCAATGACAGAAAGGCATCAAGAATTAGGAAATTAAGCTAGAATATATGAAATTATAGAAATTAAAATTTACTTAATTAAAATTTCAACTATGGAAAGTTGTTGCTCCACTTTAAAGAATTAGATAGAATTGGCTCATGTGGGCTTCACAATAGTCAGAGCCTCGTAGTATTTTAAATTGTAATATTTTTAATTTTGAATATAATATTTTCTTGATTAAGAAAAATCCAAATAACAACTCAAATGTAATATTGAGAGGTGAATTTTATATGGAATGCATTTTAAATATTAAATCTAAATTAACAGTTTATTGACCTAAATACTACCAATTAATGTAAAGAAATGATCGTTGAATGATTAAAAAGTAATATATAGTGCTATTTTATAATTATTATAGTTTTTTACCATGTGTTTTCGCATATAGTCTTTATTTTTTTATTCATACTCGTGATTTAATGTTTTTAATAATAAATTTAAATTTAAATTTAAATATGAGGATTATTAATATATTAATCCTTAGTAATTAGTCATCATCATAGTAATTGAGTTGAAGTATTAGTCATTTAGTATTATAATTTAATTGTGATATTAGAATTATAATTAAATATTAGGTCCTTTAATGTCAATGATAAAATATTAATCTTCAAGATTTCTAATTGAGGATTTTTGTTTTTGAAGGGAAGGTAAGTTCAAATATTAATTTTTTTAATAACACTATTAGTTATGAGATAGGTCTTAAAACTCAAAAGAATCTAAAAATAGAAAATATTTTAAATTCTATGTCCAAACCTTATCTTGCACGTAAAAAATATAAAAATTTTAAAAATAAAATCCATACAAATTTTGATATGTAATCATTACAAAAGAATCTAAAAATAGAAAAGATTTTAAATTCTATGTCCAAACCTTATCTTGCACGTAAAAAATATAAGAATTTTAAAAAATAAAATCCATACAAATTTTGATATGTAATCATTACATTTCATAAAATCTAGCATTTGGATGTGTAGCTTTCTACTTATGTCCAATTTTATTATTAAAAATGAAACATTACATGTCTAAAATTGATGATACCTCCTTTTGTATTCAATTGCAAATATAACATAATCTAACAAGACAATAAAATTATTACCTAATAGCTGTGGCAAATATCTTTGTGTCTGGGTTTGAACCTCACCCTTAATTATGATCGTAATTCTAAAGTTATCAGTTTTTATTTTAAAATCATTGGTTTTAGTCATAAGAAAAGTGTAATCGAAACCGAACAATTTTTAAGCAGTTTCTAGGACGGTTTTGGAATGACTGATTTCAATTTTGTTTCGATTTGGAACTAAAATTAGCTAATTTTTTCAAAATTTTCAAAATTCTTTTTTAACTTTGCAGTAGTATTGAGAAGAATAAACCAATTTAATAAAAATTCTTAGAATTTATTTTAAAAATTATAATAAAACAAAAGGATGAATTGAGATTTTTTCTTAAATATTTTTTTTCACAATTCTAAACCAAATCGGATGGTTTCTAGTTTCAAAAAATGAAAAATCAGAACTGATCTATACGTATATGATTTTGCTTGCAATTTAAATCTATGCATTGTTATGATATCAATTCGGTTTCAATTTGAAACAGAAGTGTGATCGTGCCTATTGACCCATTTAATTTATAAACTCATTAAAGAACTTTAAAGATCTTAAAGAAATAATAGATAAATGTTGCAATTAAATATAGAAAATCAATCTGTTGATCGAAGAGTATTAAATTTCTTAGAAAAGTAATAGATAAGTGTTGCGATCAAATATAGAAAAATCAACATGTACTAGACAATTCTGAATAAAAGAGCTAGCTATATAAATTAATTGTTCACAAATTTATCATAAGCAGCATGTTATGTCTATATGTATTAAACTATATATCAAATAGTGACATTCTTCCTCTTGAAAGATACAAAGCTATAACAATATTAAGGCATTCTTTATTTTCAAACTACAACTTATTTTTTAAAAGTATTTTTTCACAACTTATTTAACATTGAAAATTAGTTAAAAATTATTAAAATTTATCGTTTAAATAATAAAAATAAAACTTGGTTACAAAAAAGTCGTCAGCATGCCATTTTTAGCGAGCGAAAAATTGTTTATAGCAAAATTTAAACAAAATCTCAATAACCAAAGAAAATTTGTTTAATAACATAAATAAAAATTTATGGTATTTTTTCTCTAGAGAAAGTAAAACACACACACATATAATAATAATAATAATAATAATAATAATAATAATAATAATAATACAAAACTTTCACAATAGAATTTTAATTTCTAATTGAGATTGAAAAACATTCTATTATGATTGGTGAGATATACTTACTGCAATATTACATAATTTAGTTTTATATCAAGGTTAATAACATCTATAATATGTAATATTATCAATTTTCATAATGTAAATTGTTTTTGACTTATTATGTTCTTTATGTTCGTCAAAATTTAATATAAAACTTTTTACGTTTGTCCAAACATTTATGTTAATATTAATATAATTACATACAAATATCTTATTTAACAATTTTTAATTAATATAATTTTCTTGTTACACAATCAACTTCCTAAATTAAAATTACAATCTTTCGTAATAATAAATTTTGTATTTTAATTAATAGCAATAGAATTTAAATAGGAAACCAGTATGATGAGTCAAATTAAATTCTCTTTATTTCTTTAACCAATAAAATTAAAAGCCTTAAAGATATTTTTATCAATTCATAAATTTAGTAGGAATATTTTTGCCGACCCTAGTGTTTTTCACCCTATAAATATAAAATAAATTTTAAATTATTTAAATTTACAGTTTTTTTATAAAAGAATCTTAACTAAAATAGTAAGTAATATATTCAATCAAAATAAATATTTTATTTATTTAAGTTTTAGCCAATAATATTTGGATTTAAGTAGAAAACTAACATAAACAATCAAATTTAAATATTACTTAAAATAATTTATTTTTTAGCCGATGAAATTAGAGAGCAAATTATTATTATTAAATTTAAACATGATTTATTTTGGCATATATATATATATAGAATGAAATTTTAATTTCCTTTTATCTGATAAATTATAGAGCGTATTGAATTAGCTTTAAAAAAAAATTTACTCAAATTAAATTTGACTTACAAATTTAGATAATAAATTTATTAATTTAGCCTAGACAAATAAATTTATTTTATTACTATTCGAACATCGCCCTATAAATATAAAATAAATTTTAAATTGTTTAAATTTACAACTTTTTTTAACAAAATCTTTACTAAAATAGGAAGTGATATATTCAATCAAAAAAATATTTTCTTTATTTATTTTTGTAGTGATAGTATTTAGATTTAAGTAGAAAACTAATATAATCAATTAAATTTAAATATTACTTAAATATAATTTATTTTTTCGCCAATCAAATTAGAGAGTAAATTGTCGTTATTAAATTTAAACATCCCTTCCTCTCTCACACACACTCGCACGGATGGAAAATTTTATCTTTTTATCTAATAAATTATATAGCATATTGAATTAGCTTAAAAGAAGCTTTTTACTCAAATAAATTTAACTTACAAATTCAGACAAGTAGTTTGTTGATTCAGTTCAGACCAATAAATTTATTTATTACTATCCGAACATTGTCCAAATGAATAAACTAAAGGTCTAATAAGTTATCAATAAAATAAAATAAACCACCTTAAAACTTCATTTTGTAAATCAAAATATTGTATAATAAAATATATTTATTATAATTATATTTTATTTCAACCTGCGAAATAACCAGATACATTTTCAACCTGCCAATAAAGTATAATACTCCAGATACATGTATATGTACATGAAGGATTATTAATTATTAATTATTAATTAACATGCCAGTTCCCCTATAAATAGAGAAACTGGCCATGCCCATATTCACCAAAAACGAAAAACAAAGTTCAAAGTTAAGTAATTTTGAATCGTTAAGGAAATGGGGAAAAGGGTGATGATGGGGTTTTGGGCATTTGGGTTAATCGTTTTGCTTATGAGTAGTGCGAAAACTGTGCATGGAATTACATGCGGTGGAGCCTTAATAGCATTGCAGCCATGTCTCTCTTTCTTGGTCGGCATTGATCCGTCGCCGGATGCTTCTTGCTGTCAGGCTGTTGCGTCGATAAACCAACAGGCCAACACTAAAGAAATACGCCAGCAGCTCTGTCAATGTTTCAAACAATCTGGTTCATCTTTCGGAGTCCAGCCTGAGAAAGCTAAGCAAATCCCCGACCTGTGCCATGTCCAGGTCCCTGTGCCAATTGATCCTAATGTGGATTGTAGCACGTAAACCCTATTACCCTCTTTTTTCAAATTTTGTTATACTGTATTAAATTAAATTGATTAGATTTCATCCAGAGTTTAAATCGGTGATAAAATAAATTTTAAATCAAATAAAGCTGATTAGATTCGACTAAAGGCGAATTAGTATCACACAATCTTGAAAATAATTAAGATCATTAGTTATTTTTTTTATATTTGTTAGAAATTTAAATAATTTTTTGCTGTTTGTTCTTGTTTGTGATGTGCAGGATTAATTAATATCTACCAAAAAAGACTTGCCTAAAGAGTAGGGGAGCATGTCTTTGTTAATAAATCCAGTGTTTGGAGAGTATTGATTTAAATATGTAGGCATGTAGGACTTGCCTAAAGAGTAGGGGAGCATGTCTCTGTTAATAAATCCAGTGTTTGGAGAGTATTGATTTAAATATTTAGGCATGTATGGAGAAAGATAATATTAATAAGATAATATTTGTGTTTATTATCAAATTTTTGAGCCTTATAATCTACCAATTTCAATAATCTTTTGATCCATATGTCTATACCAATTTGTTTAATATTTTTTGTTACTTTCAAACTATGTTGCATGCAAATGGAAGCGGACAAAAAGTGAAAAAGAGGAAATAATAAGGAAAAATGATATTTAAAATATAATTTTACGTGAAAAAAATAATATTTTATATAAAAAAATTGATAGGGGAAAATGTTAATTTGGGATAGGAGTAAACCTATACATCAATACCTACACCTGAAGAGAATATACCATGTAAATAAAAATTTAATCCAATGTGCAATTGTTCAGAGCTTAATTTGTAGAATATGATAATAATTTTTCTATTCATGTGGGGTTCGTAATAATGCATAAAAGATGGATAAGAATGTTTAATAACATTGCATCAAATTGAACTTATCTAAGCTCGATATATCCACTCATACACCAATCAATTAATGAAGGTATTTTGTAAAATTACTTTTATTTTATCCTTTTTTTCTAGTGAATGGTCATAAATACCCTTTTCCTAAAAACAAAAAATTAATTTTTATGGATTAAGATATATAAGTAAGCCTATATACCATGTATAAGTAAATGTTTCTTATATCGAGTGAGCCTACTATTTTTCTGAAGTTGCGATTTTGGTAATATTATACTTCTCTCTGTACCAGTAATAATAGTTTTTAGCATTTATCCGCAAAATATTTACTTCATGCATGGTTAATTTAATTTTTGAATAAAAATTTTTCTATTTTTAAATTATCCAATAAAGGTATAATCGATTTAATTTTATAAGTTCGAACATTGAATAAAATCATTTTACAAATTGAAATATTTAATGAGTGCAATTTTATAAGTTAAAATATTAAATAAGTCAAAATAAAAATTAAAGTACTCAGTAACTTTTTTAGCTTAATTTCACTCCGCCTTACTAAACTACACCTATTATATTGTCACCCCTGAAATTATGACACAAAAATTCCTCAAAATTAATTTGTATCACAAAAGCGAATTTAACCCGATATCCGACTTTTCCGAATTTAACCCGATATCCGACTACGCCAAAAAAACATACGTGGAAAGCCAACTTAGATCATGCTGGCATACGTAGAAAGCCAACTCAGATCCTTCTGGCATTGCATAACCCGACCGGATATCAAATTAAATTCACCAAATTAATTAATTAATTCGGGCTGAAATAATTAACTGACTGATTTCAACTTAATTAACCCTAATATTTTAATTAAATTAATCCTAATATTTATTGTTTAATTCTAAACATTAAACAAATGTTTTTTTATTCTTCATACCAAATTGGCAGAACTGTTTGCTCACTCCTACATATTACCGACGTGAGAATTTTCTCTCCCATTTCTATGTTCCCTTAAAGAAATCTCCAAAAACGCCCCACCAAAGCAAGTATAAGAAATGACTTCTTCTTCTCTCCCCCCCCCCCCCCTGATACAAACACTATCCCCACCCCTTCCAGAGGACAAAGCTGATTGGTCTGGAGGAAAACATGCATAGCGATTCCTTTCCCAGTTCATATTCACCAAGTAAAGCAAATTGTAAGCCATTCTCAGTCTAACATACATCATGAGTTCATAATGTCACCAAGTAAACATCAGAAATAAGTCAGTGACTGAGGTCTAGTTCACTGTCAAAATTGAAAATTCAGCAGCATCTACTATTGACTACTGAGATGGTAAACTAAGCACTAAAACCTGGCTACACCCAGAGATCAAAAGAGCGCACGGGATCATATGATATAATTCTAGACTTCACACTCAGGTTCCCCTCCCTTTTTTGTTTTTAAGCAAACTCCATCTATACACTAATTGATGTTGAAAATCCTGATACAAGCTGAAAAGTATATGATTAGCGACCTCTGCCACGTCCACGACCACGCCCTCGTCCCCGACCACGTCCCACAGGCCTCCCTGAAATCATGACAGTTAAGTAAGATTTTTTGGGTTATAATACATCATAGTTAAATATCAAATAATTGGATACAGAAGAAAAAGGATGTCAAGTGTACAATACCAGCGGTCGCCTTCTTGGGCTTAACCCTTGGTGTTTCCTCCACAAGTAAAGTTTCCAAGTTCAAGCTGTCAGGGAGTATATAGTAGCGGATATTGTTGCCTCTCACGCTTAGATGATCAAGAGTAACTGGATACTTCCCCTTTACTGTCAATTTCACAGTCTTCAAGTGTGTGTTCATACTAACATCCACACCTATGAGATTCCAAAAAAACAACCATTTAGATTTAGGCAACCATTTTCATATAGCCTCAATTTTCCTTCATAATCCGAGGAAGATAGCAACACAAAATGAAAGACTCCAAATTACAGTTCAAAATATATGCATAAAAATAATTCTTCCTAAGATTCAGAGGTGTAAGACAGAGAAAGATTTGGAGGACAAAGACAGCGAAAGATTCAGAGGCGAGAGAATGTGGCAAAACATATTCCTCAGTCCTCTCAACTTGGATGCGCAACATTGAAAATAGATTCGTAAAAAAAATGAGGAATATTGGTTTAGCGCTATTACAGAAATGATGAATGCTTTTCCAAATTTCAAACAACATTTAATTGTGATATATTACTGACATCTTAACCTCTTTCTAAGACCTAAGCTCACAGAGTCTGTTACAATAAATATTCAGGATAATAAAAAAATATAGGAGGGCAATGTAGAATTAAAAAGAAAAGAAAATTAAGCAAGCTCAGGTACTACTTCTTTTCTTGACAAGGATGAATGAAGATAAATGAAAATTGAATGAAGCACAAGTATTAAAACTTAAAGAGTCCGTATATGTTTTGGAGGGGATATATAATACATTAGAACTCCCAGCAACGTTCAGATCATAATAAAAACCGCTATATTAATTAAAAGGCTTAAAATTGAAAAATAAACCAAAACTAAATCACAGATCCGCCGATAATAATTGAAAGCAAAATAAATGAAAACTTGTTGGAAGTCTGAAGGGAAATAGTGAAGTATTTTGAGAAATTAACAAACAAGCACCGAGCCTATCTAAGAATACACTATGAGAGGAAAAATAATATACCTTAATATGAATCTAATGTGTGCCAAAGCTCTTGATGCTAGAATCGTAAAGACTGAGTTTCTATAAGTATCAAAACCCACCAAGACAATTGCATATCCTCATGCTCACACCTAATATCTTTCTGTAGTGGAGATAGAGCATCAACTCCTATGGCCATGTTCTATTCTATCAGCAAAGCAAAAAAATACTACCTGAAGAGAAGTTGTTTGCGTATCAATTAAAGTTCATAGCCTTGTAGGGAAGAGCTAAAAAGAATGGAGACAAGTTATATAGAGAAAAGAAACACTCGCCCATTCCTCCTCTTCGCAAGTGAAAAGCAATATCCAATGAGTAAACCAAATCAACACGAAAAGTTCATGAACATAATATTTCTGGCAATTAATTGTTAATTGGCTCAAAAAATCTAACTCATTAAACAAATTGAAGAAATTTATCAGTATTACATTAGCTACAAAAGGAGGGATATTGCAAAAAAAATTTGGTAAAAGTACTGCACATCTTGGAACCTATTCCTAGAACATCCCTGCTATTGCAGGCAAAATCTAGCAACCCTCCTTCAAATCTTGCCCTTAAAATGCATCACCAAGAAGTTCTCAAATAACAATCCAAACAAATAAAATCAAAATAAGGATCAGAAATTAAAACACAAAGCATAAAGTAATTTCCATTCAGTAACTAAACCAATGAAATAAAAAGGGGAAAAGTTAGAGAGAATAACCTGTGATAGTGCCATGAACAACAGTTCCATTTTTGAGCTCAATTGATACAGTCTCGTTGTTTAGTTTCATCAAAAACCTAACCATAAAGATTCAAATGGAAAATTACAGTGAGAAGTAAGAACATGAAGCTTAGATTTCGTTAAGGTAAGAATATATTTTACATTTTTGCTAACTAAAAAAATAATAATTAAAAAAAGAAAGAAAGAAAGAGAAATAGTATTACCTGACGAGCTTCATCTTGAGCACCGGGAACGCGAAGAAGAAAGCAAGAAGAAAGGCCCTCAGTATAAAGCTCTAGTGTTGCGAGAGAAGGAACGATCTGATAATTTTGCATGGGTTATTGGGCTTCAGTTCAGAATTATGGTTTCGGACCTTAGCCACCTTGAATTGAAATTGGAATTTTTAATGGGCCGATACATGGGCCTCCATTTGTAAAGGAAATTATGGCTAGGAACCGAACTTCTAGATCAAAATCGAATCCAACTGAAGTACTGTAAGGACCTAATTGAATTGTATTGGCTTGATTCCATCAATTTAGTCTATTTTCAATTTGCAATAGTATCGATTTGATTTTAAGCTTAACCAATTGAATTTTATAAAATTGAAGAGAATTACTTTGAAACTTCGGTTTGAATTAAAGTAAGCTAAGAATTAAATTTTGTGAGCAAGCTAACCGAACCAAATAATGTCAGTTCAATTTTTGATTTGGTTGGATCAATCATTTTATCTAATCTTAACTAAAATAAACTATGACGACAATTGAAAATTTTTAAGGTTCTATTTTTTTTTTTTTTTTTTTTTTTTTTTTTTTTTTTTTGTTACATAAAAGGAGAAGAAGGTCTAACGAAGGTGGCCAACACCGACTAAATCATGAGACAACAAAGATAGCATATCCTGAGAGAAAGTGAAGTAACTGAACATCCAGACCGAAAGCCAATGCATATTTGATAGCTAATCCGCATAAAAATTAGCCTCCATGCTTATGACGAACCCCGAAGGAAACACCCGTCTGAAACAGGCTTTTAATCCGATGCACAAGAGAAAGAGAATGGAAAACTGCTGGAGGAACAGCAACACCTTGGACACATTGAACAGCAGCTAAATTATCACATTCAACCTCCACCTGCTGAAAGTTCTGAGCCAAAGCCATTTGGAGGCATGAGTGAAGTGCCCACAGCTAAATTAATTTTTGAGGTTCTATTTAATAAGTTATAACATAATTAAGTACATTTACTAGAAATATATTTAATTATATTATATTATACCTTACCAAATGAAGTCTATTATTTTTCAAACTAGGCCAACACATAAAAAAATGTAATTAAGTTTAATTAGAATCAATTACAATTTATATTTCAAAAAAAAAAAAAAAAGAATCAATTACAATTTGTTTCATAAATATTATCTAAATTTTAACTTTCACAGATTTCTTTTTTTCTAAAATTAATTTGGAATCAAAAGTTTGATTATGGGACCAAATCAATTTGTGATTTTTTAAATAGGTCAAATACTAATTAGTGATACTATATTAGAATGGATTATAAGAGGATTTGTATTTTAGTTTTAAGCTAATCAATTGAAGATTGTATAAGGTTTGAATTTCGGGTTCGGGTTTATAATAGTAATACCCATATCTTATCCATATCGAAAAATAAAACTTTCAGGTTTTACTCATACCCTATCCAAACTCAGTCAAAATCCTAAAATTCGAATTTGACTGGATTCAGGCTGGGTGCATACTCATCAGGTCGGGTTGATTTTGCTATCCCTATAAATACATACTATATAAATTGTTCAAAATTTAATTCAAATGTATAGAATTATTTATGATATAAATCAATTCCCTATAAAAAAGATCATCTGCAACATCGCGGGCCTAAAAAGCTAGTACAGTAATAAGCCGTAAATATTGTCCTTGTAGTACTATCACAAGTAAAGTAATTATTTTTTATAATCTATACTATATATAAATGTGGGAATAGGAGAATAATGAAATTTCTGATAGTACCCTTGATGAAATTTATGATATCCTAAAATAATTTTAGTTGTAGCCAATTTAAAAAATTACATTTTATTAGTTGATTGGATATATTTATAAAAATTATTTTTTAAGCCAATCATATGTGATCTGATTGTCTTCTCACTTATGTGAGTCACTTATGTAGAAAAAATTCGAGAGAGTCCGAGTTTTGAAATCCCTCGATCACAAGTATTTTTCAACACCAATTTGGTGAGTGAGAGTTATCTCTTATCTTATAGATCTCAGTATAATTTCAGCTAATGCTGAGTCTCCTAATGAATAAAAAAATATTATTATTAAATAAATACATAAAATAATTAAGCAATTTCAAAATTAAGTTTATCCTTATTACAATTGTTTATTTAATAAATAATACATAATGAGGAACATGTGAAATTATTTATTATTTTATTTATTAAATATTAATTCTTTTAGAGAGTAAGATAAAAAAGATACGAAATATATATCTTTTATTAATATTCTTTTTTTGTAATGATTTATTGGAAAATTTTCAAGCAAAATAATAATATTTATTTAGAAAAAGAGATAAAAATATAAAAAACAAAGTACTATTTTTTCTTTATGTTTGTAAATTTTGATTGGATATATTTTTAAAAAATAAATTTTGAAATAAAATTTATATAATTAAACATGAGGTGGTAAATAGTTGAAAATTTTAATTTTAAAAAAAATATATAATATTTTATTGATATATTTATATATCTATACACATTGAAACTTTTTTTCTTAGGTGAGTTTTGAAAGAGTTTTATTCTTAATAATATTTTTTAATTTTTTTCGTCACTAAATACTTTGTAGCTACTATCAGTTTAATTTAGTAAGAGACTTTACAATAAATAGATAACCTATTGATGATTAAATAATTTTAATTTTCTTGATATTTTTTTCTCTTCTATCCATAATCTATTTGACTTAAAAGAGAATAATGTTTAGGAAACTAAAAAAAAAAACTAGAACTATATATTTCTGTTCGATTCACTTTTTGAGATTTCAAGAATTTGTGTATATGTGCATATATTCCTTTTTCTGATACACTGGATAAGTAGTACTGCGATTGTAGCTAAAGTGATTTCCATTATCAATTCATATCATCTTCTCATTTTTTTTTTCTTTTGCCTAATAGTAAAAATTAAGTTATTATTATTATTTTCCTTATAATTGTATATAGATATTGATTTAGAATTTAGGACAGGAAGTTAAAGATTGAATGATGACTTGATTTAAGGACTAAAGGATTAGGTCTAGAGACGGGGTTGAACTCTATTCTAAGATCACTTCATTATATAAAAATAGAATTAAATACATAAGAAGTAATATTGCAAGTAATTTGTACGACAAAGTGTAATACAAATTAACCACTTATATTTATTTTAATCTGAATAAAACTTATGCTTTAATATTATATAGATAAAAAAATGAATATATAACGAGTATAGTCAATGTGTAATGCACATCATACAAAATATTAGTATATATAAAAGTACGAATAGGGAACAATGGATGCCTAAAACACCCGTACGAACTTTCAATTTAATTGTTAACAATAAGGATAATTTAGTCATTTATTAATTAGAAATCTTTTAATTTTATTAGTATTTTTATTTCTATTTGAATCTAAATTCTATTGAAAAATTTAATCTAATCCTATTCTAATTTTGATATCAATTTATTATTTTTATTATGTTAATATTAATTAAGAAGTTGTTCTATCATACCATTATATATATGTTTAGTTTAATTGTTTTTTACTATCAATTCTTAATTGTATTTCGCTATCAAGAATTTGTTTCTTTTACTATCAAAAATTATTATTTCAAAATTTAAGTTTTCTTGAAACTCCTTATAATTTAGTAATTACTTAATCCTTCTCGTTTGTATTTAGAGTTATAAATTTATAGATTTATAGATTCGCTATAAGCTTGACAAAGTGTTCCTCGTTTGTATTTAGAGTTATAAATTTATAGATTTATAGATTCGCTATAAGCTTGACAAAGTGTTCCTCGTTTGTATTTAGAGTTATAAATTTATAGATTTATAGATTCGCTATAAGCTTGACAAAGTGTTCCTCGTTTGTATTTAGAGTTATAAATTTATATTTTAATTTGGATTGTAAATTAATATTTGTCAGGTAATATATTTATTTTTATTTTCAAGTGTTCGATGGAACCAAGAGAATTTCAATATTCACAAAGTATAAAATAATAAAATATAATTTATTTAGTATAGGGAAGGAATTCGAATTTAATTTATAGAGATTGTAATACATCTTACACTACTAATTATGAAGCCTGGTGGCATGATTTCCATAATTTTTTGCTTAATATAGAATTTTCAAATTTAACTTTGTATTGTATTTATGATTAACAATATCATATAAATATTAAGTCCACCGTCCCTAATAGGAAACAAGGTCCTAAAGGCCTTTCTAAATTAAATGACAAAACATGCACAAACCTTTAATTTTAATGGTTGAAAAAATAAAGCTTAGTTTAAATTTTTGGTCGGGTATTAATTTTTTCAAATGCTAAATTCACCTATTAGAAAGTTTAATTTAAATTCTAAGACGTACATCAATTTATATAGAATAGAAAAAATAATAATAAATATAAAATAATACATAAATAGAGAAGAGACGAAAAATCATAAAATTTAATAGAGATAAAACAATCTTATATAATGATAATAAATGATATTAGATTTATTATGATAGAAGAAACATAAAAATAAATAATAATAATAAAATTTTCATAAAATTTATTTTTTATTTTAGAAAGTAGTTTTCTAAAAAGTAAAGAAAAAAAAAAACAAATTTAAACAAACAAGTTTTATTTATTTTTTACAGAAAAAACGAAAAACGAAAAACTTAATCTAAAACAAAGAGCACCTTAGTGGGCGAATTTCTTTCTTTTGCTTTCTTTTCATTTTGTTATCGTCTGCTATGTATTTTTCACTGTCATTTATGGTTGATATTTATTCATCTTGCAATTATTGATTTATTCTTTTTTTGGAGTTGGAGGAGTCTGAATCTCATTCTACTGTGTTCTTACTTTTTTTTATTTTAATCTAAACTTCTTGGATTTTTTTAACTATAGTTTTTTTTTTTTTCCTTTGTTTTAGGTTGTAAACTTTTTCAAACTTTCTTTTACTGTTTTAAAGTTGGCTAAATCATTAAAAATACCTCAAACTATGCGGATAATTTTAATTGTATCCTAAATTTAATTTTTTTCTTTTAGTACTCCAAATTTTAATTTTAGTTATAATAACACCTTAATTTTAAATTATATCCAATTTAATGAATAAAATATTATTTTTGTTGGAGCTACACTGTCCCTTATGGTCAAGTTAACTAAAAATTCATTATTTAACAACACCTAACTAATATTGGTTGGAAATTTAAATTTATAAAAAGGCAAGTAAAATAATTAATTTTAGTTAGTTATAAGTATAAATATTAGTTTAGGTTTTTATTTTGTCATTTTTTAAGCATGAAATTTTGTTTATACTCAGGTTAAATCTCTTATAAAAATAGTTACTACGGCGTCATTTTATTTTTTGAGAATCATTACTTGTTGTCAATATTATATATATAAATAAAAGTATTTCATTTTTAAGATAAATAAAATTTTTTATTTTAATATTTAATATAAATAAATAAATAAATCTATTTTTTTATAAGCAGTGATGGTGGGAAGGAGTCTAATTTGGAAAAAATGTTAAACTGGATCCCATAAAAATAATATTTTATTCATTAAATTTGATAATATTTAAAATTAGAGCTATTATAACTAAAATTAAAATTTATAGTATTAGAAAAAGAAAGTTGAATTTACCATACAATTAAAACTACCTATAAAGTTTAAAATATTTTTAACGATTTAGTGATTAAAGTTTATGTCCCGTCTTTTGATCTTGTCAAACAATATGGATATTAGTTCTCCATCTAATTTTGATGGGCTTTGCGGCTAAGTGGCTAGAAGTAGACGAAAATACCATAACACAACATCAATCAAAATATCACTAAGGAAGAAAACAAAATAAAGAATGAAATTTCTTATCAATTCTCATAAAAAATCTAATTAATTCAAATCTTTTTTTTTCTTATTTCCTTTTATTTGCTTTGTAGATATTGTTAGCTACTTTTTGCCGCATCATTCTCTTCATTCTCTAAGGTATTAATTATTTTATCCTTGATCTACTAAGTAAATTTTTTTGATTAATTTTAAATTAGTATAAATTTGTAATTTTTTTGTTAAAAAATTTACTTTAATCATAATTGTAATTTTTTTAACATTTAATGCTTCTTTTTTTTTTTAAGTTGTTGCATATTTTTAGTTGAAAAATTTACTATACTTTGCTTTTAATGTTACATATATTATTATACTGATAAATAATAAATATTTAAATTATAATTCAATCGGAAATTTAGTCTTATCAATTCATACCAACATAAAGAAAAATCTCCTAAATAAAATATCTTAAATTATTATCAAAATAGAATTCAATATTTTAAAAATAAAATATAAAAAAATCTAACTATTCCATGTTGTGGAAAAAAAATCCATTTTGTAAACATTTTATTAAAAAATTTTATCATATAGTAAATATGTATGGTAGTGGTTTCCACTTATTTTTATGTGTGATAATTATGACTAAAAATATTAAATTTCTACGTTGACTTTGAAAAATCAATGAAAATATATAAAAAAATAAATTACAAGTAATCATTCTAATGGGTTGAACGAGTAATAATATGAAATGTACGTTCTTGATATATATAAAAAGTACAAATAGGAGAATATGGGGTTCCTAAATTGTCATTGCTAAGTTTATGAATGACAAAAATATCACTAAGAACTTTAATTTTATTGGTTGAAAATAAATATAGTTTAATTTTGATTGATTATGTTAATTTTTCTATTTAAATCTAAATTCTATTAGAAAGTTTAATTTAATTCTATTAGGAGTTTAATTTTATCATTAAAGGATTTAATTTTATTGGTTGAAAAATAAAAATAATTTAATTTTTATAGTTATTACAATAATAATTTGATCCTGTGAAATTATTATTTAACACTCTTTTGAAATGAAATGAAATGAAATGAACCTATTACTCTTTTTATTTTTTTTATCAATAAAAAAATTAATTTTATTAACTTCTAATATTCAGAAAACTTAATTTATTTAAATACCATCCCAAGCTAATAGGTCACACATACACCCACTTATATTTTTTTATATATTTTTATTTTTGTAGAAATTTTATTATTATTATTATTATTAAGTTAGTAAGTATAAATTATATCTATACATGTTGTTAATTGATTTTTAATTAGTAGGCAAATAAATTAGTAATTATATTTTATCTCTCACTTATAAGAATTTCAAGAATTATAAAAAAATTAAAAGAGTAAATGATAGTTAGATTTTTTAGTTTAAATCTAATTTAAATTATCTCGCCCATTTAAAATATATATTATGAGTAAAAATTAATAAAAAAATAAACAATTAGTAGAATTACCGAGTAAATTTTAAATCCTTATCGCAGCGGCCAAACCATACGATATAAGGATGATTGTAGAGAGTAGATGTTCAATACAAATCCGACAAGAAACAGGACAAACTATGAACTAACTCATATAAAAGCCGCTCAGGGTTGAGATACGAGGTTGGCAGCAAATACAAAGCAAGGACGCTCCTTTCCCTTATTCTTCGTCGCATTATCCTCTGCCCTTGTTGGCTGGAGTCAGGTACGCTAATCTCTGCCATTGACATTGCGAGAGGGGTTTTGGTTCTTTATATATTCTGGATCTACTAGCTTAGTATTTGGAATTGAATCATCTCTCTGAAATAGATAGTAAAACGGATGTGGCGAATTAAACGACACAAATATTTACCTGTGGTGGAATTAACTAGTGATATTATTTGGGAAATTCTTAGGCGTTTGCCTGCTGCGGATATCGTTCGATTCAAATCCGTGAGCAAAGCATGGTATTCCATTATCACTCATCCGCAATTTCTAAGAGACCATCTAAACTATGTTTCCACCGCAGAGAATGAATTCAGAACCCTCATTTTGCACGAAAACAGATTTCATCCCATCTTCTATCACGAAGAGGATAACGTCCAGAAAGAGTGTCCAGTCTTGCCTCCTCAGATGGTGATTCCTGAATTTGATATTTTTAATGGTTCTTGTGATGGTCTGTTGTTATTTCTAGCCCCACGCCGGACACGCTTTGAGGAAAATCATATCATCATATGTAATCCTTGTACTAAAGAGCTCATTAAAATACCTGTAACTCGCCCTGTTGTACATTTTCCTCCCGATTCCATTGGGCCACGAGAAGATTTATTTGGTCTTGGCTATGATCCTCACACCGATGACTACAAAGTTATCAGATTCCCTTCTGTCTTCAAGGCGCAGGAGTATACGACTTTTGATAAAAAGGATGGATTCAAATGTTTGGTTGAAGCCTACTCTTTGAAGAACAAATCCTGGAAGACCATCCAAGATGGAGGCTTTATGTACCTCATGAAACGCGTGGCGCCTAGTACAGTCAACCGACGTCCCCACTGGATAGCCACCCATATTACTAATCCTAATTCATCGCGATGTGTGATTTTCTATTTTGATGCAGGAAAGGATAATTTTGGGGATATGGTGCTGCCTCCGTCTGTTCAAAAGAATGTGAGTGTGCACAATTATAGAGGATTTCTTGGTTTGGCCGAGTATTCCATTCGGGGAGACTTCATCTTGTGGTCTATTGAAGAATATGGAAAACCTGATTCTTGGGCCAAACTCTTGACTATCTCTAATGTACCTGGACCGCAGCGTCATATTTGGTATCACGGGCCGGGGCCAGTGTTCATTACCGAGACGGGCAAAGTGCTAATAAGGACTAGAGAAGGACAACTACTCGTGTATGATGGGAAGGATGGTAAATTCATCGAACCTTTAATTCAAGGCCATAGTGACGGCTTTCTATGTCGCATTCCCTACATTGAGAGCCTCGTTTCACCAAGCGGTGGCAATTTGAGATGGTAATCACTCGATAAACAGACACCTTATTACCTGCATTCCAACATCATGAATGAGATTCAATTCGAATGGCAATGGGATTTGCATATTATGCTTCTTGTTCCTGAGAATATGTATTGCTGTCTTTTTATTATATTTTAAAATTTTCTCTCTATATGTAATGTATTATATACTTTGCTGGACTATTTGCTCCAAGCACACTTTTTTTTTTTTTTTTTTTTTTTTTTTTTTTTTTTTTTAAATAACCAAAGGCAAAAAGATTGACCTCCCTATCTGAATCTCTTCTTTACTTGTAAGTATGAAGAAACACCATCAACGGATGAACATAGCTGCATAAGTAGGATATACATTGAGGCATCAAGTTTAGACCATTGCCTGGACGGGTCATGGTAGCAAGGAACACAAGGAGCAGGAGAATCTGGAGTCTGACCATTGCCTGCTTTGAAAGCAAATGTGAAGAGAGTAATGTTTTATTGTCAAAGAGACTGGAGAGCGGTGGCAGTAGCAAAAGCAGTAAAAAAAAGAGAGAGAAAAAAAAAAAAAAGTTTCCCTCGTATATGTAACATGATAGATGCAAGACTGCTAGATCTTCCTTCCATTTTAGGTCAGTGATTAGGATTCCTCCAAAAATCATGGGAGAAACACCCAAACATAGGTGATAGACTGATAGTTGTAGTCCTGTCAATAACCATTCATCTTGGAAGAATGTGAATGTAGGCTTTTGTAAAGAAATGTTTGTTTCTGATCAATCTTGTAATAAAGAAAGGTTTTCTTAACACCACACTATCACAATAAGAACTTCGTATTTGAAAAATATCACAAATAAATTGTCTACGGGGTGCTATATCACAACTCACAAGTAATTATTTTAATTTTCAAAGAATGGAATGGACTCAGATCTAAACAACCTTGACCAGGCCATTCCCACAACTATTTCATTTACCAATGGTGCTATATCCCAGCAGCTCTCTCGTCAACCTCTCCATTTCAGTACGCAATCACAGATTTCTCCTGAAGTCAATAGGCCTTCATTTGCTTTGCATTTAAAATGGACTCTTTAACCATGTCAAGTATAGGATCATTCCTCTTGAACTGTCTTGCAAAAGCAACTCCACCATTTGATCATAATCAGAAACATTCAAGGAGTGCGGTTCCATCTTTGGACGATTGTCCCAGACCACACATCTTAGATCACTATTTACAGTAGTGTTCTTATACTCTGGTGCATTGCAAATGAGAGACTGGACATAGCCCTCTTCAGACAACATCACATTTTTCAAATACATGAGAAGGGTCTGAGGAAGGTTATTCCAACCAAGAATGCAAAATTCAGAGGAAAAATCGGCTAAAGATAAACCATGGGGAACCCGCAGTAGAAGAAAGAACTATTATTGCACATGGCATTCCACAAGTTAACGAATACCCAGAGCTTCAGCTTCTACTAATAACTCTGTCAAAACAGTATACTACTGAGACTAGACTTTGCCAGTGAATACTTTGAAAGCATCAGGTGTTGGCGGCTTGTTTGTAGCATGAAAAATCTGGCTCCTTCTTGCTAGGAAAATTCCAGGGTCAACAACAATAGGCAGGGACCTTTGAGATCTGCACCAAAATCAGGACAATATGGTTCAGATTTACTTTTACTTCCCTGCCACAAAAGTACAATTAAATTTACCAACGAGGGTTGCCTACTCTTTCCACCCAAGATCACTGGTATGATCTATGAAATTGAGGTCCCTGCTAACAGAAGAGAATTCGTGGGACAAGTCTGGAAGCAGATAACAAAAGTAAATATAAAAGAGTTAGAATAGCACATTAAGGAGAATGACAAACAGCACACGGAAGAAAAAAATAAAGATCGAAAACCTTTGCAATACAATGCAAGAGCAATATATACACCAATTACATCGAAAGAAATTCAAAGTGATAAGCATATCAACTAGGGGCACACCATCTTTAGCTGCACCCCAGAAATCAAACCAGTGTCAAGCTTATCTTGTCAATGAGAGAATGGTGAATATTTACCTCAGTTGGGCCTCAACAATTGTAATTGTGCAAAGCATTAAATTTTCTTCCAAAAAAAAAAAAAACCTGTTTGATTTTTTTTTGCCCAAGTGAAAACCCCAAAATTAAATTGATTACTTAGGTGACCACCAAGCTAGAGAAGCTACCCTGTACTTGAGAGGGAAAATTAAATTGAATCTTATTTTTATTTGTTTGTTTTGTTGTTATTGTTAGCTACTTTTTACCGTACCATTCTCTTTAAGATATTAATTATTTTATTCTTGATATGCTAAGTAAATTTTAAATTAATATAAATTTGTAATTTTTTTGTTAAAAAATTTACTTTAATCATAATTGTAATTTTTTTAACATTTAATGCTTCTTCCTTTTAAAGTTGTTGCATATTTTAGTTGAAAAATTTACTATACTTTGGTTTTAATATTACATATATTATTACACTGATAAATGATAAATATTTAAATTATAATTCAATCGGAAATTTAGTCTTATCAATTCATACCAACATAAAGAAAAATTATTAATAAAAATAATAGTTTTTTATCTCTCTCCTAAATAAAATATCATAAATTATAATCAAAATAGAATCCAATATTTTAAAAATAAAATATAAAAAAAATCTAACTATTCCATTTTGTGGAAAAAAAATCTATTTTGTAAAACATTTTATTATATAGTAAATATGTATGGTGGTGGTTTCCACTTATTTTTATGTGTGATAATTATGACTAAAAATATTAAATTTCTACATTGACTTTGAAAAATCAATGAAAATATATAAAAAAATAAATTACAAGTAATCATTCTAATTGGTTGAATGAGTAACGATGTGCAATGCACGTTCTTGATATATATAAAAAGTACAAATAGGAGAATATTGTGTTCCAAAAATGCCCCTGGTAAGTTTATGAATGACAAAAATATCACTAAGAACTTTAATTTTAATGGTTGAAAATAAATATAGTTTAATTTTGATTGGTTATGTTAATATTTTTATTTAAATTCTATTAGAAAGTTTAATTTAATTTTATTAGGATTTTAATTTTATCATTTAGGGCTTTAATTTTATTGGTTGAAAAATTATTTTTATAATTATTACGATAATAATTTGATCGTGTGAATACGTGTTTATACTTATTACTCTTTTGAAATGAAATGAACCTATTACTCTTTTTATTTTTTATCAATAAAAAAATTAATTTTATTAACTTCTAATATTCAGAAAAACTTAATTTATTTAAATACTATCCCAAGCTAATAGGTCACACATACACCCACTAATATTTTTTTATATATTTTTATTTTTTAAAAATTTTATAATATTTATTATTATAAATAAAAAGGAAACTAACTTAATTAATTATGCTTCCCTTATAAATAGAGTGACATCCACAAATTCTTTCCACGCATCATCACTGCCAATCTCGCAGTCAAGAACAACTTTCTTTTCTTTCCAAAGCAATCAAGAACCCCAAGAAAGTATTGAAAATTCCACTATGACATCTTTCTTTTCTTTGCAAGCAATCAAGTAAATTTCTTTGAAGAGGTAAACATAAAATATATGTTGTCTTCTTTTTTTTTCTTTTTTTTCTAACATCTCTTCAATGTGATTTCGTTTTTTTTTTTTTTTTAAGCCAACAAAAATCTAATCTCTATGGAGTATATAGTCATTGTATTTGTAAAATTTAACATTTCGTATTTTCTCAAAATTATACATACAAAAAGTATTATTTTTTATATGATTCCTGTTATTGATTGAATTAGTTTCTATCTTCAGTAGAACAAAATTTCTATGTTTATATTGAGTATATTGCTATAATATTAAAAGTCTTAGTAGATCACTTAACTAGATGTAAACACAATGTAACAAATCAAAACATAATAATATAAATTTCAAACAATCAGCCCATATTGCCATAAATAATAAATCTCATAATTATATTATACTTTGGCCCAAATCTAACATCTTAAACATTTTATAGAAAATGAACATACAGTCGGTCAAGCAAATGTCACAACATCAGCATCCACAAGTAATCAAACAAGTGGAAATTGGTTGGTGGCGTCACCGAAACCCCCGATGTACCGTCCTTACACATGGCTCATCCTCTCATGACGTGTGCACCTGGGAGCCGATTCCCGGTACATGGCCGACCGTTCTAATCCTCGCTTGACCAGCTCTCTCATTTTTTTTTTTATATATTGTCTTTTCTTTTCCATACTAATAGGATGTCACCCTGTGGTTTTCCATATAATTCATATCATCATATGTATACGGGGTCACCGATCTCTCCATATATGGCCGACGGTATCGAAGACCACCCTCACAAACCCATGGTGACCGACGTCATTCCAATTCCACACAAAGAAGGCAAATAAATGTCACAACACAAATAATCAAACAATAATCAAACAATGCCAATTAAATGCAAGACAACACAAATAATCAAACAATGCAATTAAATGCAAGCATAATAAATAATTAAACATTGTCATGCAAGAGCACAAATAGACATTCATATACCAATTCCAACAAATATTAAAAAAGTAATAATAATAAATAAATAAATAAATAAAGACAAATCTCCCTACTTAAAAATAAATCAAATTAAAGAGTTATACTAAATTAAGCCTATTTACTTAATTATTAAACATTACTAGCCTAATTCTATCAAAATTTCGGCAGCATCACCACAAAAAATTAGACCATCCACCCGTTTAAATATCAACAATTTCATTAAATATTCATTCAATCCACACAGCCCATCCGTCGGGCAACCAATAAAGTTAAGTTCCCATCCTCCTTCCACCTCAACATCAGCATTCAATTTGCTCTAAGCATATTATCAAGCATTCTTGCTTCTCAAAATAATTAGTTTCTTTAGCTAATTATCAAATAAATAAAACATTTTATACGTACAAATATAAGCAAATTGTTGTACATTTAAATTAATTAACTTTAACTATAAAACTCGGTTAACATCAACATCAACATTTAATTATCACAACTGATTTACATAAACTTAATTTACGTTTCGAATGATATAATCTATCAATTCTTATAGATGTACATATACCTATATGAGCATGAATGTACGAACAGCTCCCATCGTTAACTCTTACTCGCATGAATGTACGAACAGCTCCCATCGTTATCTTACTCAATATTCCTTTAAACGAACAGCTCCCATCGTTAACTCTTACTCAATATTCTTTAACTGATTACTTCTCACACACTTAAATAGGTATGTCTCATAAATCAAGCACAAATTATATATATACATTTCTTTCTTCACATTATTGCAATAACCAAATTCTCGATGCTAGTTTAAAGGTTCTTAGATTAAGTTTTTATATTAAATAAAAATATAACTAATAAATTCAGCTCACTTTATATATTTAAAAAGTATCAAAACATACTCGTTCTTGGTTTCGATTAGACAAAACTGATAAGAGTCAGTCTCGCAGCAGCTATCATTACACCGAACCTCAAGTCTCCCACAAAACTCATGTTCTATACCATAAACAATTCCTTTCTCAACATAATTATCTTTGTATAATGCTAGTCCTTCCTAATATAACATAGCTCCTATAAACACTATGCTAGCTGATGCCGCAAATAAAAATTCTTAGTCTTCTCTACCACGACAACAATATAACAGCAGCTATTATTTTCTCTCTTTGCCCGGTCGTGGAATCGTTGCCCGTTTTTCGATCGGTACGCTCTAAGACTCAATTCTCAATTTTTGTATAATTATGAATTAATTAATTAATGAATTTAATTGAGTAATTAAGTAAATTAAATTGAATAATAAGAAATTAGGTTAGTGGATTAGCCTAAATATTTATAGAACATCTATAGTCTTTTATAAATAAATTAAATTGATTAGTATGCGGTAATTGTGATAGCCGAATGTGTTTAGTTAATTGGTTTAGGATTTTGAATTGGTTTAGGATTTTAGAATAATGTATGTCCAAATTAGTTTAGAACATTGTCAAATAAATTACATGAATTACAATTATAATTAGAAAACTTGACATGGAAATGAGAATTCTTAGTTATTATTTATGTGAGTTAAATTGAGTTGATTATTTGACGATGGAAGAGCCGAGTGGACGTTGAGTTACGAAGGTGGCGGATGGGATGAGTTGATGTGAATTGCCCGGCGGATGGGCTTTGATATTATATTGTTGAATTGTGGTTTAGTCAAATTTTAGGGGAGGTTCTGCTGAAATTTCAGTAGAATCTAGGCTACACATAATTAATAAGTTTATTTAGATTCATTCTTTAACTTAATACATAATAGATAAAGTTTTCTAATTATTTTGTTATTATTATTATTTATTTATTTATTTATTTTTGATGGATCAATTATTATAATATGTTGTTGATTACTATTTATCTATTTAATTATAATTAACTATGAATGTCTACTTGTGTATTTGCATCATGTTATTATTGGATATATTATTTTTTTAAAAAAAGTTTCAAATAGGAATATATTATATTTCTATTTAGAGAGATTAGATTAAAAAAAAGTGAGCGAAAAACGATATTATTATTTATAAAATTTCATTTTGCTTTTATATATATATATATATTTGTATGTTGGAGTGTGTTTTAAAACAGTAAATTTTTGACAATCAAAAATACTTTACATTAATTAACATGAGATGGTAGACGTTTGAAAAATTTAATTTTAAAAAAATAATATTTAATATTTCTATTAATATAATTTATATATCTGTCATAATTGAAACTTTTTATTATGTGAGTTCTTAAAAGAGTTCTTATCTAATAATATATTTTTGATTCTTTCTTTCTCACTAAAAATTTGCGACTACTTATCCAGTTTAAATTAGTAAGAGATTTATATTCCTTTAACAAATAGAAATGAACCATATTGATGAGTGTAAGCATTTTTAATTTTCTTGATGTTTGTTCTTTTACTATCCAACAAAATACGTATTTGACTTAAAAAGAAAAAATGGAATTGTTTAGAAGAACTTTAGGAAAAAAAACATAGAATCTATATTATTTTGTTTGGGGTCACTTTTTGGACTTTTCGAAAGAATTTTGTGTATAATGTGTAATATCATTCTTTTTTCTGAGTATATGATATGTAATACTGCGTACTGTAATCAAAATGATTCATATGAATTCATTATCTTCTACTTTTATTTTTCTATTTTTTCTGTTTTACTTATTACAAGTTCCGTCAGTAAAGTAAAGATAATAATCTAAAACTCTATTACGTTATTTATAAATAAATCGACGAGACTATCTCCGAAGGAATCCAAGAATTCGGTAAACAGTGGAATCTGGATTTTTTTTTTTTTTTTTTTTCTTTTCTTTTATCTAGTAGTAAAAATAAATTATTATTATTTTAAAATAAATCGACGAGGGCATAGAATCCAGATTCTAAACAGTGGATCTGGATTGGGCAAAATCAAATTGAAATCCAAATAAAATTGAAATACAAAATGGCGTAAGGTACTTTTACACAAGCAAACTTGCAAGAAGGTGCTGAGGAATTTTCTGGCATTTCTCTTCGTCCTCTGGATGACTCTGATATTGATGATTTCATGGTCTGGACTACGGATGAGAGAGTTGGTAATTTTTGCACCTAGAAACCCTATGCTAGCAGAGAAGATGGGGTCATTTCTGATAATAAGTTGTGGAATTCATTTGCTTCTGATAATGCAATTTGAAATCCAAAATTTTGACTATAATTTCGAAATTGGGGTCATTCCATGGAATTCATTTTTTATTTCTCTTTTTCCTTCTTATTATATATCTTTCTAATTTTATTTTTTCTAAATTTTCTAGTATTTTTTTTTAAAGAGTATGAAGTTCCTGTCGTATACCACTATGATTATATAGTGAATCCAAATGAATTTTTAATTTTGAATATATTTTTAATCTATTAATAAAAATAAAATTTAAATATTTGTAAGGACTTAAAATATGAAATTTTAAAATTTAATTAATTAATTATGGTGGAATATGAGTGTATTTATTTATATTACTGTTTTTGTTAAATTATTATGTCAAGAGTATTTAAAAAAATAAAAATAAATAAATTTTCATTTAAAAATTATTCCAAACATAATTTGGTAGAATTCAATTGAATTTTTTTTTTTAAATTGTAGCATACTAGACATGATAAATTCATTTATATTCTAAATGAATTCTACAACTATAATTCATTTGTTCCAAACAGTACTTAAAATTGAGCAAAACCGTATCAAATTAAATTGAAAATCGAATTGACACTGTTAGATTCGATTAGCTCATAATAAGGTGGATTCTTATTATTATTATTTTTTTGGTTCAAATTGAAATATCAAGATAATTGGATTCGATTTTATAAATCCAATTAGTTAGATTTAGTTTCAAGGGAACTAACAATAATTCATATTGATAACTTTCTTCTTTTTTTTTTTAGCCCATTTACATGAAATTATGGGTCGAGCACTGATCACGTGTCATTGTTTTGTGACAAATCTATCATTGATCGAACCTCCATCGCCTTCATCACCAAATACTACCATCACCGTCCAAGTCCCATCACGATCGACCTTGTCTCCATCGCCAATGGCTCAAATCAAATTGCTAATTTTCAACAAGATCAATCACAAAAAAGAAAAAACTTCTTGTCAATGTCAACATTTACCTCACAGCAGACTGTAAAAAAGCAACGGCTCAGGAGGAACAAGAACAAGAGTTCATCAAATTTCAAAAGAAATAGAATTGTAACAGAAAATACTAATAATTGGATCGAGCAAAAACAACTAAAAATACATGAATCAAAAACATTAAAACCTGGTATCCGTCCAGAGTTTTACTACAAATATTTTATTTTTATTTCTTACTTGGAATTTTTTGATGGTTTTTGAATTTTGACTTTTTGTTTGATTCTTATGAAAATTAAGGGAAAAATACAATTTTTTTTTTTACAATAAATCTCAACCCATGGACATGCCTTCTATGCTTGTTGGTTTGGTGTGACAACACTTCTAGTGGTTTCTAACTTTCTATGGTGATTTAAGTTTATGTTTGCTTCTTGAGAAAATAATAGACAGAGGTGAGATTTTCTAAAAAGAGCGTAGATAAACTATGCATTTTGGCAAATGTAAAGGAATAAAAAAATATTTTTATTAAAAGTATTAATCAATTTATATAGAGGTATTTATATACTTTTCAAAAAATATGATTAAATAGTTGATTTTAGCAAATTTTAGGGATTAAATAGTAATTTACATAGGGAGAGCACATTTGTACAGACTGCTCATACAATAAACATATTTATTATAAGAGGAGGGGAATTAATTGAATAAAAAAGAATCAAGTCCCTTAAATAAAAGTTCAAGGAGGTATGAACTCTCATACAAAGGAAACCTAACCTCCAATATAAAAAAAAAAAAAAAAAAAAAAAAAAAAAAAAAAAAATCAATTTTTAGAGTCCGTTAGGAACAAATGAATTTCACAAAATTTTTTGTGGAATTTATTTAGAAATCCAAAATGTTATGCTTGGAATGAAAAAAATACAGATTTAAATTATACGAATTGAATTCTATGGAATCATGTATGTTTAACTCAAATTTTACTAAAATTGATAATATTTGTAAATAAATTCTACAAAATTGATAATATTTGTAAATAAATTCTACAAAATTGACCATTGAAATATTTATTGATAAAATTACACTCCACTATAAACTCAATTATTTTTATTTTTTTCCTTTTTATTTATTTTTTTTAGAAAATTTCAAAGTATAACAATGTTATTTTTTTAAATCCAACAATGACATTAGTTTATATTTTAGTTTTTTTCTTTATTATTATTTTTTTAAAAATTCCAAATCAATAATGAATTTTTTTTTTAAAGTCTAGTTATAACGTCAATTATTATTATTATAAAACTATAAAAACTGAGTACAACATTTGTTTTCAAATGCAATTAAAAGTAATAGTAACATTTTTAATATTTTTTTAGTTTCCAAATTAATTACTTAAATCAACAACATCAATTAAAAATAATTATTATGATGAATGTTAGATTATTATGATGAAATGTTACTGACTTATATAATTAATTAATTAGTGTGAAATATTAGTGTACTTATTTATATGAAATTTATTATTTAATGTTCTAATAAAAAATGACAAGTTATTAATATTGTCATAATAAATATAAAATTGTATTTATTATTTATTTTTTATTAAATTATTATGTCAAGTGTGTTGTGAAATATTAGTGTACTTATTTATATGAAATTTATTATTTATGTTCTAATAAAAAATGACAAGTTATTATATTGTACATAATAAATATAAATTGTATTTATTATTTATTTTTATTAAATTATTATGTCAAGTGTGTTATAATAAACAAAGACAAATGAACTTTCATTTAAGAATTTATTTCAAACAAAATTTTGTGGAATTCAATTAAATTTTTTATTTTAAATTGTAATATACCAAACATGATAAATTCACTTGCAAATGAATTTTGTTTGGAATTCATTTATAAATAAATTCTACAATCATGATTCATTTATTCCACATGGACTATTAGTGTTAAAAATTAAAAAATATTTTAATTTGACTCTCGTTATTAATCAAAATTATAATTTGATCTCCCAGTTTTTTGGAGCGGGTGAATATTAAATTCTTGTTAATTTAGAAAATCCTGCTGGCAGTGTATCCCTCTTATGCCGGGGGAAAAAATGACACACAAGGACATTATTAATTATTTATTGAGGAAAAACAAACAAGTCTTAAATAGAATAAAAAAATTTTGAAATATTAATCACTGTTTTAATGTACTGGTGTGTCCTATACCCGAGAAGTAGTCAAGTAATTTCCAAATGAAGGAAAGAACGCCATGTGACCGTTGCTTAATCCTACCAATTACGAAATGACAGCCACGAAAATCATTTTGTTCAGATTTTTACTCTTATAAGCAGTAAAAATTTCCAAAATACCCTTCCCGTGCCTCACCTTTCCACCCGCCAAATCCCGTAAATCCATGCAAAAGGAATGGGCAAAACCGTTCCCGAGGTCCCATCAAATCTCAGATCCTCCACATAATAAATCAAAACACAAAACTCCACTTTCTGCTGCTCTTCTATAGTGAAGAGAGACAGAGAGAGATAACACACAGCCATTCCTCAGCAGTTCTGCGTTTTTTTAGCGATTGATCATAATGATGGCGAGTGCCGCTGCGATCGGAGCTCTGAAAGTTCCATTACCGGCCTCTTCATCTACTAATTCGTCGAAACTCAACCGGAAAACATCGCCGCTTGTGCAAAGCTTGTCATTCTCGTCGTCCAATCTTTCCGGGGATAAGATTTATTATAAGGCCTTTTCCGGTCGTCCTGGAAATGGCTCTAATGAGAGGACGCCGATGGTGGTTTCTCCTAAGGCCGTTTCTGATTCCAAGAATTCACAAACATGTCTTGACCCCGACGCTAGCAGAGTGAGATTTTTTGCATCTCGTTTTTTTATTTTTGTTATTTTAATACAATTTGAGCTCAAAGTAATAGATTGGATTGGATGGTGGCTTATATGCTTTACCGTGTTATAATTTGATTCATTTGGCGAGCTTTGATTGGATTCTTTCCTGTTTTCGTCTAGATTTGATGGTACCGTGTAATGAGGAGTAGGAAAAATGGAAGACTGATTTGCTGCCACTTAATTTAATATTTTATTTCAAGTTGAATGTATTTTTTTATTATTTTATTTTAAATTGGTTGTTATTTTAAATTGAATTTTATTTGCAAAGTTACGGAATTCTATTAACGTTAAACAATCAAAGCTATTGTTACTCTTAATTACTGTTGTTTTGAAGTGATGAAAGTTAATTGGATGTTTTCATTTTATTTGTATGTTCAAGAACATAAATTTGACTGTTACATCATGTAATTTTGCCCATTTTGCATTGCAGTTACATAGGTGGAAGATGCATATGACATAATATGTAATGGTGCGTTGATTTGGATTTTAAAAATTTCAAGTTAACCGCTATATGTCCATTGAGAAATGATTGGCCTCAGGTTGACATTTATATCACTGTTTTTCTATATCTTGATTTATATATGCACCTACTCTCAATTGTAGGAAGATGAAGGAGAAAAGGTTTGAAAATAAAGTCCAAAATGTTAATAGTCTAGTAATTAGAAAATAGAATTGACTGGATTGTTGGAATTGTTCCTGGTGGTTTCTTTTCCATGGCTTAATAGATTTCAATTTTGTTGTTAATATATGTTGCTGCAATCACCGTAATTTTTTTTTTGCCTTGTAAGTTTTGTACAGACTTGTGCATCCAACGGAGTGTAATATTTTGTTTCATTCATAAAGTGAGGATTAGCTGACGTTTTCGCTTGTGATCCTATCAGAGTGTTTTGGGAATTATTCTTGGAGGTGGTGCTGGGACCCGTCTTTACCCACTTACCAAGAAGAGGGCAAAACCAGCTGTTCCTTTAGGAGCAAATTACAGGCTGATTGATATTCCTGTGAGCAATTGCTTGAACAGTAATATATCAAAGATTTATGTTCTTACACAATTCAACTCTGCATCCCTCAATCGTCACCTTTCACGAGCATATGCAAGCAACATGGGTGGCTACAAGAATGAAGGTTTTGTTGAAGTCCTTGCTGCTCAGCAGAGTCCAGAAAATCCAAATTGGTTCCAGGTACTAAATGGTTTGAGAAATTCTTTTTTTACGTATTTGGAAGGGACAACTTTGCAATTGAAGTATTTTTTGAGTTTTTATGCAATTTAAATATTAGGCTTGACACTTGTGGATGAGATAGAGAAAAACAAATCATAATCCACATTCAAGTAAAGTTCTCTTTGTATCATAACCATTAAATTAATATACCTGAGTTGAAATTCTTCAATTTCATATGCCTACGTATCGAAATGAAACCTTATGTATTTGATGTTAAAAATTTATCAATGTTTTTTACTTGTTGCTTAAAGTCCTTTTATTAAATTTTATTTTAATGATTTACAGGGTACTGCTGATGCAGTCAGACAGTACTTGTGGTTATTTGAGGAGCACAATGTTTTAGAATTCCTGATTCTTGCTGGGGATCATTTGTATCGAATGGATTATGAAAGGTTTATCCAAGCACATAGGGAAACTGATGCAGATATCACTGTCGCTGCTCTACCAATGGATGAAGCACGTGCAACTGCCTTTGGTCTTATGAAAATTGATGAAGAAGGGCGCATAGTTGAATTTGCTGAGAAACCAAAAGGCGAGCAATTGAAAGCTATGAAGGTAGGTCTTAATTCAAAAACATTTCATTTAGTTGTCAATATTTGCTATTATGCTTGATAATTCAATAATGATTACAGGGAGATAATGTTCTCTTGAAATTTTGTTAGTCATTATTTCATGATATTGTTCCAGGTTGATACTACCATTTTAGGTCTTGATGATGAGCGAGCTAAAGAGATGCCTTATATTGCTAGCATGGGGATATATGTTGTTAGCAAAAATGCCATGTTAGATCTGCTAAGAGACAGGTTTCCTGGAGCCAATGATTTTGGAAGTGAAGTTATTCCTGGTGCTACCTCCATTGGGATGAGAGTAAGTAACCTTATTTCAATTATCCTCTTACATTCTCATTTGTAAGAAACTATCAAGAATAGCTGGTTCTTCAGATAGCATGTGCTCATGCAAATGTTGTGAAGCATTGTGTCTAAACATGAAAATCAGAATGCAAAACTGTTTCTTATCTATGTTGAAGCCATAATGCCTTAACTCTTATAGTGTAACCTACCTTTATTTTCTTGCAAAGGAGGCCAGAGCAGGACTTCTGTTCATGGTTTGTGTAGTCTTGAATTTATATTTCCTACACCTGATCACTTTTATTTTTTATACTTTGCCTTCTTGAGCAAAGACATTTTGTTTCATAGAGGACTTCAGAAGTCCCTTTTACTTTGGATGCATTGGTTTATTTCCTGTTACAAAGTCGTGCATTTTATTTTTCTGGTGGTTTCAACATAAAAATTGCCTTTTTACTGCTTTCAATATCTCGAGATATGCAATATTTAGACTATTAACTGCTCCATAACCTCTGCAGGTACAAGCTTACTTATATGATGGCTACTGGGAAGATATTGGTACAATTGAGGCCTTTTACAATGCGAATCTTGGGATAACTAAAAAGCCAATACCAGATTTCAGGTATTCTTCCAGTTCTACTTCTAATTATGCTCAAGGTGCCATGCTTGCTGCCTGGTCATTTATTTGATATACCGCTATATCTTTGGCATTTCTTGTAGCTTTTATGACCGTTCATCCCCAATCTATACTCAACCTCGTTATTTGCCTCCATCCAAGATGCTTGATGCTGATGTTACAGATAGTGTTATTGGCGAGGGTTGTGTCATTAAGGTAATTTACAGGTCAGAAAGTTTGGCAAGGAATTATAGTTGGCTCTGGCCAAGGATAATCCACTGTGTCCTGACCTGGCAAAGGCATTTATCCTTATTCATCTATAAAAGCTCACTTGTAGACATTAATCTCTCTACGACTTTCCTTTTTTGTCCTTCTCAGAACTGTAAAATTCACCACTCTGTGGTTGGGCTTCGATCTTGCATCTCAGAAGGTGCAATCATAGAGGACACATTGTTAATGGGAGCGGATTATTACGAGGTACCAGCATATTGACACCTGAGAATTAACATTTTATCATCTATTATCTTTCAATTCTGTGCTAATGGACTATTCGGGCTGAAGTAAGTATTTCACTTTTATTCCATTTGCAATTTTGTTGATTCTCTTTTTCCCAAATGTCTGGGCCCAGACTGATGCGGACAGGAGGTTTCTGGCTGCAAAGGGTAGCGTTCCAATTGGTATTGGCAAGAATTCTCATATCAAGAGAGCCATTATTGACAAGAATGCCCGAATTGGAGACAATGTGAAGGTAACATCTAAAAAATTTCTTACTCTTATCTGAGTTTTATCTTCTGAAATCTCAAAAATAGTTGTTCGTCTTGTACCTTACATCACTGAAACAACCCATCGTTTCAGTGAAAGCTTAACCATTATAGACAAGGGTTAATTTTCTTTGGTTCAATATGAAAGTATTTCCATGTTTTTTTAGTTGTCATGAACTTATATATGCACTGAAAAGGGATTTATATTTTAATTTCAGATCATTAATAGCGACAATGTGCAAGAAGCAGCTAGGGAAACTGATGGATATTTCATTAAGAGTGGGATTGTCACAGTAATTAAGGACGCCTTGATTCCCAGCGGAACCGTGATTTGAGAAAGATCATCTTCTTTACTTACACTTCCAAAATCCTGGTTGGGGCATCTAATAGCAATTCTACTTTGCGCGTTTATTTTTGGCCTCTTTTAATGCACGATTCATGCATATGTTCTGGTTGTATAAATATTTGAACCCCAACTTGTTGTCTACAGACATGCAAAACGAGAATGAAGTGCAGAGTTTATAGGCAAACTCATGATCATGCAAGAACCATAGTTGGAAAAATCTTGACAGAAGAATTTTGATCGCCATAAATATAAATAAAACACTAAGAGTTTGTTTATTATAGAACAAATCCTAATGCAGGATGTCGCCTCGTCAGCATTTTTACCCTTTGAAAGCTTCAGCTCCCCGATTTCACTAAACTTCTCCAACTTCTCTGGCTTCCTATCTTGTGGTGCAGTTGTCAAATGACGCTATAAATGATAAATCACTTTTTAATTATTTAATAACCAATTTTTGATATCTCTTCTTAAATCATTTGATTTAATTTGGATTCGATTAACCGTTGATTCATATTCAAAAATCAGTTTGATAAGTAATAACACTTCTTTGAGTCAAAAAATAATAAATTTATCTTCTATTTTGTTCTAAATGTTAGATAAACTTCGTCTCGATTTCAAAATTTTTCAGATCCAATGATAAATTTATTTTGAATTTATGTAGGTTTACTTATTTAAATAAAAAATGATTAATTTGTATTTTCATTAAATTTTGTGTTTTATTTACAATTTTACTAATTTTGATAAAATTTATTTTAAATATCATTAATTTTATAAAGTTAAAATTTCTAATTTATATATATATATATATATAAGCATATACATGAATTTCTTAATATTTTATGAAACTCTGAATACTAAATAAACTGTTGCTGTTATATGTTACGAATTATTTATAGACGTTATAAATTTGAGGAAAGTTACGCTATTGGAAATTGCATTTATCTTTTATTTGTCAACCTAACAACATCAATTAACGGGTCATGGTCAGCATGAATACACCATATGCCGTCTGTAATATGTTGAATCTGACTCCGAGAAAATTGGAAGATCCTTTACGCCAATCCTTTTTTAGCCATTAAACATTACTCTCTCTGCTGTCCACGAAGATAAATATTTTAAAATAATGCTTTTATCAATGATATAGATATTTTTAGAAATATTAAGGAATGATAATGATTTTTTTTCAATTTTACTATTATTTTTTATAATTGTATCTATAATTTTCTAGAAGTAAATTCATCAAATTAATTGATATTTTTTATAATTTATAAAAATTAATTAATTCTTTAAATATCATGTAACAATCTCAAATGATTTATATTTGTAAATGAAGAGAATCTGTAGAAGGGATATGTTAGTTATTAAAAGCGATTAAGGTCTCTGCACTTAGTCATGCTATCTATAAGAAATATATCATCAGAGAATAAAAATTTGAATACAAAAAATTTTTTAGTTCCAACATCAGTCTTCACTGTCTAAACTAACATCCTCCACCTTTCACCAAACCTTAGTTTTGAATAAGTTTGGACTATAATTACAATATTGATTCAAGTAACGCTTTATTTTTTTATTTTTCGGTTTGATTCATGATTTTTTACATTTTAATATATATAATTATATTAATTTATATTTATTCGATTAAATTTTTACTTTTTATTCCCATTAAATTATTATTTTTATTTACTACCTCACTCATTAGATTTTCTAATTCCTCCCCGCTTAAGAAAGTTGATTCTTTAACATTTAAGTCTTGTCATGCAATGAGTTGGCCATCCCGGTACCGTGGAGAAGTGAAGAAATGTTTTAATTCTTTTTAATGAACTTATAACAAGTTAACGATATATTCTGTAAATTTAGCTATTTTAAATGTTACTAGCTATTTTAATAGTGATTAATTATTAAATATTAGCTATTATTGATTAAGGATTATATATAATGGTTTAAAAATAAAAATGTTCAGTACAGACAAATGTGTTTAAAATAAAAATGTTCCGTATAAATAACTGTTTTATTAATTATTTAATATAAAATTACGAAAAAAAGGTATGACAGCGAAAAACAGAGTAGATAAATGTATTCAAAATAAAAATATTCGGTACAAATAACTGTTTTATTAATTATTTAACATAAAATTACGAAAAAAAGGTATGACAGCGAAAAACAAAGTAGATGTCATAAAGAAATTATAAAACACTAATGCTATAATTAATTAAGATAATGTTTCAACACTATTAAAATACTAAACATTACTTTAAATGTTGATGCCAAACAGGGACTAAGTATTATAAATTAATATTTTTTAAACAATTATTATAAATATTCCACGGTGTTTAGATATAATACTATTTTCATTTCAAGATTCACAGCTGTTTCTTCCATAATATTTTAATTTGATTAACTTTAACCTCATATGTTATTATAAATATAATAATAGGTGAGTCAAACATTTTGTATTTTTGAAATAACACACAAATTATCTTTCAAATCACGATATATAATTTATTTAAAAATAAATTTTTAGATTGATTTTTATAAAGAATTTTGAATTAAAAATTTAATTTCACTGATAGGTGCAAATTCAAAATTTACTTTTGGAGAAATTTCCTCTAAAAATTGATTCAATGAATATCTAATTATATTATTATTATCTATAAAGAGTTCTACTATTTTTGAAATTTCACCGAAATTTGTGTTAGCTTTGTCATCTTCATCAATCATCATCAGTGACAGTTGAGAATATGAGATTCTAGCAGTGGAATTTTTATTAGTTGGCTCATGGGAAGAATTTTAGTATCTCCTGTAGAAACGGAGACGACGAAAATCAATCAATTTATCCCTCTCGTCACCTCCGTTTCTCTCTCTCTGATAATAGAAACGCAAAAGTAGAAATATCGCCTAAAATGGCGTTATCTAATGGTTATTATTGATAAACACATTTGTTTCAATGAAAGGTATCTGATAATCTAAACACCTTTTTTTCGTTACCAAAAATCTAAACACCTTTTTTCTTATTCTTTCTTTTTGGTTTCGGTCTTTATTTTTGATATCAAACATTGACTTCCATTCACTTGCACTTTCTCTGAAATTTCCTTTCTTGATTGAAAAGTCGTGCTTTTCTGCTCATCTTCTTAATTGGCTTGCGTTTAGCAGATTCAGAGACTTTTATAGGATTTATTTATTGTTATTATGTTGATTCAAATATGTAATTAGCCAAATGTTATAATTTATGTTCTTCTTATTAATATATTTCGAGCGAGAGGTTATTAAGTATTTGTCAGATAGAATTTTGTCTAGACATTTTAAACGCAAATATATTATAAATATCGAAATATTATATATCTATATTTATTCCACGAATCTATAAAATGTATTTTAGCTTTTTATTAATTTACCTTCCAACTATAGATTATTATTCTAATTTATCATTATACAATTACCCAGAATCTATCAACTTCGAGTTTCAGATATGTATGTATTCGCAAGATTCTCTCTTACCTCGCTTAAGAGAAGAATTGCACATCATCTTTAACACATATTTAGGTAGATGCTTATGTCACCGGCAACAATGAAGTTGGGGCCATGCACCCCGTGATAATTCCTTACATGTGGAGATACAACTATTTAGGTGTTGTTTTGAAACAAACTATAGCTACCACTTCTTCTGAGCAAATGAAGAAGTGAGAGAATGTGTATAAGCAAAAATTCTCTTAATAGAATCTCATTATGTCTTGTATAAGATATGAGATGTTCTGCCTGTTATATGACAAGGGTCTCACTTAAATTACACATATATTAGAAGTAAAAGCGATATATCTATCTGTAAATTTTCTAGTTTCACTTATATAGATAGATCACTCGTTCTACTGACCAAAGATAATTGTATAAATAATGTTGCATGCATACACTCAGATTTTATAATAGTGAGAGTGGCCCATTTAATTTCTAGAATTTTCTAATAATAGACTCATTGATTATGCGATTAGCTATTGTGAGATTACTGAGATATAACCATGATAATGGTCTCTTACGAGTAACAAATAGAATAATTGTTTCAAGTGTATATCTACACACTAATTCGACTTTTGGAGAAAATCAGAAAAGATAGATCGCCGAGTATAAATACGGTGTCCACTAGTATTTGACTTAATTATTGTACCAGGATATAAATTACGAAAAAAAAACAATATAGGGCTCAGAAAACCAATGACCATAAAAGGTTTTTTTCCAACTGCGGTTAAAACGACAGGATAAGGTAAACATGGAAGCTAGATAAATGTATTCAAAATAAAAATATTCGGACAGTATCATAGATAGGAGTTAGAAGTCTGTTTTTTAATAAGACAATATATTTTAGAAAATTTTTTTTGTCAAATGGCTAAGAACCGCAGTTCCAAGCCCAGTTCCAACCAGATCATTAAATATTTACGTTATATCCAAATGAGTATTGTTAGGAGCGAACACAAATATCTAAACAAGTATGAACATGCGTCTAACCTAAAAAGAAAACATTTAATAAAAAACAAGCTCTATATGCTAAGATTATTTTGATTGGAAATAAAGAATTATGATTGTTTTTTCCTCATGAATTTTATCAATAATATTAAATAAAACCTACTAACAACATTTACTTTAAATGCTTCTATTCTATTGTACCAAACAAGATCCGGTGATCTTACATAAAAAATGTATTTATATTACTCAACTTTAACTATTTCTTTTAAACAACTTTATTAAAATATTCCAACGGTAGTGTTATTTCTAGCATTATATACAATCTTACTATTTCCAAAATTTTTCTCAACAAATTTTCATCAGCTTCTATTTTTACTTAACCTTTGTCCATAATTCATTTTATTGTCAAATATTAAATTTGACTCAAAGTCTTACGAAAAAAAGGTATGACAGCGAAAAACAAAGTAGATGTCATAAAGAAATTATAAAACACTAATGCTATAATTAATTAAGATAATGTTTCAACACTATTAAAATACTAAACATTACTTTAAATGTTGATGCCAAACAGGGACTAAGTATTATAAATTAATATTTTTTAAACAATTATTATAAATATTCCACGGTGTTTAGATATAATACTATTTTCATTTCAAGATTCACAGCTGTTTCTTCCATAATATTTTAATTTGATTAACTTTAACCTCATATGTTATTATAAATATAATAATAGGTGAGTCAAACATTTTGTATTTTTGAAATAACACACAAATTATCTTTCAAATCACGATATATAATTTATTTAAAAATAAATTTTTAGATTGATTTTTATAAAGAATTTTGAATTAAAAATTTAATTTCACTGATAGGTGCAAATTCAAAATTTACTTTTGGAGAAATTTCCTCTAAAAATTGATTCAATGAATATCTAATTATATTATTATTATCTATAAAGAGTTCTACTATTTTTGAAATTTCACCGAAATTTGTGTTAGCTTTGTCATCTTCATCAATCATCATCAGTGACAGTTGAGAATATGAGATTCTAGCAGTGGAATTTTTATTAGTTGGCTCATGGGAAGAATTTTAGTATCTCCTGTAGAAACGGAGACGACGAAAATCAATCAATTTATCCCTCTCGTCACCTCCGTTTCTCTCTCTCTGATAATAGAAACGCAAAAGTAGAAATATCGCCTAAAATGGCGTTATCTAATGGTTATTATTGATAAACACATTTGTTTCAATGAAAGGTATCTGATAATCTAAACACCTTTTTTTCGTTACCAAAAATCTAAACACCTTTTTTCTTATTCTTTCTTTTTGGTTTCGGTCTTTATTTTTGATATCAAACATTGACTTCCATTCACTTGCACTTTCTCTGAAATTTCCTTTCTTGATTGAAAAGTCGTGCTTTTCTGCTCATCTTCTTAATTGGCTTGCGTTTAGCAGATTCAGAGACTTTTATAGGATTTATTTATTGTTTAGGCATTTGTGGTTTTGGCTATTGAGAATATGAATTGTGCCTGGTGATGGAATTGTTGTTGCTTTTCATGCTTAGAATCACTCCATGGCTAGCCGCACCTCAGAAAACGATACACCCATCATTCGATTCCATTCCAATCTTGAGGTTTGTTCCTCCTTTTTACGGCAAAAACAATTAGGTACATGTAGAGGGTTTGTTCCTTCTTGTCAGATTATATAGGTTGCTACTTCGTTATCAGAAGGTCGTATGGTTATGTCACCATTGCAAAAAATATTTAATTTCACCTGTGGTGCCTCATGAGTATGCATTAACATGTTAAAACCTGGTACTAGATTTTATAAATTTTGATAACTAAAAAAATGATAGTGACAACACATGAGAACCGAAAAAAAAAATTTTAAAAATATATAATTTTTCTGTCTTACCCTTTTCACTAGTCTTTTTTTTTTAGAAGAAAAATACTTGCCATTTCATTCACTTTTTTCTGCTCTTTATTTTTTTTCTATGCTCTTTTTCTTTGTAACCAAACAAACGTGTTTCTCCTTAAGGGTCACGTTTAAGAATCATTCAGAGAGTTAGGAGAGAGAATTTTAATTACGAATGTCGTCTTATCATCTTTTTATCATCGAAATTTGTAAAATTTAAAAGGTTTTTATTATTGTATAAATTGATGTTCTGGGTATTTTATGTTACAAATTGAAATTTAGATATGTTTACATACACCAGTGATATTTAGAGACATGAGTGCAATTGAGCCAAGATTTCTGTGAATTATAGATGACCTTTTTTGATCCTCGCAATGGAGGAAACCTTGTGCACTAGATGTTCATGCATTTTGAATGTGTTATTATATGCTTGGTTTTAAAAATATATTTAGTAACATGGTTTTATTTTGTTGCAACAGATGGCATCATTAGTAGATAAAGCTGAAGGAGAGTATGAAAATGAGAACCAAGAGAGTAAAGACTCAATCGGAATTAAGAAACAATTATCTAATAGTGAGTTAGACAGTAATTTTGGTGGGCCAAGGAACAGTGTGCTTGATAGCATAAAGATCGTGATATTCTCTGCCAAAATCAATTTGCTTATGCCTTCGGGCCCTTTAGCAATTCTTGTGCATCACTTTTATGGCACTCATGTGAGTTAGCCCTCTATTTTTTGTTCTGTGCTGAATTTTTGTGGTTTTTCAAATGATCGTGCTTACATTGGCTTTGTTATTTTATTTGTTTGTGTTTCAGGGTTGGGTCTTTCTTTTCAGTTTGTTGGGCATTATTCCTATGGCTGAGCGTCTGGGCTTTGCCACAGAGTAAGGTTTCATCAAATTTTTCAGTGAACATTCTTGTAAAAGTTCATCAAGGGGGAACACAGATGTTTAAACTTTAAACCCTTGACCTCCTAACTTATGAGTGCATACATTTTTTTGCTAGGTTGATAGTCTAATTGCATTATTTACAATTTGTGGTCTATTTATACATACAGACCATTAGACCACATTGTACTATTTGCTCAACAGATTCAATTGTTCCATTAACATTTATGAAAAAGTATAGTTCATATGTTACAAATGCTCCTAAGGATGAAATCATATGGAAATTTAATTTTGTGCTCATATGTCTAAACCTTTGAAGATTAAATGACTTGAAAATCTGGGAATCACATAAATGTCAAATGCATTTGGTTACTATAGTATTTATGTGGATAGATGAGTACCTAATGTCTTCATTGGCTCACTTTTGATGTAGGCAGCTGACTTACTATAGTGGACCTACAGGTATGTTATTGTTTATTGTCAACCTCATTATTTTCTCTGCTTGTAGATCTTTAAGTTTTCCATAAAGTTTGCTGTAAGATATTTGATGCCAGATATGCAGTATTGTCTCAGTTCTTTCTTTTTCTCTTTTAAAAACCCCCATGTCAACCCTGGCATCCGAGTACTGTTGTTGAACAAACCATCAATCTTTATATAATGGGAAGTTAAATATTATTTAAATTTTTATATATTGGTTCCAGTAGCTATATTAATGCCAGTCAATTGTTAGTCTAACATTTCTCCATGTTTAAAAGTTTTTCCTCCTTCCTTAACTGATAATGTCCCCATACGAATCCTACAGTTGGAGGACTCTTAAATGCTACTTTTGGAAATGCAACTGAACTGATAATATCAATTTATGCATTGAGAAATGGGATGATACGTGTTGTTCAGCAGTCATTACTTGGATCAATCATGTCAAATATGTTGCTAGTGCTTGGATGTGCATTCTTCAGTGGTGGACTTGTGGTTGTTGAGAGGGAACAAGTGTTTAATAAGGTATAGTCACCCGAAGCATGCCAAATAAGAAGTGTGGATTTTCTTTTCTTTATTCATTTTTTATTATTTTATATTTCTCACAACTTTGTTGATCAATTCTTTAAAATCGTTCGTTAGGGAACTGCCAGTGTGAATTCTGGTTTGCTTTTGATGGCAGTCATGGGCCTGCTATTCCCTGCTGTCCTTCACTCTACACATACAGAATTGCACTTTGGAAGGTCTGAGTTGGCTCTTTCAAGGTTTACTAGTTGTGTCATGCTCTTCGCATATGCTGCATATCTCTATTTTCAACTGAAGAGCCAGAAAAATCTTTATGTTCCTGTAAATGAGGTTGGTTTTTTCATTGTTCTATAGAATGTAAATGCTAGTGTTGCTTTCCTATGATTCGTTGCTCTTCTCTCTTTAGTCTCTAATGTTGGATGAACACTCCTACACACTTTCCTACTTTGCAAAAATGGAATTCATTCCATAATTAAATAACGATGCAAAATTTGACCATGTTTCCTTCATTAGGCATGAGCCTTTTGTAGTTCTAATGTTTATCTTAAGACACTCACAGGAGCAGCTATATTCATCCCTAGATTATATTCAATAACCTAACAAAAACATTTGCCTTGAGAGTAAACGGCCTTTTGGCTTCATTTGAAATTTCACCTTGTGATTAAACAGTCTGTTAGGACTTGTCATCAAATGGACTTCATTATTCAGACATATAAACACCAAGACAGTATAATTAGTGCAGTTTCTGTTATTTATCAGCTTATCTCGGTAGAACTCAAACCAGGCTTATCCGCTTGGTTTGAATATGAACTCTTGAAATCTTGCAATAGTTTTACTCTATTTTATTGGATATGATATTAAGGATTCATTGTTTTGATGGCATGAAATCAGGGAGAAGATCAGCCCTGGGACACAGATGGGGAAGACGCTCCTGAGATCTCAAAATGGGAAGCAATCACATGGCTATTTCTTTTAACCTTGTGGATTTCAGTCGTCTCGGAATATTTAGTTGATGCCATAGAGGTAAATTTAATTTTGTCACTTTGTGCCACACTTATTGGTGATTGATTTTCTGCTGTATCCTTCTTATAAGTTCTACCAAAATAATGGCAGAGGCAATTTATGAAGATGAAAGTCCATATGTTTTATTTGTTTGTGAAAGAAAATTTTGATTATATATAGAGAGAGTAGTTGTGTTCCTTATTCTCTTTCAATTGCTGGAGGAGTTTGTGCTTAACAGTGAAACCTCTGTCATCTATGTTTTTCATTTGCCCAAATTTCTATATATTAAGTACATCAACCCTCATTTTTTAGCATATGCAATGTTCTAATGTAATGTTTGCTAAGATTTATGCGGTAAAATGATATCTTTTGCTGTCACTCATTTTCTGCATGTTCTTGCAACAAACATGTGTCTTGTCAGGGAGCATCTAAGGAATGGAAAATACCAGTAGCATTTATAAGTGTTATCCTTCTACCTATTGTTGGCAATGCAGCAGAGCATGCGGGTGCTATTATGTTTGCCATGAAAGACAAGCTTGTAAGAATTCTTATCGTGCCAATATTCTGAAACAATTATTGCACATGGATAATCAGCTATAACTCCTCCACCCCGAAAACTGTTGCTTCTTTCCTAATTCAATCGATCTGCTGCAGGATCTCTCTTTGGGAGTAGCTCTAGGCTCATCAACACAGATATCTATGTTTGGGGTGAGTACCCAGCACCCAGTGAACTGTCCCCTTTATATAATTCATCAACCTTTGTCTTCTAGAATTGCATATGCACGTGTATGTTAATGTTTCCTGAATTCGAGAAAAAATTCAGTAGCTATAGATGTTATGGAACTTTTTTTAAGCAATATTTATTACTTATTAGGTTAAGAAACAGAGGATTCATCATAGTCAGTGGAACAAAGGAATTATAAAAATAAAAATTTTTTCTTTGTTATGCTCATTAGAATCCTTTATGACATAGTGTGTCACTTGAATAGGCTAAGGCAAAAAGAAAAATTAAAAGCATCATACATTTACAGAACTTATACTATAACGTGAAACCTGTCATTTTTTTTTTCCTCTTTAGGGAACGTTTTGCTTTTTACTGCAGTATTTTCATTTTAATTGCTATATTCTACACTTTTCTTCCCACCTCTTAAGATATCAACTGGACACTGTGTTTAGGCTGATAAAAAAAGAAAACGGTTGTAGAAACCAGTTCTAATGGTTCAAATCTGCTATTGTTCATGAAGCATTTTTATTTTCTCATACTGCATATTCTTGGCATACTCTGAAAGGAGTGCTGCAAGTAAATTTCTTTCATTTCACCATTGAGGGCTGTGTAGCCTCTTAACTCCTTTATTTTGGTTGATGGCTGCAGATACCCTTCCTTGTGGTCGTCGGTTGGATCATGGGGCGTCCCATGGACTTAAATTTTCAACTTTTTGAGACAGCAACACTTTTTATAACTGTCCTGGTGGTAGCTTTAATGTTGCAGGTTTGTTGTAAAAATTAGTCATTTTATTATATTCCCACTAAAAAATTTGCATCAATGGTCAATAATAGGGAAGATAGTCCTGGACTTACTGTCTTACATTTATAAGAGCTTGAATAGTATAAATTATTATCCATAAATGGGTCAAGCTTCAGATCTACATTCTTTGTTTATGGAGCTCATAATATAAATGTAAAAGAATATGCTGCAAATTTATATTACATCATGGTTTGTTCTTTACATATTTATTTTGCTGCCCTTGCAGGAGGGAACTTCTAATTACTTTAAAGGACTAATGCTCATCCTCTGCTACCTAATAGTTGCTGCAAGTTTCTTTGTACATAAAGACCCTACGTCTTCAGGTACGGTTGCCAATTCCAATCTGATATAGCTTTTGTATTGTAAGTTCATTATTTGCAGTCTGGATTCCCAAAAATACCTATACTTGTCCGGCTGGATTACAATTCTTGCAAATTGTTTACCATAATCTTTTTGACAGCTCCTAATTTACTTCCGTCGATCTTTTAACTGTTATCAGAAAAAAAAAAAAAAATTTCTGTTCATGTAAAGAGCATATTAACATCTTAGTATGAATCCAACTGATTTCTCACACTTATTTGCCAGAAGTTCAGTTAGATAATACAATGGACACCTTGATTGTATTTTATGATCCTGTCATAAATATTCAACTTTGCATGAACCCAGCTCTCGGTGTTGCACACGTTCAAATAGGTGCACACACCCGCACATGAAGCAAGCACACGATGCATGCTTGGATTGTGTTTTGTATGCTGTAATGAACTGTAATGTAATATGATTAAAATGCATTATTAGTTCAACATTTGGTTACATTACATTACGACATACCAAATGTAGCCCTGATGTCCTTCATTAGACTTCAACTTTTGATGTATACCTGACAACATATGATACTTTCAGATTCTGCAGCTGATCCGCCAAAACCTGCTGAATGATGAACTCATCAGGGGAATACGCTTGAGCTTCAGACATTGACATATCAAATGTGTGGTTTTGCAGAAAAATTTTTTTTGCGGAGCTGAAATTAATATTTTGCGAAATATTGTTTAAGTTGAAATACTACACATTTGCAATGTCAACTTCACACCATACTTGAATTGGCAGCTCCAGCTACCAGTGGATTTCATGTTGGTGTGAGGAAGATGACGACATATAGGCTTTAGCTTTGCTTCTTGAATTTTAGTGTAGGATTAGTAGTGAAAACGAATATGTAAGAAATCTAAATGATGTAAACCCAAAAAAAAAAAAAAAAAAAAAAAAAAAAAAGAATATGTAAGAAATCTAAATGAATGATAAACCCAAAAAAAAAAAAAAAAAAAAAAAAAAAAGGAAAGATATAAGAAAGAAAAGAAAAATTTACATAACCTTCTCATGTTATTATTATTTTCTTAGTTTGCCTATACTTCCCCCATTATTGATTATAATCTTTGATGTTCTCTAACTTGTAACTGATGTTATTACAAAATTTTCAATAAGGAATTTGGATTTGATTTTCGTTTATAATATTGGAATGAAGAATTAGTTCATTCCTTTAATGTAGTTAAAAGAATTCATTTGAAGTACGGTTTTGAATGGTATTTTTTGTAACAGTTCAAAAAAATCATGCTCATTTAAATTAATTTTTTTCTTATAGATCTTAATAAAGTTTGAAGGGCAATATATCAATTCCCCCTCTCCGTATGAAATGATTCGACTTTGAAGCATTCTTCAATGACGCTGACTAATTTGTGTTTTTCGAGAAAAAGGAGTCTTAATTATTCCTATTTTATTCTTTTCTAAAAAACCCATTACAAAAGAAAATGAATTATAGATTATTCAATGTAATTCCAAAGAATGTACCAATAAACTGAATATCTGGAATCAAGGATATATCACGTGGGAAACTTCAAAAAAAAAAAAAAAAAAAAAAAAAAAAAAAAAGGAAAGAAAAGAAAAGAAAAGAAAAATTTACTAACCCTTCTTCATGTTATTATTATTATTTTGCCTATACTTCCCATTATTATTATATCTTTGATGTTCTCTAACTTGTAAATGAGTTATTACAATAATTTCCAATAAGGAATTTGGATTTGATTTTCGTTTATAATATTTGAATGAAAATTAGTTCATTCTTTAATTAGTTAAAAGAATTCATTTGAAGTAGTTTTGAATGGTATTTTTGTAGAAGTTTCAAAATCATGCTCATTTAAATTATTTTTTTTCTTAGATCTTAATAAAGTTGAAGGGCAATATATCAATTTCCCCTCTCATGTATGAAATGATTCGATTTGAAGCATCTTCAATGACTGACTAATTTTTTTTTCGAGAAAAAGAGTCTTAATTATTCTATTTTAATCTTTTCTAAAAACCCATTACAAAAGAAAATAATTATAGATTTATTCATTATTCAAAAGAATGTACCAATAAACTTGAAATCTGGATTCAAGTGATAATTCACTAAACTTCAAAAATTAAATTGTAAATGACTGGTGTATGATTTTCCTGGAATATATCTTGAATAAAATAGACTGAAAAATGGTGCTATTGATTTTATATAAATGAAATTGTTAGCAAGCATAAGCATCTGGTTATAGAATCGCCGGTTTCGATCTTAAAATTATCGGTTCTATTTTGCATCGGTTTTAGAACCGCTGGTTTCAATTTTGCATCGGTTTAAAATTAAAATTAGATAATTTATTTCAAACTTCTTAAAATTCTTTTTTAGATTTGTAGCTTAAATAAATAATAATAGTAACAATAATAATAAATATTACTCTTGAAAAATAAATCAATATTAAAATTTATTTTAAAAAATTATAATAAAATAAAATAATTAGATTTTTTTTAAGAATATGTTTTTTACTTTTAAACCATGTCGGTTTCGGTTTCAAAAAATAAAGAATTGGAATCTAACTTATGTGCATCTTTCAGTTACAATTTAAAAACCAGCAACTATTAACCACAATTTAGTATTAATCTTGACCAATTCGATTCTGATTTGAAATCGAACTGTGGCAATAGCTAAGTAAACATATGTACTTATTAACCTTTTAGAAAAATAATAGTTCAATAATATTTTAAATTTCTTTGTTTTGGGTATTATTAATTATTTTAATATTATTCAATATTTATTTTTCACTCTCAATAATCATGTATATCAATTATTTATTTATCTAATATTTTATTAGTAAATAAAGATAAGTTAAAATTACTCAATAAAATATAAAATATATTATAATTTATGAATTTTTATAAATATCATAATAAAAATAAATGTATTTCCGATCATAAAAAATTTCCATATAATTATGATATTATTTGGTTAAATTGTTCTCCTATGAATAAAAAAAAAAAAATTTCATCTTCTTCCAAAAACAAAAAAAATATAAATAAAAGTTAAGAGTCAAAATATATTACTTTAAAACGAAATATTTTGTTTATATTTGGTATGCAGTCGCTAATACAAACCCTAAATAAAAGTCCTAAATGTATTTTCGTCCTTTCATTCCGAAACCAGGGAGTCGGATTCGATTCCAAACTCTCATCTTATCTTCACTAATCACTATCTTATTGTTTTCTCCCACTTCCATTGCCTAAACTCCTCACGCAACTCATCACCGGCACAACCACTGCCGCCATGGTCAGTCTTCTTCACTCCTTTCTACAAATCTCAAATTCCACTATTTTATACTCACTAACCCTCTTAATTTCTTGATATATGTCTCTTAGGCTGCCCGAGGAGTGGGAGGAGGAGGCAGAGACCGATTCCGAAGAGATTTTGGGTCTTCTTCTAATTCTCGCTTTGAAGACATTAATAGTAATAATAAGCGAGGCAATAATCCTCCATCAAGACATCTATGGGTAGGCAATTTGTCTCACAGTATAATGGAAAGCGATTTAACCGACCAATTTTTGCAGTTTGGGGAGTTAGATAGTGTGGCTTTTCAGCCAGGCCGAAGCTACGCCTTTATTAATTTTAAGAATGAAGATGATGCAATTGCAGCAATAAAATCTCTCCAGGGTTTTCCACTGGCTAGCAACCCGCTTAGAATTGAATTTGCTAAGGCGGTTAGTTTTGCCCCACCTTTTTCTGTTAATTTTCACTTTTGTGCTACTTTGATCTTTCGTGTAGTAATTGTGTCTATAACTATGTACTTGTTGTATGAGTTCAATTCAATTGATTGTTTTCTATCCATTCGAGTTTAGCCACCCATTGATCAAAAGTACAAAAGAACATTAATCTAGACGCTTAAAAATATAAAATACTTATTTGGTTATATAGCAGGATGGTCCATGACCATGAAATGAGATCCTTTCCATTAAACAATCAGCTGCAACACCAAACTCGATATCATCAAACTTCAGAATGAATGCACTGAAATTTATTGGGATAGTTGATGGCCAAAACTTTAGGAATAATGGATTTTACCCAAGTACAGTATATATGAAAACACATTATCACTTTGCTAAATGAGGTGCAGTAAGTGTGGTGTACTTCAAAAGAAGCACCACATAACAAAAATAATGGTGAACTACCTAAAGTTTCTAATTTACTCAATTGTCTGCAGCTAAGATTCTCACCAAAAATTTTCCCAGTAGCATTCCATTTTCAATTTCACGCCCATGTTGATGCATATCTCCACAGCATTGTATGCCACAACAACAGCAGTTTGTTTGTTCTAGATTGAAGTGGCTTACAGTATTTCCATGCTTGCCCCTTTGTTCTTGAGTGCTCATACCCTGGACTTTCATGTCAGTTGTAATTTGAGAATCTCAAATAATAGTACGATTTTATCAAATAAAATTAATTCAATCTATATGGTGATGGAAAAATAATTTTAACTGTACAAGTATGCTTTGTGAATCACAATCCCTTTGGGGCACAGTTATTTAAAGGTGTTACAATTTCAAGAGATTACTGGCCTATCGAATAAATTAAGAGGGTGGCAAACAAATGTCTCAAGGTTGATGGTTTTCTCTTGCTACATTTCGCACCTATCTTTCACTTCTAATATTGAATATTATTTTACCAAATGGAATAGTTAAAATTTGTGCATGTTTGTGTTTAGGATATAGATTATCAGCCAAATTTGAAACTGTTACTGAATTTCATCCTCTGTATAGGTTCTATTCCAACTTCGAATCTATGTAAAACATTTGGCAGAAGTGAATTAACAAATTGTTTCTTTCCAACAGATCAGTTAATTATTGACAAATTTCTAAGAATTGCTTTAACACTTGGTGTTCAGTTATTCTTGGATGTTTAAGAATTGAGTGAAATTGAATAGTTTCTTACTCTCATCTTTAATTCAAATTAGTTGTTATATACAAACTATTACCAACTCATTACATTGACATCCAGGTTTCTAATGAACCAGTAGGTATCCAACTATAACCATCTGCCTTTTCACTTTCCACCATTAAATTACAGTTATTGCAATCTAGCAATCCTTTAGGTCAAGCAAAAAATTAAACAAAAGTGGAGTTCTGTAGCTTGCAGGAGATGGTAACATGAGCATTGTATTGCCAATACATTCTCCCAATATAACTTCAATGCAACTAGCAGGGTATAAAGGAGGAACCTGTGAATTATTGATTACTTCCAAAAAATTTTTTAAGCTTCTAGTCTATCCTCAACGTCTATTTGCTCTCACATGTGTGTCAAGACAGCTCAATTGACAGTACTTAACATTAAGAAAGTTCTCATCACCTGGAAAGTAAGATCATGAAGCAAACAAAATATCTTGAAAAGAGCACTGTCTTTTTGCTTGTATAAACCTGCTAACTTACAGATCTTCCATGCATGTTAATACATCATTCATGCAACTTCTTAGAGCAAGAAATGATACAAATCATAGTTATGTTTTTAAATGCAACACCCTAATTTGGTGCAATTATTAACAGCAATGCCCTCTCTAACGGATACTTATGAATCTTGTCTGTCACCTGAAACTACTATTTTAGAACCAGAGAGGTTGTATGCTTCATTATTCTGATGACTATAATTCATCCTTAAGTAAATACACAATCCTAGTATTACCCAACAACATTGTGTCTAGCACAACAATTGAGTTGGACAAGCTGATTGCTCCTTCCATATTTTTTGGTCTGTCACCATAGTCGACTCATGTCATTATCAGCATATTACAGTGAGAAATGTGTTTTACCTAGGTTTAGAATATTAATCTTCAACCCAAGCTTTTCGGTTCATTTAATTGGTTTTTGGTAACACTGAAAATTAGATATTGAATATTTAAGAACTGAATTTTTTAACGTCGAATAATATAATTGCTAAAATATATGAAATGCAAAGTTAGTTAAGAGCTTAATGACATTCTATTTTAGTATAAATTTTAAGTTAAAATTTTGACTTATCATTTAAGTGAATTTTAGCTTAATGGAGATGTATAGGTCATATGTGGATAAATATTATCAAATAACCTGTAACTACTAACTATTAACTATTACATATTAAATTTTAACTATTCACACCATCTTAGCTTTGCTACTAATTTATAATCAATTAACTGCTCATTGAGGTGTTGAGATGGTAGAAACCTACAGGTATCATGTGTTGGTAATAGATTTTGCTTGCCAATTGTCTCAGATCCATTTCCAGAGCCCCTAAAATTAGGGTACTTTAGTTTGTATTTTAAAAAATTTGTTGGGGTTCATTCATTAGAGAAAGAGAGAGAGAGAGAGAAAAAAAAAAAGAAGGAAACCATGTTGTAATATGATTGCATTATTTTGAAATAGATGTATATATTGTTTGCATGGTAAATGCTATGAAGTATGAACGATGACAATAGCAACACAGAATTTGTTTTATTCCTCTAAAATGCTGACGTCCTCACTTTCCTTGGCATTTTTAGTCTGTGGTTTCTGGGGAAGAAATTTCATTCTTGTATATGTCTTCTTGAAAAGTCATGTTATGGTTTGTGTGCATACGATAACAACAACAGCAGTAGGAGCAAAGCTTTAGTCCCAAACTATCAGGGTTGGTACATGAATCCTTTATTTACAAAATCGATCTGATCAAATTAATAGCAATGCAAAGAAATGTACAAATCAGAAAAAATTTGAAATACTTCTTGTAGATAAAAATTTTTGAAAGGAGAATTTTAAGATTATTTGATATATTAATAAATAGAACAAAGCATAAGGTGGGCAATGCTCGCTTTGTAGTTTGATGCTGTTGAGTACAATTTTTCTTTCTGATTCTCAAATAAGTTTGGTAATCGTTGTTATTTCTCACTGAGGGGAGAAAGGTCAGGATTATGGATGTTTTTTCTTCTTTTGGGGAATGAGTAAAAGTTCTTGATTATGAGCTCATCACAATGTAATAGGTGTATTATTTTGGTGAAACAAGTATCTAAAATCGTTATTTTTTATCAATATGGCCACACTGTGCTTATTTGGTCATGTAGAAATCCCTATTATTATCTGCAGTTCGGAAGCCTTGGAGATTTAGGCTAATTAGTTTGCTTATTATGGTTCTTCTGTTTCACAACACCTCTTATATGTTGAATAATCAAATTACAAAACTCACACACACACACACACACACACACACACACACACACACACACACTACATCTATGATCATGTATTTGTAATCTAGTTTGTGATGATATTCCCTAAACCAGGTAATCGCAAAAGAATTCTTTAAGTCTAACATATGAGATGGCTTTATTTGTAATATAATCAACTCTAAGGACGATTATTGTCTGCTTTTGTCTAAATCCTAGTCAGAAAGCTTTACTCTTGCTTTCAGCTTAGTTGTCATTCATTGTTCCAAGTCTTTTTATTTAGTCAATCTTCTATATTTTCTTGAAGATTAGATTTTTGTTCAATTTAATGAGAATAAAATTGGATTTCAAAGAAAATGCAAGCTATAAAATGCTTTAGATATGGTAGCTGCGGAATTTATAATTGTAAGGGGCAAGCCATACAGTTGTGACATTCAGTCCAAGATATTGAGGCATGAACCGGCTATTCTTCATTATTCATTAGTATACATTGAGCAAGAAGATTCCCTTAACAATTATCTAAACTATGATTAGCGTTTGTAGAATTAGTAAGTCTATTCATGAGCAGAAGTTTGATCACGTGTCACTTTGTAATCTTTTTGAATGCATGTGGTAGTGTCAAGCTTGGTCAACAACTCAAGTGCACTGAAAATTTCCCTTCAATTTATTCATTTTCTTTTTAATATTTTCAAATGGAAATTGAATTAAAATTTGACTAAAAAGTGAGGATTGATCTTCTCTCTCACCTGCGTGAGATTCTTATCTCAGGAGAAGTCATCAGCACCATCACGGGATGAAGATTACTTGCCACGGCGGGATGAACAACGTTCTGGATTAAAAGGATCCCCTTTCTCACAGAGGGACTCTAGATTGCGTAATGCTAGTGGCCCTGACCCTGCTTATGCTGACAAACCCAAGATAGGCGATAAAAGTGCAGAACCTAGTGAAGTGTTATGGATAGGGTTTCCAGCCTTATTGAAGGTAGATGAAACAATCTTAAGAAAGGCCTTTTCACCATTTGGTGAGATTGAAAAGATAACCGTATTCCCAGGTCGTAGTTATGCTTTTGTTCGGTTTAGGAATGTAATTTCAGCTTGCAAGGCAAAGGAAACTCTTCAGGGAAAATTATTTGGAAATCCCCGTGTACATATTTGTTTTGCCAAGAGCGAAGGTGGCTCATCAAGCAGTGGAAGGATGCCTCTCTCACCAAATTACAAGTCAAATGGTCAGTCAGGAGCTTCTGTGAACATTCGGCAGGATAGGAATTTTGGAAGTTTAACTGCAGATCCCAGTGTCAGATCTCCTCGTTTAATGTCAAATTTGGATCCAGATCCTGGTGTCTATGGTTTTAACAGGAAGGGTGCGTTATATCCTGGTGGAAGCAATACATTAGATAATTGGAGGTTTGGCGAAGAACTTGGACCACCACTGGATATTTATGAACGCGGAGGCAGTCCTACAAGAGAAAGGGGCCCTCACTTTGATGAATTTTCTCAGAGATTTCCTCAGAAGGCTTCAATTTATGAAGAACCATGGGACTTGCCAGAAGATTCCTATCTCTTCCATGGGTCCAAGAAATTGAAGACTGCCTCCTTTCCTCCTGACAAGGAGCTTCCAGAGTATCCTTTCTCTGACCTAGAACAGGAGAAACGTGCTTTTCCAAGAGCATGCACTGATTTTCCTCAATCTGAGCTGTTGGATAAGAACTATGGATATAAACCAAACTCTGATCTTCTAATCCCTTCTTCTCTTCCTCGTGGAGAAAGGAGTGATCACTGGAGAGCATCTTATGACAATTTCCAGACTGGCTCTGGTTCTATGCCTTCAAATCCTGTTGAGAGGAAAAGATTCACTCCTGAGCCTGAACAATCCTCTTTGAAGTTGTGGAAGTGGGAAGGAACTATAGCAAAGGGTGGAACTCCTGTCTGTCATGCTCACGGCTTCCCTGTAGGAAAAGCCCTGGACATAATGTTGTAAGTACTGAATATCTCTTCTTGTCGGCTGTTGATTAGTAACTGTTCACCCTTTTGATCAGTCATGTTGGCAGGCAGACGCACTCCACTAATGTATTAATTTCTAATTGTTTTGTTCTATTTTGTCTATTTGACCTGGCAAACTAGGTGCATTAGGGTCACTGGGTATCCAGGAAAAAAAAGTGTCCATTTTGATTCTCCATGGCTGCGGCATGAGGCAGTTAAATATTTGCATTAGTGCATATCTTGCATTTTGTGCAGAATTATGGCTGGCTTCTTGCATCGATGTTTTGCTTTTGGGTACGGCGCCATTGTTGAATGATGGTATCGGTAATTTTTTCCATGACCAAGTTTGGTAGAAATGTTAATTGCCTACACTTTAAACTTTTATGTTTTATTTGATATGAAGTGCTATTCTGTCTAGTCCTTGCTAACTTTGAGCGAATTTGTCCTGATATTTAACTTTATTCGGATCTATTCTGACTTTAACTTCTCTGGATGCTGTGTTTTTAAAATGTGATATTTTAGAATAAATGAGACAAATTTCATTTTAAGATCATATGCAGACATGATGAATTTCCTTCAGACATAGATAACCATATCGGGTATTTTTGTGATTGTTATTAATTTTATTGGATATACTAGACTCAAATTCTGAAATTCACTATTTAAAAATGATATTTATGCTCCAGGCCTGATTTTCTGGATTGCACTGCAAGAACAGGTCTAGACATGCTTGCAAAGCACTATTATCAAGCATCTTCTGCTTGGGTCGTTTTCTTTGCCCCTGCTAGCGATGATGACATTGGGTACTATAATGAATTCATGCATTATCTCGGGGAGAAGCAGCGTGCTGCAGTTGCTAAATTGGATGATAAGACCACTCTGTTTCTTGTACCTCCATCTGATTTCTCAGAGAAAGTACTTAGAGTTCCTGGCAAACTCTGTATTTCTGGTGTTGTTTTGAGGTTAGAGCTTCCTGGTTCAACTTTCGGGCCTCTTCACCATCCAAACGATAAAAGGGATGCAAATTTGTTGCCCTTTCATGGGGATGCACCATATGCCAAGCCACCTACTCCTTCAGGTCATTTTCCTTCAATTGGATCACCTTTTGGAGATTTGGGAAGATCAGGAGGCGATGCATCTTTTTTGAGGGATGTGGGTACATCAGGTCTGCCTGCAGCATTTTCAGGTTCAGCTCATGGTGTCAGGAGGATTCCTGATACGTACAATGATAATAGGCATGATTATCCACTCCAACCACGGGATCCAGTGCCTGCTTCCAATTGGTCTCCTCACCATCCACCTGGTAACAGAAATGCACCATTGCAAGTGTCCAATACTGCAGTTGATCCTGTTGTCAAGGATCATCGCGCCGTCATATCAAGGGCAGTGCAAGATGATGGCTTAGCACATTATACTGCTGGCATGCCAAGTATCCCATTGTCTGGAAACGGCAAGCCATCCCTTCAAGAAAACAAATCTTCAGTTCCTTTGTCTTTGCCTATTGCTGGCCTGCAACCACAACAACTTGCACAATTGGCATCATCTCTTCTTGGGCAGCAAAGGCAATCTGGGAGCAGTCCAAATATATCAGTAGGGGAAGACGTTAGGCGGATGAACACAATGAATCAGTTGGAGAACCAATTAAGAACAGCACAAACACATAGTTTACAGAGTAATCAGGTAGGTTCTGAGATTTCAGCTTCTCAGTTCAGTCAACTGCAACAGTTGCAGCAGCAGCAGCAGCAGGCATCAAATGTGCCGAAATCAGTACCAGTCCCAGTTCAAAGAGAGGTTCCACAAGGGACTTCAGGTAATCCTCAGATGCAAAGTGCTGGTACACAAGAAGAAGCTGATGCAGATCCTCAAAAGCGTCTGCAGGCAACATTACAGCTGGCAGCTGCTCTTCTTCAACAAATCCAACAAGGAAAAGGAACTTCTTGATGGTGGGTGCCCAATTAACAATATAGTGGTTGAGTGGCTAAAAATGTTTAGATATTTCAAGGAATTGCACATAATATATCCCAGCAAGTATTGCTATGTAAAAATGGTTAGTCATACTTCCATTCGTCAAGTTTGCTGATTGCTGCTGCTGTAATTTGCTATAACTAGTGCAGCAATGTGCGCGCTACTAGTGAATTTTCCTTTTGACTGATCTATATTAGCAGAGTCTTCGTTGCCTTGTCAGAATGCTGAGCATTTTAAGCAGCTTTGTTCATGGCTGCATGAACTTGTCAGATCTTTTAGTTTTTTAATTTTATTAATCTTTTTAAGATTAAAAAAAAATGGTCATACTCTTGATTGGCAGCAGAGTGCAGAGGTAAACACATCAACATACGCACAAATCCTGAAGTGAAAGTGTATAACCCTTCACCTTTTAGTCTTTAGCAGAAACAAGGTTACAAAAAAATTTCGATAAGAATTGTCCATAATGCTCTCAACAGATTCAATGTAGTAGATTTGCCATAATATACACGGTAAATTTTAGACATTTTATGAAAGAAATGAGCCCAGGCCCTTTAAGCTTTACTCAAGAAGGCCGAAGACTGCTGCTAATTTGGTGAGTGATCCAAGAAAACAGGGGAATAATTCAAGGAATGAGAATGTAACACCTGTCACAATAGGTCATGATGAGGGTATCAGGCCAGTACAAGAAGGCAAGTGAGGAGAAGGCTGAGCATCTTTTTGGCAAATATTTTTGGACAGATTATTCTGTTGGAGAGCTGTAGCTCTTGGCTTGGTTTCTTTGGAATCAAGATTTCTGTTATCTCTTGTATTTCTGTTCTCCACTTTAGACTACTTAGATTATTGTATGGACAATCCATTGTTATTGATTCAGTCCTATCAATCTAATACAATTTCTCTCTTCTTTCTTTACATTCTCTTCCATTTTCTAGTTCTATTTCAGCCATTTAATTTACAGATACTGGAACTGTTCTTTACTCTATCATTTTACCAAGGAACACACAAAAGGAGGCAGAGATAACTCATTCAACATTTTCACCGCAATCAGATTATCACATTCAACCTCAACATTGTGAAAACCACTACTAAAAGCAAGTTTGATTCCTTCTAAAAGAGCCCATAGTTCAGCACCAAGAACTGAAGAATGACCAATCCCCAAAGTAAAACTTACCAACCAATTACCTAAACAATCCCACAACGTACCACCACCAAACGCAAGACGATCATTTGCATTAAAGGACCCGTATGCGATGGAGGAGGAGCCTTAAGTAATCCACTTCTCCATTCTAGCATGTTCAGTAATAGATGAAGAGGCTAAAGAAGAAATACGGCGGAATGCATAATTTTTCCCTGAACTTTCTTCAAATTCATTTGTGTCCTTTTAACTTTGTGATGGACCGCTTGTGCACATTAAATGGTATTTTTTTAGCTTTTTTATCCCCTTGCCGCGCTGGATTAGTGGAGCGTGGAAGAAGTCGTTATACAGAGCTATCTCTTTCTCTGTATTGGTGGCTATAATATCAGCAAAGATCACCAATATAAAATGTCAATTGATATAACATACTAGGTTGTGAGTTATCTCTTCTTTTTTTTGATTTTCCCTCAATTGCAGAGGTTCTACTGCAAGAGGCATTAAAATCTTCCAGCTTATTCAATTAAAATTTCATTTTTCTCTGTTCCGTTAGTTTTTGAACATGAGGAAACCAACGTGGCATCTCAAATGATGACGTTTCAACTATTTATGACACGTCAAATGCCAGCATAATTCATGCACAAGCTTCAATTTTGCTTAGGGGTAAAAAAACACATTAAAAAAACGAGTTAAAGGTGCACAAGTAGTCCCCGCAAAGGTAAGAAGCACAAATGGCAATTTGAAGAAAGTTTAGGGGAAATTATGCAGGCCGAAGAAATATTAATAAACTCAGTTGCTTATTTAAGAGCTAAAACAGAGAATGATTCATGGGGTACGCATAATATCCGAAAACAACTCGTATCTGCATTATGCCTTCTAAAGCGCTCACCATTAGTTAGTAGTCTTTCTAATTACCAACTTCCGCTTTAACAGAGAAACCTTGCATCTTCATCTTGTTGATGGTCGCATGAAGGTGATAATGGTCCCAAGAATTACTGGTTAAGTCAGAGACATTTCATTTTAAAATCATATGGAGAGACGATGAATTTTCTTCAGACATATAAAGAACCATATCGGGCAATTTTTTTGTGATCAGACCTCATGCAGTTTTGTGATTATTATTAACATTATTGGATATAATGAACTCAAATTCTGAAATTCACTATTTAAAGATGACATTTATGCTGCAATTGCCAAATTGGATGATAAGACCACTTTGTTTCTTGTACCTCCATCTGATTTCTCAGAGAAGGTACTTAGAGTTCCTGATGCAGTTCCACAAAAGCGTCTGCAGGCAACGTTGCTAAATTTTATCAAGAGTCTCACTTTCATTAGTAAAGCTTGCTGATCGCTTCTGCTGTAATTGGCTATTATTAATGCTGTAATGTACGTGCTAGTTGTGAATTTTCCAGTAGACTGATTTATATAATCAGCACAGTCATGTGAGAATTCTGAGAATTGTAAGCAGTTTTTTCATGGCTGCATTGCGTCAGATCTTTTAATTCTTTAATTTTATTATTCTTTTTAAGATTAAAAAATAATGGTCGCATTTTTGATTCGCAGCTAGGTGTAGGTGAAAACACGTCAATGCACACAAAAATCATGTAAGTGGAACTTTTTAACCTTTTTATTCTTTAGCAGAAACAAAGTTACAAATAATCTCAATACTACACAAGTTGCTGGGATGATATACAAAAAGAATATGTGGGAATTCGATTGTGAATATTATCAATATAAACCTATACTAAAGGTGTATACATACATACATATATATATATATAATAATCAGCACAGTCATGTGAGAATCTGAGAAATGTAAGCAAGTTTTTTCATTGGCTGCAGTTGCGTCAGATCTTTTAATTCTTTAATTTTATATTCCTTTTTAAGAATTAAAAAATTAATGGTCGCAATTTTTGATTCGCAAGCTAGGTGTAGGTGAAAGACACTGGTCAATGCACTACAAATCATGTAAGAGGAAACATTCTTTAAACCTTTTATTCTTTAGTCAAAAACAAAGTTCAAATAAATCTCATACTACACAAAGTTGCTGGGATGATAGTGACGAAATAAGAATGATGTGGGAATTCGATTGTGAATATTATCAAATTATAGAACCTATACGTAAAGGTGTATACCATACCATTACAATATATATATATATATATATATATTATATATATATATATATATATATATACACACGCGCGCGCGTATATATGACTATCAACATAGGAGCAATGCAACCAACCTAATATCAAAACACAACACAAACTGACAGTTAACCTTGATTCTGGAAATGCATCAACCATTAAACATAAAAGTAGGTAGATGTATCTGTTGCATTTGCCGTGTCTCTGCAAAGAATAGATCGTGCTTCAATTACTGAACGAGGGGGCTCAATATCCTTTTCTTGCAGTGAATTTCCCAGCAGTCGTTGCATTTGGGAAGCAAAGGTATCGTCCAATATCTATAATGAATCCAAAAAAAAGAAAGAATTAAAGATAATGCAATGTATTGATTGAAAAATAATTTTTTTGTTGAAATCGGTTCTGTATTGTGATAGTAACATATGGTAGTCAATTCTGTTGAGTTGAAATTACAGTTTTGATGTTCGGATGCTACTTTAGAAATTGAATGGGGCTATCCTATTTTCCAACTACTTTATTTTGTATACATGATGCATATTTTTGACTTAGAGGTGAATGAATTATTTAAAACTAAAGTAAAATTACAATATAAAAATTAATTTTTTCCTAATATGATATGATTAACAAATATATTAAGAAATTAAACAAACAAATAAAAATGTATGACTTGCAACTGAAAATCCAAAAAGAAATGACACCACAATGACCAAACCAGTTCGACCCATCTGCCCTTCTGTAAATCTATTTCCACAACAATACACAGGAATGATACTTACCCCAAGAGCATGACAAGAGCCATTATACCAAACCCTGTTTTCCTTCCTTCCTTCAAGAAACTTCAAGACAATCTAGGAAAATAATGCAATTAAAATGCATTAGATTTGTGATAGGTGTTCTAATTAAACATACAAATTATCTTTCCATATAGTTTTACCTGTCCCATCCTATCCCAGAATCCACGACAGGCTGCAACAAATATTCTACTAGTAAAGACATCATGCAAATTGGATATGAAGTCAATGAGCTGTGAACTCAGCATCTGCATTCTTTCACGGACTTCAGCCTCTCCATCTTCTTCTCTTATTTCCTCCAAAATTCTTTTCAGCCGTGTGCTCCTGTTAGCTTGTGTCTAAAACAATTTTTTAAGGTTAAGCTTGGCAGTTTATTAAATGACATCATAAGCTTGGTAGAACAACAAAGAGAACACAGATCATATCGTGATTAGTTTGGGTAGAATATTTTATAGCCAGCTGAATAACAAATGGAAAGATAGAGCTTACATTGTTAACAAGCTTTTCAACGGTTGCCTGCAAATAATTTTTGTATTTTGTCCTCAAGAGAACTGTGATTCCATTCATCTGCTCCCCAAAGAGTGACTTTCTATCTCCCATGACAGGAAGATAGGATGCCCAAGACTTCAAGATGTCTTCCACTCTACAATGTAACACATCCAAAATTCTCTTGATGGTATTCATAAAAATCCCCAACTGCCCACAAGGAAAAATCTTGGTAAGATACAAGGCAATCTTGGTAAGATACAAGGCATAGACGGAGGGCAAAAACTACATTCAGATGCTTATAGATAGATAGATAGATAGATAGATATAGAGAGAGAGAGACAGATGCATGGATAAACAACTCACTTGATTAGGTACAGAATAGAGTGTTGTCGATTGTCTTCTGGTTAGTTTTTGAACCTGCATATTAAGTCTCTTTGGAATGCTATCTTTCAAAGGAGTTAAGATGTCATTATATTGCTTTTCCAAAGCCTTAATGATTGCTCTTTCCACATCAGCAACAGCCTTCAAGAAGATCAAAAGAATCGACTTTGCATTACCAAAAAATGGTTGAAAAAAGGCAATCATTCATGCGCAACAGGGAGAGAATGTAGTGGCTCTTTACTGGTAATAGAGAACTTACATTTTCCAAAATCAATGAATACTGGTAATAGAGAACTTACATTTTCCAAAATCAATGAATACTGGTAATAGAGAACTTACATTTTCCAAAATCAATGAATACTGGTAATAGAGAACTTACATTTTCCAAAATCAATGAATACTGGTAATAGAGAACTTACATTTTCCAAAATCAATGAATACTGGTAATAGAGAACTTACATTTTCCAAAATCAATGAATACTGGTAATAGAGAACTTACATTTTCCAAAATCAATGAATACTGGTAATAGAGAACTTACATTTTCCAAAGATAACTGCAACACAACAGAATATTAAGCATGTCAAAAGTGCAAGCAGATCATTTGTATTGAATATATCATGATGGATTCTAGTTAAAAGTCAGGATGCTTCGTTGAACTTACATTTTCCAAAATCAATGAATACTGAGGCCAACGATTGATCACCACTTCATACTCAATAAGGGAATCTTTGATTTTCTCATACATTTCTTCAGCAAACGGAGAGGTGGAATGGTTTGTTGTTACTCCAGCCCATGGCACCTTTTCTGCTTTGCATTGCTCAAGTAAGTTGAGTTGCATATCCTGCACCCACACCATTATGTAACTGTGGAACAAGCTCCTTGAGTCTACACCACCCTGCACTAGACTGCAACAAACAGAATATTAGCATGTCAAAAGTGCAAGCAGATCATTTGTATTTGAATATATCATGAGTGATTCTAGTTAAAGTCAGGATGCTTCTTGGATTATGTTTGTGTCAAAAACCTGATATTCCACCGCTCAAGATCCCGTTGAAAGTCAGCAATTGCTATCAGAAGTTCATTCACATGTGGCTGTGGGCTAGATGGAGGCCAGGCAGAAAGGAAACTTCTAAGCCTGTTGCACAATTCAGTGCTGTAAACAGCAGCTGTGATATTCGACAAGTCGATTGAACTGGAAGAGGACAAATATGCATTAGAACTCAGAAGGTACATAAGAGATCACTTTAACATGATAGAACTCTTAATATCATTTCCCAGTACTCTAACAATTACCACAACTAATTAAAAAATGTGCCATATGACATGAACTTTATGAGGTAAAAAAATGGTAAAAGATTGTGTATAATGAAAGTAGTGGATTCCAACCCTTTTGGGTTCGGTTTTGCTGTTTTGGGTTATTTACTGATGCAATTTTTTAGGTCTCATAAGGTAAAAGTAAAATCTTTTTCTGTTATATCATCTCCTGAGCACATAAGTGTTGTTTCTGATAAAACTTTTCATAGATGAAGACACAGATACCTTGGAAATATGTGCTGATTGTGGATCTTGATGTCTGCCTGAATCTCTTTGCCAATAATTATACACAGATTCTTCATTTTCAAATAAGCTGTTGAGATGGTAATGGAATCCATGAGGAAACCTTCTGAGTTGCCAGACACAAACTCATCAGTTTCAATCATGTGCTTCCGACACCTCTTCTTAGCTGCAGTCTGCAAAGAATTACTATTTGATTTAGACAGTGCGCAAGTATGACAGAGGAAACTAGAATGGGCAAACATTTAGGTGAACCACGATACGATTTGCCCAGTCAACTGACTGTTAAATTGGGTTTTCCAAAACAAATTACCAACATTAACAAACATGCATGCGTCATGGATGCATGTAGATATTTAGAGAATGTAACTTGGCAGATCAAAGATGTTAATGATTATACTATAAAGGCATGGCATCCGAAGCAGTAGGCTTGTTGGATATAATGATATCATGTTTGACTTACCTGCAGATAGTTTCTCAGCATAGTCTGTGCATCTTGAGATAGTATATCATGAAGAAGGATGTAGACTTCAACAGCAGGAGCTAAAGCTGGTGCAGCAGACTCTTGCACTGGACCAAACAGGTCTGCCAATCCTGTGGGAGAATTTTCATCCAGAGACTTGTAGTTCTCAAAAACATTTGCCAAGAGACTTTCAATTTGTGTTTCACAATCTAATAGTAAACTTTTCTGCAGCAGTATGATACATACATTAGGAGCCATTCCCTTAAATTCAAAAAACAATAGAACAAGCATAGAATAGTATGGTCAATCTAAAGATGGAAGTATGCCGACTTCCTGGCATTGTGAGAAGCAATATTATTCAATTTCCATCAGCAACAAAGTTTGAATTAGCAAATTTAGAAAAAAATAAATAATGCCAACTAGCTCTCTTGTGGCTGTACTCATATTTTATGAAATATGTTTCATATTTGGTGGCCACCGATTAAGCCTCTTACTTGCTGGGGAACCATATTTGGTGGCCAACTAGTTTAGTTCATGGCATCGCCGCCCATTAGGCCTCTTGCTGTGGTTCATGTTTATGTCCAAAATCAACCACATTGTCAATAATTTTTCATGTCGAGAAGAGTCATGTAAGTTCTCAAACTGACTGTACCTAACTAACAAAGTTAAGTAAAAATCCACAGTTAGAGGAAAAGTAGAACTGCCATTACATTCTAAAAGGCATATAAATTTGTTGTCTATATTCACTCACATCAAAGCATGCTCTCATTTAAGGCTTGGACTTGCTAAATACTTGCCCCAACTATTAACTTATGATCAACAAATACATAGGATTCCTTTCTAATTATCACTGGAAATAGAACTGAACCTTTTATTCCCAAAAGAAAGAAGAAGCGTCATTAACCCCATTTGTCAATCATTTTTTGCATTGGTTTCATTTTGTAGCAGGAGTCAAAATCTAATATGAGGTCACATGAAATAAGGAGGAGAAAAGCAGCAGGCAAAAAACGGCTCAAGACAAAAAGTGACTTAAATTCATATTCAGAAATTCACACCATCTATTTAGTAAATATTTCATCTATTATTTGTCGTTTGATCTCAAAATTAGGAAAAAGCATAGATTCTTCTTCTAGAGATTAGATGAAAGGTAAGGCATTCATATGCAATTTGGAAGGCCTACCTCTTGTCTAGTCAAACTTTTCTCCCCCCGAGCCTTTATAATGGGTATAAGTAACTCGTTGACAAGCTCTAAGCACCCTTTTGTTGGAGTGGCCACATTCATGACATGTGAAAGAAATCTATAAAAACAAAAAAATTGAAACATGAAGATATTGCTAGGAAATAGAAAAAGTGAAGAAGAATACGAATTGCCAGGTTACATTAATATATCTGCACAGGTACCTCAACTTGGTATATGAATCAGAAACGCCATAATAATCTGCAAATTCAGTCAACAACCACTTCCAAGGTCCATGCAATCGCAAGTTTCGGGAATGAAAATGTTGTGCACGCATAGCAGCCTCTAGCAGTAGATCGTAAGCAAGGGTTTCCACAACAGGACCACTCTGTATAATAGCATGGTATAAATGTTCAAACTCTGGATATAAGCACACATATTAGTGCATGCAACCATACAGCACCCCCAGACAAGCAATTGACATTTTCAGATTAATTCTAGAGTATATAGAATTTTGCTAATTAAAAAGTTATTTCAGAAATCGGCTTATCGATGGGTGTCATCAAGCATACCATGACACAAACCGTTAGGTCTGACAATAAATCAAATGTCTCTAATTTGTAATATTCATGAACGTTTCTGACTCTACTAAACTACTAATTGATTTATAACTCTACCAACCAAGGTTTACCTTTGTAATTGATTTGGCATAGAAAGTTCTGGGCTTGAATAAAAGGAGCGGGTTTCAGTTGGTCTAAAACCAGCTAACACCAGTCACAGGTTTATCATGATATAAATACTAAGAGATGCAGGATAAGGATTATGTAGCCAGCCCAATTTGCAATTGAGACTTAGATTAAGCAGTTTCTTGGTCATTAGTACAAAAGAAGAAATAATGTCAGGCAGAAAATAAAAGGCTGAATTTGGTACTCTACTCTTAGATCTTAACTACTACTCAAGTTTCAGTAGGACAACTTCTGATATCCATTAAAATGGGAACAGGAAAATATCATGAAATCAGTCTTCAAATTAAAAGCAACTTAAGTTATCGCACTAAATTTTTGTTCAAATTAATATAAATTTCCTTTACTGATTTACTTAGATGAAGGTTGAAATAATTAGAGTTGGAAGAAACAAAACCTTTATATTGTTAGTCTCATCACATGTGATTGTACTACCAATTGAGAGCTGTATCTTCCCAAGACATTCTTGATCATCGTGTAATAAAGGCCACCACCGAATTCTGTCACTCTGGAGAATTTGGACAATCACATTACATAACATTCAGATTATCATTAGGAAGCCATTCTATATTCCCGTAAGTACCTGAAACTGGAAGATACAAGAAAATTTACTTACAGGATTATCATTCAATGATGAAATTTGAATTGTGGCTCGACCTTGGACTGCTTTTTTTTCATCTTGGACTTCTACTAAAAGAGCATCTCCTTCACTCTCAGGAAAACTGAGTTAAATTCACATGTAAGATTTTCCACCCATAGTAGCATAAGAAGGATATTTAATACTTTTAGTTCCCTGTCGGAGCTGATCCATGATTTATTATTATTATTATTTTTTTTTTCATTGAAGTCCATATAAGAGTAAGCACAAGGTATCTCTTTGTCATATATGGTGCATCACTTAACTACATGCCACATTAATATTGTTTATGGTACATCAAGGCATAGATGAGTAAACACAAGGCATCGCTTGGTCATATATGGTACATTACTTAACTACATGCCATATTAGTATTATTTATTATCTGGATCCCCTTGAGCTGGAGGTCCATAGTAGATAACATATTAGTTATGTTATGAGCGACCAAAATTCATTGGCCGTCAAAATGCATACCATTAGAACAAATAGAAAAGATAAGATAAAAACTTACAAGACATGATATTCTCCACTGCCAGGACGCAAGCAAATGGTAGAACCTGATTCAACTCGAGTATCTTCACTGGTGCTCTTCAGTTGGAATACGCATGACAACTGCTCTGCACACATTTTTTTTTATTGTTTAGTAAAGATAATTTTAGTTGTCCACTGAAAGAATTTAGCTATTTTTAAAAAGAAAATCAGAATAGAAAATGATTTTTCATAGTCAATGCTCATGATTGGTGTGAGGTTTCAAACAACTACCCAAAGCATCATGCTTGAAAAATTTGTATCATAACTCATATGAACTAATAAAATCAAGCAACTTGTTTGTTGTAGGGAGCACAAACCTTCTGAGGTCAGTGAAAATGAAGCTAGTTTAAGAGAATTCATGCCAGTTTTCACTAGCGATGAAACATGTCGGACATACTCTTTCCCCACTTCCATGTAGACTGCACTTCGCTGAGAGTATGTGCTCTTAAGTTTCCGCCTGGGTATTATTCGAAGTTTCCTTACTGGCAATGGCAACAAGTAGACCTCAATTAAATTATTGAAAAATGTTTTAAAGAAAATCTACATTTTGATGGAGTGCTAATCACTTTCTATATATTGATCATAAATGTCTCCATCAATTATCATTTTTGTACCAAAGAATATAAATGTATATAACTTCAACAGAATCAAGAAGAAAGCCATTCAATCAATCAGTTTAAGAAATATTTTGAAGTTAACAACATGGCCAAATATATAATAGCATGAAATGCAACTCTGATTTATCCTTCTTTCTATCAATTTTCTTAATGCAGTGCAGGTACAAAAATGCTTGGAGAATCTTACCTTCCACTCTTATCTTCCCAACAACCTTCTTTATTTTCAAAGGAAAAGTTTGTTCTGCATTCTGAGTAGTTCTTACTTCTGTTGGTTGTACACCTCGTGGTTGCAGCAAGAATTTGTGTAGTCTATGTTATGCAAGGAAAAGTACCATTCAGAGCTGTAAGCTAAGCATAAAACCTAAAAGAAATTCACAATATCCCAGTGGCTATATTGGAATATCTAAGAATATAATACGAGAAGGAAGCCTACCCAAATGCACTTCGAAGAAGCAGACACTCATCTCGCAAAAACTCAGGAGCCTCAGTGCAACCCCTAGCCCACGCATATAGACATAAGCGGATACATGCATCATAAGCTATTAGGGTGTGCCAAGCATATTGACCACTGCAACAATTAAATAAATAACGCATAAGAAAAAAATTATCTATGCACATGGATGCAAAAGAGACTCATTTCAAGGTTAAGAATACTAAAATTACTCAATTGTGTTCTGACAAATTGACAATATTTCCTTAAATGAACATCCATGGTGTGTCTAACAAATTGACAATATTTATTTAGAAGAACATTCATAATGCAATTCAGACAAATTTATATTGAGTCTTGCAAACAATAATAACAACTTCAATTCACAATTCCAGAATTTATAATCAGAGTAATGTGGTATCCTGTTTCTACCATTCACTACTTCAAAGGGCCTGTCCATGCAATGCACACAGTAAATACTAAATATGCAATAACAAATTGACAATATTTCCTTAAACAAACATTCATAATGCACCTCAGATATTTACATTGAGTATCTGAAAACAGTAATAACAGCTTCAATTCATAATTCCAGAATTCATGACTGGAGTAATGTATTATCCTGGTTCTACCATTCACTATATCAAAGGGTCCATCAATGTAAGGCACGTAGCAAATAGGCTTTTAAAATATTGACAATATTTCTTTAAATGAACATCCATAATGCACCTCAGACAAATTTACATTGAGTATCTGGAAATAGTAATAACAACTTCAATTCACAACTGCAGAATTTATGAACTGATTAATGTGGTATCCTGCTTCTACCATTCATTAAATTCAAAAGGTCCATCCATGTAATGCACGTAGTAAATAGGCAAGTGAAACCTCACAAAAATGACACGTATTACTACTATCAATTAGATGCACAAATAATTTGCTTGAATCATACCTCGTGTTATAGTAAGTTGAATGATCCAATGAGCTTGTCTGCCAATAAGGCATGGTTTCTGCTTTTTCTCTGTGCATGGTCTCCTTTCTGCGTGACAAAATTTTCAGCAAACTCTAACTATAATTTGTAATTTTTTATTAACCAAAAAAGAAGAAAGGTAAGATAAATAAATAAATGACAACGAAGTATGAAGTGTTGAACTACCTAATTATCTAAGATTCAATACCTTTCAACAAATTCAGTGTTATGCATAGATTGTGAAGTTCTATCAACCAGACCTTCTTTGCTTCCATCAAAAGTATCTGTTTCTTCTGACTTGCAAACCCCAACAACAGTTTGTTCATTTTCTGGTTCAACTACAAAACTCTTTCCTTCTCCCCCAGCTACCATAATTGGAGGTGCACTTGGAGTTCCCAAATCTCCAACCTCTTTAATCAAGCCTATTTCGTTACCAGAAGAAATACCCTATAAACACACAAACGTCAACACCACAAAATTGAACAAACCAACACAAACCCACAGAATATTTCCATATTACTACCAACAGAAAATTCGTATCAAATGTTACAACTACTCTACAATAAAATCAAAGTAATCACGAGTAGAATTCTTTTAAAACTTACATCAAACGTCGCTGGTGCATTGCGTAACTGGACTTTCTCTCTCAGTGGGCAACTTCCAGCACCAGGGGTCAAATTCTTGAAGACATTTTTTCTGTTAACCAGTTCACCATCTGTGGTGAACCTTCTAAAATTACTAGGAACTTCAATTTTCAGATCTTCTTTCAATAAACCTCTACTCAACTTCGTTTTAGGCATGTTCCCATATACCTCTTCCTCCTCGTAGCTTTGCACAAATGGCTTCTCCAAATAGACAGTGTCGGTAACACCCGCGTCGTCTTCCTCCTCCTCGAAGTAATTCCCACCCACATAATCAGAAACGGACGCAACGCTCTCATTATCATCGTCGTCTGCGCATGGGACTACTATGCTGCGAGGTGTTAACAACCCAGAATGGAATTTAAGAGGAGGTAAAACATGGGTAGAGCTAAAACTATTATTATTGTATAAAAGTGGAGATTTTGGAAGTAGGTCAACGGGAGATTTTGGAAATTGATCGCGAGGAGATTGCTGCTCTGTTAATGGAGATAAAGGAGATCGAATACGGGGTTCTGGTATATCTGATCCCTGTAGGCACATGAAGTAACTTGCATAAAAATCAATGTATAAAAAATGAAAATTAGCTAACATAAAGTAGAAATTGTACGCATATTAAGCTAAATATAAAATCTAAAACAGAAAATATATGTTTTGGAAATTGATCGCGGAGAGATTGCTGCTCTGTTAATGGAGCATAAAGAGATCGAATACGGGTTCTGGTACTAACTTGATCCCCTGTCAGGCACAATGAAGTAACTTGCATGAAAAATCAACCTGTATATAAAAAAATGAAAAATTACTAACATAAAGTAGAAATTGTACCGCATTATTAAGACTAATATAAAATCATAAAACAGAAAAATATATAATATATATTATTAATAACTTATACGTAATATATATGAAAAGAAAGATTTTAGAACCTGCTTGATCCAGTTGATTTCGCTTTATATATATATATGAAAAAGAAAGATTAGAACCTGTTTGATCCAGTTGATTGCGCTTTCATCTAAACCTTCAGTGAACATTTTCTTAACTGGGATTTGGGAGAGAGAGAGAGAGAGGAGGGGCGCTCGATTCAAAGAGGAAAAGGAAAGAAATCGATGAGAAAGCTAAGAATTAGAAAATGAGCACTGAAGCAGAGAGAAACAGAGTTTTGAAGAGGAGAGCGTTAACTGGGTCTTGGATTTTTGTTTAAACAAATAAAAGGTAACGGCTAGTTTGACATTATTATTGTTTTATTCTTGTGGTTTTTTATTTCTTGTTATTTATCATTTTTATTCTCATTAGAAAGACCTCTTTTTGTTTTTGACACTTCAACCTCATTTTCTATCACTAAAAGTTTATCATAAAAACCTTATTATACTTTTTACTCCTTTTGTTGCATGAATAAAATTTGCTCTTTTCATAGTGATTAAGAAAATAAAATGATTAAAATTTATTAATTTTTTAAAAATATATAATAAAATATCTAAATTGTCATTCTTAAATATAAATATAAAAATAAATTACATATAATAAATATAGATAAAATTGAAAAAAAAATTAATATAATTTTAAAATCTTAAATGAGCACTTAAATACAACAAAACAAAATACCTATTTATTTTTGTGAGAGTGGAATGGAGGAAGTATTTCTTAACCATATGCCTTTATTAGGATTTTTTTTTTTTTTTTTTAAATATTTAATTTTATATTTTTGTGAAATGTTTTATGCATTGCGGTTACAGTCAACTCTAATTATATTTACCATTCAATTATATTTTAATTTACTTATATTTTTATAATAATAAAATATTTTTTATATAAAATAAATTATAAATACATTTATCACTATACTATATTTTCAAAGTAAAAAAAAATCACTATACTATATTTTAATTTATTTATATTTTTATAACCATAAATTGTTTTTTTTGACGCAAATTGAATTTTTCGTTAGTCAAAATTTCACATGGAGCTTTTTTATTTTTAAATAAAAATTCATTTAAAAAATTATTTTATCCTCCACCTCAGCGCTCGATTTTCACCTTCAGCAACTCTCTCTCTCCTTCTACAACTGCATTTATCCATCTTCAGCCTATTTTTTCTCTCTCTTCAACTCTCCATCTTGAACCTAATTTCTCTCTCTTCAACCTATCCATCTTCAGCGCGCTGCTACCATCCTTCTCAAGAAACAAGATCTTAAACCTCCAAAACCAAAATGTCAAAACAAAACACCTCCATTTAATAGAGATCTCGGGTAACATGATCTGAAATTTTATTTTTGGCTACTATCTCTAGATGAATATTTATTTTGATTTGCATATGTTTGTTTCAGGATCTTGATAAATATTTGATCGAAGCTTGGATTCGATTGTTTTTGTTATAAATGGGTCTTTGAGTTTAGTAGAAAAATATTGCAGTTTATAATCTACATAAATTTATTTTCTACAAGACTAAAGAACTGGAAATTCACCTTCTTATGGTGTTTTTTGGCGGTTGTTTTGTCTTCTTTGGTTTTAATATTTTATGATGGAAGCATTAAAAGAGGCGATGATGATTTCGAGATTAGGAGCCTGCTTGAATAATGATCGCGAAGCTGTTAGTGATTTGAGTACCTATTTTCTTGTGAAGTTAACATGCATTTTCAGGTAACAATGACAATGGTAACTATAACAGTGTCAATGGTGATGGCAGTCAGTGGAAGGGACTAGGTGAGAGGGAAGAGAAAAAGAATTAAAGAATTAAATCCTGAAAAAGAGAGAAGAGAGTTGCAGAAAGTGAGAGAGAGAGAGAGAGAGAGAGAGAGAGAGGGGATGAGGCTAAGCTGAGGTGGAAGATATAATATTTCTTTACATGAATTTTCACTTAAAAAAGCCACATTATAAATATGTGGCATTCCATGAAAAAATTCAATTTACCTGGCATTCCTATCAAAGAAAAATACCTATTTTCTTTTAAGATAAAATTAGGTATTTTTAAGTTATAAATTGAAATTGTTATTTCAGTCGAAGTGATTTTTTGTTTTGACCATGATAATATTGAAATTTATTTTCTTTAAAATGTAACTGAGTAAATATAGACATGACACTGAGACATGATATATTTTTTATACAATTATAGTAATTTTATGAAGGTGATATATTCATATATTTTCTATACACGCATTATTTTTTCTTTTTTTTAATTTAATTATGGATCACCTCTAAAAAAATTTAATTATGGATCAATTTAATTTTTTTATATGATAATATATCATCTTTTAATCTTGTTTAAATATAAACATTGAAATTATTAATATCATATGGTTTAGTTGGTATCTTTATTTGTTTGATGAGAGTTATTAAAAAAAATTTTCAAAAGGAAATGGAAGGATTATGTTATTATATAAAAAAAAATATATTAACCGAAAACTGCGAAGTATATTTATTTATTTATTTATTCATTGGGTTTTTAGTAGTATATTTCATTTTCTCACGTGCGGACAAAAGTGCAATGAACTAATCAGGAAGGAAGAAGAACAGAGGAGAAAGGTTTATTCTTGAGAAGGAAACATCAAATTCAAAAGAAGAAACCCAGATTTGATTATTTCACATTTACCAACAATGGCAAGTGCATTCAGTACAAACATCTATCTACCTCGAAATCCTCAAAAACCCACCTCACCATTAACACTAGAGACAAACATAGTCAAAAAAAGAGCCTTACACGTTTCCTTACATGCAGCAGAACATGCCATAAGTAGAACAGAACAGAGACTTTCTCTCTTTCAGTGACAACCCAAAGCGGAATCAACACCAATTGCAAAATCCCACATCAGCTTCCCGTACACTGTTAAGGCAATGTCTTTTTGCAGTCTTAATTGTCGCTCTCAGGTGAGTCTAGTGGTTCTTTTCACCCCCTCTTCATCGGTTTCATTTCCTCGTGATGTTAATTCCTTAGTGCACAAATCTTACTTTCATTCTTTAATGCTTACAAAAAGGACGTTGAGCCTGTTCTTGGAATTTTGCTGGATTTTATTTAATGGGTATAAATTTTTTTGCTATTTTTCAAATTGATGGACCCCATCAAAAATTTTTGGATGGGTCCCTTTGTGGCAGTCTGTCTAGTTGTCTGGTTTCAGTAATTTTTCGCAGTCTTGGTCATGGGTTGATGGCATGCATGATATAGAAGCAATAATTTGTGCTTGTTGAGTAGTGAGGAACAGAGAGGTTTAGGAATGGAGGTGTTCCAAGGATTAGAAGGAGCTGGGGATGTTCCTACAAACACTCATCAGCGCATAGATGATTTTGAAATTGAAAATGGAGGATTACATTATAATTTAGCTCAATTTGAGTACGCTAATGAGTTTGAGCTTCAACCCCAACTTGAATATGACTCTGATGTTGAGCTTGTTCCACTATTTGATGAATGGGACCTTGATAATGCTTTTCTTGCACTCCAAGAAACCCTTGCCCCTGATCCTAACCCTGACCCTGACCCTGACCCTGACCCTAACTTGGTTAATGATCATGTTGTTCCATTGGAGGAAAGGGAGGTGGTGGTTGTTGTTGAGAATGAGGAAACTCCAAATGATCTTAACATAGTTAATGCCTATCTTGTTTCACCTGGGGAAGGTGATAACGAGATGGTGAGGGATGAGGAAGAGCTTCACTTGTTTTTTCCTCAACCTTCTGTTATTTTCAGTTCTGATACAAAACCTCGTCTTCGATGGACTCCAGAACTTCATAATTGCTTTGTTAGAGCTGTCAGACATCTTGGTGGACCAAGAAGTTAGTACAACTTTTAATATTTTTAATCATTTCTTTCTTTGTTTGTCATTCATTTGATTCGATGAATGATTTGGTTATTAGTTCAATTGATTTCCTTAACTTTTGAGAACAAAGATTTCTTTTCCCTCCTTTTTAACAAAGTTATTGCAGAATGCTAAGCAAGTGATGTTGAATCCATTTCTGAGAATAACTTCTAATTTTCAGAATTTTTTTAAAAATATTTTAAGCTAATAAGATTGTTCATTTTTTCTTAAACATGTGTTAATCAACTGTAATTTCAAGCTGCATGGTTCTTTTGATGTGCAAAGGTGACTTGTGATCTGGATCTTGTTTTATTGGATTCAGTATGGTTTTTTTTATCTAGATTTGAGGTTGCCAAGTTAAATTTTTCTAATCAATTTTCGAATTCTCCGTCGCATGCACTTCTAGTACAATTCGCTTATTTATTGACTTTGTTTCAACAATTGTCCTTTTAGCAATGTCTTTTGATTGTCAAAAGTTTGATTTCTTTTTGCATCACTGGTTTTTCAAAGATAATTGCATGCAGCACTATGGTTGTTATCTTACCATATATCCTATATGTTAGTTATATAGATTTGTACTGCTAGATTTCATATCTAGCTATCAGCTGAAAGATATAATAATTTTGCTTAGATTTATTTACTTTTATGGAGTTGCTCTGGCTAACCTAGCAATTCTTCCTCATTTTATTTTCCTTTTCTTATCCTTTAACAAGCATGCAGGTGATTTATGTCCTCTCAGTTTGGGTTGTACTTTATTCAATTAGTCTCGATTGATATTATTATTTATTATCTTTTAATTTGTCATTTTGAGTGAGTCTTACAGCAAATTTTGTAGTTATATTTTCTCTCACATCCTCCTGGTTACATGTCCTCTCAGTTTGAGTTTTATTAATTTCCTGTTGTTTTTCTTGAAACAATGTCCAGGTTTAGCAGTACATCGAGGTAGCTTTTGTCTCTTTTTCAATATTATCGCAGTTCTGATATGTGGTTTCTTTGAGCTTTTTTTTATTTCCTATTAAACAAGCAAAACATTTGCGAATTTAGTTTCAGTGGCAATTTTCTCCTTCTTGAAGATTTGCATATTTCTATGTAATGCTTATCAATAATTAATAGTTTTTCAGTGGCTGCTTATAAAACCTTTGTTGGATTTGTTAAATGGATTGTTTTACACTTCTGGATCTTCATTTATGAATTTTGAATGTTCTTATATTTCTGCTATTTTACATTTCATGAATCATTCTTTGCCATGTACATAGAGTAAGTTTGTCAGCTTCTAATTTATATGTCTTTTCATTTTTAATCGCTGTGCACAATGAGAACTTTGTTATTAGAAAGGTGTTTGTTGGATGCTTATCGTGTATTTATCAGTACGTATTGTGCTGCACACAGTTTTAAGTGCTGTTGGAGATGATACTATATCTGATTTGAATGGGAAAAACTTGAATGTATATGATCTTGTAACAGTAATTTCCATATTGGATAAAAAAACCTAAAATATATTTTTGACCATGTTAACGAGAACTTTCTATTTTTATTGTTGACTCACTCCTTTTCATTTTGATTCTTGTCAACTCTAGTCATCAGGCACATGCATGACCTTTATTCACATATAGTACCTGTTTTTGTGTGTTTCAGCACTTTAGTATCAAATTAATGTTCTCGGTCCAAATGCGTGTTTCATGTCGACTTAGAGTTCCTAACACTGTCTTCGTCCAATTTTGTACTAAATTTTGTTTATGAAGCAGTGAGGTCATTTTGTTGTCAATGCACTAAGCTTCCTTTCAGAATTACAGTTTTAAGCATATAATTTTAACTAGCATGTTCTTCCATAAGTTGGTCTTACTGCCATGCTGAATTTAGGTGCAGTTTATCAATAAAATGACTAAATGTAATTAGAAAACAAATAACTAATAGGAGGCAGTAAAATTGGCCAGACCACGATTCAGCCCTTGTCAGTTAAATATGGTAAAAATGCTGCATCAAGTACTTACACATTTTGAGAGTGAAACTTGTTCTAATGAATGAAGTTCATGGTAGAATGTCATTAAAAGAGTAAAAGAAGACATTGTTAGCATTTTGTGAGCCTATCTTCTAGCAATTTGGGAGAATTTTGTGATCCATATAATTTTTGGTTAGGCCCAGTCATGGTAAGTCACAATGGAGTTTAAAGTGGTAACTTATCAAGGCAAGGTGAAATCCTAATTTCATAATTGAGTGGTGGATTGAGAGTAATTAGCAATGTTGCAGTTTTCTTATCTGCTTGTGGTTAAACCAAGCTAGGATAACTTTTACAGTGTTAATTAATATGGTAAGAGTGATTGTCGTTTCATGACTTCTAATCTAAGTTAGGAAGTATATATGCCTCATCATTGGTCTTTTTGTTTCATTTATTTTGCCATGATCTCCTTCCCATGCATCATCTGCAATGGAATTTTTTATTTTCACTTTCTATTTCAGTTGTTGACCAGTGGTATTGCGTTGGTCCTTTATAGCAAATATTGACTGTCCAATATTTCTAATCAAGAAAGAAATATTATCTGTCTAATGATCATATCATAATGTTGTTTCAAGTGATTTGACTTTGATATCTTTGTGCATCTTGTATCAGTTGTTATGTATATGCTACTTTAGGAAATCAAGCATTTAATGTTATGACTTTTAACATATACTTGCAGAAGCAACTCCAAAGGCTATTCAGTTCATGATGGATGTTGATGGTTTAACTCTTTACCATGTGAAGAGCCATCTCCAGGTGTTTTTCAACAACTTGAATTGAATGTTTCCATTTTAGAAGCTATATGAGTAGTTAACATATCATAACAAATGGGAAACCAACATTTTACTGTACTGACTTTATTGTTGTGTAATATGCTGTAGAAATACAGGCAAGGCCGTCATTCAGTGAAGGAGTGGCCTGGGAGAGTGAAACATGGTGAGTTCTCTAATTAAGTTTAAGAATTGGTCTTATTTCTGAAAATCCAAGTGCGTCAATTGATATGAGAAAGTAGAGGATTTGAAAGCTATTAGTATATTATAAAACCACATATTCTGAAGGAAATTAAAAAATAGAATCGTTTTTTTTTTTTTCTCTTTCTCCCTATAACAACTAGAAAGTTAATGGAGAACTTCTTCAATTCATGGAAGCTGTAGAAAAGGATGGCTTGCTGATTAGGAGGAACAAACAAATAATAGAACTACACATAAATATTAAAAGGAAATACAAAAGGGAAAACAATGATTTCCAGAGAACAAATTCTGCTAGTACATAGAAAGTATAGGTACGGGCTTGCTTCCTTTAAAGCTACAATTTTAAGTGGAGAAAAGGTAAACTTTTCTAAAATTCAAATCTATCTTGTATTTGGAAAACATAGATAATCCCAATGAAATTATGTTGTAATTTTCATTCTATATATATTCCACAATTGCTAAAGTGAATAACTAAACTTGAGTTCAGTAGTTTAATACCCACTTTACTGCTTCATTTGTTGACAAGAGGAAAAAGAGAGCATCTACATAATCAAATGTCAAAGTGGCATAGGCAATATTTGATGAGTGTGTGTGTGTATAGTTCGACACAGATTCTGAATGTAGTATGACCAACTTTTTTTATTTTAACTATCCCTTCAAATATCTCTTTTATGTACTGAAGTACCTTTTAATTTACTTATTGTGCTCAGAATTTGTGTATTTCGACTCAGTAGCAGGACACCTGCGTAGATGAACAAAAATAACTAAAATAGGTTCAGCAGCATAAGACCTTGTCCCCTTCACTGTTGTTTATGCATGCTGAAATTTTTTTTTTCCCTATTCTTTATATCTGACATAATCTGAGATCAATTAGGGAATGAAGTTCTTGTGTAAACAAATTTTATTCTCTTTGCCTAGCGCTCAAGCTTTATTCTTAAAGATCAGAAAGGAAAATAGTGATGTAAATACGCGTTTGGGCTATTAAAGATGAAAGTAATAAAAATCTAAAGGAATTAAGAAGTTGTACTGTACAGATCTAAAGTTGGTAATTGCATATTATTTTGACAATTGGAAAAAATTAGGTAAGTACATGTGTCTTAGTTTATGCATATGTATGTCTGGTAGAAAGAGGAAGGAAGGAAAGGGATTGAAAGAACCTTGAAGTTAAAGAATTCAGATGGACATGCAGGGAAGTAATTCTACCAAGATAAAAAATAAAAATAAAAAATAAAAAAAATAAAAAAATAAAAAAAAAGCCACATGCATATATGTTTCCAGACAGACTTAAGTTTTCACTTCATTCCATGAACTGAAATTTGAATTATGAAGAAATAAGGGAAAATACAATACGATCCCTATAATTTGTGAAATATAACTAGTTTGTCCCTGTGTTTTTTAAAATATACTGATTTTTCATATGTTTTACTTCCGTTACACTATTAGGTCCTTCTGTCAAATTTTTGCGTCTTTTCCATTAAGTCAACAAGAAAACACAAATGTTAAAGGAGAGATACTAAAAATATTACAGTAGCGTCCCTATGGTTTGAAAAATACAACTAGTCTGCCCCCTGCGTTTTTTAAAATAAAAGGGGTATTTTCGCTATTTCATAAGGTTCTTAACGGAAAACATGTAAAAATTGGACAGAAAGACCTTATAGTCTGACGGAAGTAAACTATAAAAATATTGTAGTTTATTTTTAAAAAGACAGGGACGTACTAGTTGTATTTCACAAACCACAGGGATCGCATTATATATTTCCCAAGAAATAAATACATACCTGTTCTCTTAGGTCAGTTTTAGTGGTGAAATGTCCAGAACAAGCTGTGTTCAATTGTTATGTTGGATTCCTTCCAACCATGTAGTTTCTAGGCAGTATCAGAAAGTGCAACTACATCCTTCCAAGCCCTTTTTCTTTTATTTTTAATAACTCCTACTTGGTATTTGAAAACTTTTCATATGACTTCTGTTTGCGACAGTAGAATGAATTTTCCTGCAGCATTGGTGGATTGTGCTTCTTCTGTGTAAACCATAAAAGGGAAAACATTTAAATTATGTTCCTCTGGCACAGAAGAAATGCTGTAACATACTAACATGAATAAAGATTCTTGGAATTCTTTTAAATGTACGAGGGATTATAAAAAATTACTAGAAACTTAAAATACAGATAGGCATAGTGCTTTGTTGGGTGAACTGGAAGCTATTTAAACCTGTTTGCTTTGATTATATTTCTAGATATGCTGACATTTAAATTTAAAGCAGTGTGTTTCATTTTAGAGCTTGCCTTTTGTCTTAAATGCCACTAGGTAAAAGTTCCTCAAAATCTCGAGCCACAGTAAGCTCAAGCAAGCCTGTGAGCCTTTCACCATCCCAAGCAAATAGGTAAGATAAATCATTTATGTTGATTAATTTTGTAATGGTACTGGAGATTTTTATTTTGGAGTTATGATGAAGCTAACAGCTGCAACCATGTGTTTTGGATGCTGCAGTTCCGCATACACTGATGCCAAAGGCAAAGCAAAAGCTAATGAGAATATTGGAGGTAGTCTTTTTATGCAAATGACGGTAAGCTTAATTATTTTCCTAAATATAAGAATAATTTTTCGTTTTATTTTAGTTTAGGGAATATGTTTTCTCAATAATTAGGCTTCAGGTAACCATTATGTATTAGGTTTGACTAATTAGTTGAGACTCTTAAGTTTGGAAAATTAAATGGTTGCCTATTGATTATCAGAAGAGGGATTTAAAATGCACTGGTTAATTTGTCAGAAGATTTTCAAGGCTTCATATCTGAAGAAAATTGAATTCAGTTATATCAATTGAATTTGCAAAGGAACTTGAATAGTTCATTTATTTTATCCTTGTGCAGTCTGAGAAGATTGTTCTAAGGTTTGAGGCAGCGCAAAGTAGTTACTTGGACCTTGCAGTAGAGAATGCACGTAGGTTATTTTCTAATCACTATTTTCGAGGTGCTACCATAGGCAATGCAAGTTACGCTGGGCAAGAATGCACTAGTATAGGAACCATGGCACCAGTGCCAACTTTCTACCAAAACCAGATAAATACATGCAATGCATATAATTCACTGGAGACAATCAGAGCAAATACTTCTAGTCTAGTCCAACATCATAGTTTTCTACCTCTGATTGCATCTTGTTCTGAAGATCACTTCCCTTCGATCAGGTAACCAACAAATACATATCAGAAGGATTTCAATGGACTCCAAGAAGGTGCTGGTAAAAGGCTGCACAGCCTATCTGAATTGTGATGCTAGCGTCAGAAGCATCAGTGGAGTTGCGGGGACCTCAAAATTACACAACAGAATCAATCCATGCAGGTTGAGGTTGGTTACGAGGCTACCTTGTCTACCTTTTTCTTCAGCAGTGAGTCTTGAGTTATCTTGTGTTTTCTGTACAAGTAAAACAAAGGCAGACCAGAAGTTGTCCTTTTGGATGAAACTCCAGCAGTTAGTCTGTGTGTTGCATTTGAATGCTTATGTAATACATTCAACCGTTTCTGTGTGCTAGCTTGAATTTACTTTTGCATCATTTACAATAAATCTGACTTTGTGATTATTTCCTGAAAATAGAAGGTAATAGTTAGTCCCCAGGATTACAAATAGAGAAAAACTTCAGTAGAAATTATTTGCATTATGGAACAAAAATTATGATAAACAAGTGATTTATCTATTTTGGGTGAGGACTTAAGGGAGAGGAAGAGAAAAGCTTGATTTGAACCCTTTACTATATGCTAGAAGTAGTTAGGTCTTGTTGGGTCATGGAATGGAATAATTATTTTTCACTCTTTATAAAATTTATGTTTCATAGATTCAAATTATATCCAAATATAATAAATTATTATATGATTGGAGATTCAAATTGGAACATAAAAGGTAACTATGACAAGCAATAAGACTATGGAAGGTGTTGATGATTAAAAGTTTTTAACTTGTATCATAATCATCATATTTTTTCTTATTCATGAAGTGGATAGTAATGTTTTCAAAATCAATCAATCCATTCTATTTTTTGGTGAGATTGTATTGGCTAATGACTCTTCCATTTTAAACGGGAGCTCATATAATACAAATTTTACATCCTACCTAATACAATGAATTTTTTATTGGTTGATTACAGATTATTTGATCATTTTTCTCTATGACGTGGACAAACTATATATATATAATAGAACATAATACAGTCATTCGCCTTCCTATTTCTTTGTCATCAATCAAAAAGAACATAATACAAGTCATTATTTTTTATATGGCACCATGATGGGAAGCAATCTTAATGAAGTCATTCACTGTGACGTGAAGCAGAGCACTTATATATCTACTTTTCATATGAAATTCAATTTTTTTTATGTGTTTTGCAGATATAGGCAGTTCAGGTTTTCATTAACGGTTAAATTCTGAAATTTTTAATAATTATTTGACTTCGGTATTTGCTTATTTTGTTCAACTTCTCAATCTCCAACCCGAGGTTAAGTGAACTCAATAATTAACATACAAGCTTGAGCTCGAGCAAAACCTACATATCAACCATGATTTTTTTTTTTTTTTTTTCTTTTCAATTGTAAAACGAGTCCAAGTCAGGTTCAAATTTGAGTTTGACTTAAAGATCAGTTTTTAGAACTCAAATATAAAATTACCCAGTGAAGCTCCAACCAAAGGTTTGGAAGAAAAATATGGAAGCAGAAATTTACGACAGACAAATTTAGACAGCATTGAATAGTTTGTTAAGGAAAAGGCCATTTAAACTGCGTTTATATAATAAAGTGGCTGAACAAAACCAAAAAAAAAAAAAAAAAAAAAAAATTTTTAGCATGTAATCTGATAGTCTTTAATACATCACAACAAGATCAGCTATCATAACGAATTTTAGCAAATGAAATATCAGAAAAAAAAAAAAAATTTGTGGAGTTGTGAAGCAAGATGGCTTTCTCTTCGTACAAGCAGAGTCTTCTCAACTGATTGTTAAAAGACAAAATGCTTCTAGTCAATCTTTACGGATGAGAAAAGGTAATGCACAAAGTAGAAGGACATAAGGAAGCCTATGGTGCCTGTAGACAACATGATTGCAATTGCCATGAGCAGCGAGTAGCCGAGATAGAGTACAGCTGATACAGGTCCACTCAAACTCTGGAGGTCGAAAACCAAATAATTGATGGAATATAAGAAGACGTAGAGAGCAACTGAACCAGAAGCAAAGAAAGCCTTCCACCACCATCGCCAGTCCTCCACGCAGAGATGCATGTAGGTTAGAACCACCGACACTTCAGCACAAACAACCACCAACAGCAAAAGCACTATGAGCAAGAAACCGAAGACATAATAGAACCGTCCGAGCCAGATGCTGGAGAGGATGAAGAACAACTCAATGAAAAGGGTTCCAAATGGAAGAGTTCCAGCACCAAGAACAAGAAGCCATGATGGATATTTGCGTGCAGGAATTTCCCTTGGGATCTGGTTGGTTCTAACTGGATACTGAATTGCCTCCGCTCGGGTTCCAAAGAATCCTCCTAACAATGTTAGTGGCACTGAAATGCAAAACCAGAGGGCCAGAAGTATAAAATATAAGGAAATGGGAATAGCACCAGTGCTCTTGCTTCCCCACAGAATGAAATTCAGCACTGTGAGGATAACAAAGGCAACACCAGGGAAGAAGCATGCAGCCGACCAAGACACTGATCTCCACCCTTCTGCAGTTCCCTTCATAGTTCTCCACAAACGTACAGAAACATAGCCAGCAGCAATACCCAAGAAAAGATAAAGAATTATCATTCCTGTCAGTAGCATTCCTCTTGATGCTGGTGACATAAAACCAAGAGCTGCAAAAACAATAGTGACAACTCCCATTCCAGTAATCTGAACTCCATCCCCAACCATGACACAGAGAAGCTTTGAGCACTCTGGCTCTCTGAAGACATCACCCACAACAAGCTTCCAGCCTGAAAGCTCTTCATTCATCTGTGCTTGAGCTTCTTTGTCCAATTCCTCATACCTAGTCAAATCCCTTCTTACGGTCCTTAAGAATATGACAAAAACGATGCCAGCTAGGAAAAAGATCACCATAAGAGAATTTAGGATTGAGAACCAGTGGACACGAGCACCTTCCATCTTCAAATAAGCATCCCAACGAGATGGCCATCTAATATCACTTTTAACAAACTCAACCTCATAAGTGAATGAAACTCTCTCTTGCTCCCTTATGATCTGAGACTTGTCAAGGTCCAAGGGGCAATTGACAGATGAGATATTGTCATACATATGAAGCTTTGACATCACTTCAGGATCATACTTAACACTGCATGGTACAACCTCAAAACCAACTATCTCAAAACCAGATGCCTTCTTTTTGTCTGCTTCAGAAATCACACCCATGCCTTCTTCCCCAGTACCAATGATCTCCACCCCACTCCCTTCATACTCATGAACCAAGACAGTGAACTTAAGATGATTGATGATGTAATCATCATTGCTATTCTGTGGCGTATAGCCAACAGGGAACCCAGTCCACTGAATATTTACTCCATTTTGTTTTGCATACCTCATAGCAGGCAAATTATCCAAAATCATATTCACTTGATACAAATCACGTGTTCTCTGTTTCAAAAGCTTTACCTCGTGTTCACTCAATGGGGGTGTAGTACAAAGGAAAACAGACTCATTGATATTCATTCTAAACCGGTAAGGAGAGTTATCAATCTGATCTCCCATAAGGAGCTCCCCAAGATTCTCAGCACTTTTTTTTATTCCACCAGGTGGCTTGCAATAAGGGAGACTATAGTAGCTAAAGGGAAGCTCCGTCTCAATAGAAGTTAAAGAGTTAACTTTGGCAAGTATCTTTTCACCAGTGGAATATGTGTGCATATAGCTACCAGGCAAATAAAATGCATTGCAAGTGTGCAAAAAAAGAACCATCAAAACAGAAGCCCGGTACACCATGGGCATCCTCATTTTCGACATCAATGAGAAAGCTACTAAATTAAGCAGATCTTTGAATCAATGCTGGATCTAAGTTAACCTACAAGCACATTAAACATCAAATCCATATAAAATGAACCTTCTATAATCAAACTGATTTCATTGATTTCACAACTAAATTAAAAATGTCATATTCATATACGCAGAAAAATCGTTTAGAACAATGGATCAATTAACAGAAATGGCTAAAAATGGCAAAGACGAAACATAACCAAACACTAAATAGATCAAAATCAAGTATTCAATAAAAACAGATCAGGAAAACGAAACATAAAATTTCCAAAGACAAACACAATAAATATTCCAATAAGCCATAAACAATTACACTTCCGCCGTGAAACCTTCAAAGCACACCGTAGAACTAACAGAGAGGCATATACATAAACAAAAGCATATTACCTCAAATAGATCTGGAGATGCGACGAAACAGATCGGATCCGGATTCCGAAAAGCCCGCTCGAATAGCCTAAAGAGGACGCAGAACCGTGTCCCTCTCCGTGTCTGCGCGACAAAATTCTGGTTTTCTAGTTGGTACAAAGAGAGAAATTTGCAGAGATAGGGTAGTGGTGTTACGCTAAAAGTGTGAAGAATAAAGATTTTATAAAAGCAGGGAACATGAAAAATGAAGGAAATTTTTAATGGTTTACAGATTTTTATTTTACAGTTGATGGTAGAGACGCAACACGTCGAGTACTAACCGGGTTAACCCTCCAAACGTAACTCGGGTTAAGATTTTGGTTAAGATGGCCGGTGCTCATTTAAATTTTTTTTTTCAAAAGAAGGTATGCTAGAATTAATATTTTCAATTAACTGTTTGACTGTGAATTATTTTTTAATTATATAAAATAGAATATGGCCCGACGTGCTCATTTAGAACTTTCTTTTTCCAACAATGACAGGATACCTCAGACAACTTAATTATTTTCCCAACTATAACCTGTTTGACCCCCTTGTGAATTTATTTTTTTAGAATTTATACCAAATCAGAAAGTATATATATATCTACATTATATATATATATATATATCTTTATTAAATTTATTGAATTTTGATGAAATATATCTTGTTAAAGATGTATACTTGATAACTAGTGCCAGACGACATTTGTGAGATATATATTATCCCCAATTCAGACGGTTGATTTTTTTTGATTAGTCCTCTACCAACGATACCGATTCATCATATTTTTTTTCGGAATAGTGAGAATCAAAAAGTGTGTAAAAGAGAGTGGTAATTTTGCAACTTAGATCGTAAGTCACGTAAGGATTACCTCAGACACCTAAGGAAACAATAGGGAAGAATACCCAGAATAAGTAATCAAAAAATGTCAGGAATGATTCATTCCAACCTAGATATTATATTAAGTCTTGGGGCAGGATAAGAAAATAAATAATTCAATGTGAAAATAGAGAATTATCAAGAGTACGTTAATTCGCTATTTGTTGAAATTGATAAATTTTCATATCCTATACCGATTATTAGTTACCTATCCAACCCATATTGTGAATCCTATATATAAAAAAAAAATTCTAAAAGTTAAATTAAATGGAAAAAAATAATTTCTATTAAATGTAAGTTAGAATAAATTGAACAAGGAGAAGAAAGGATTGAGTAAATTCAGTCCGAGTATGATTCCGAACAGACGAGAACGAAGTATGCATAAAGGGAGAACAAAGAACTCAAGACACCCTTATTATACAAATCAACGAGAGTTCTTTGAGTAGTAGTTGGAGAGATGTACGATAACAAAACTATGTTTGAGTAACCATAGCTTTTCACACTGAAAAGATTTGTGAAAAAAATAATAATATAAAAAAACCGAGAGAAATGAAATAATTAAAAGTGGAGTTGAGAAATATTGGATATGGCTTAGGCAATAGGAATTATGAGTAGAGGTAGAGATCTGTAAAATTACGGTTAATTCTTTAAGTGGACAGTTTATGAAGTTAGGCACCACAAGAGATAGCCTGATTTATAACACAGGAGTAAAACCAAGTCAAGACCGGAAAAAATAAGTTGAGGACAATTATAAATATAAAGGAAAAGGTGCGTTATTATAGCCCATTTTTTTTAGAGGTCCATATTATGTATGGTACCGAAAGTATGTCCATTAAAGAAAAAAACTTCTTTTCAAAGTATTTCCACATGCCCGAATATATAATATCTCATATTTTCCAAAGTATGATTCTCCCAAGTTACTTTATGAATTTTTACAAATGTACCGATAACAAGAAAAGATTGAGTACCATTATCTAAATCACAGTCTACATGTACTGTAGTGTATTAGGTATCTAAGTTAAAAATTACGTCAACAAGCTATTCGTCTTGAAGAGATTATTGTAATTATAGTAGTTATTTATTTTTTTTACTACTTTTTTTTGTTCACCTAATATATCACTATGAGATTTGCTATGTGGTTTATGAATGACGAATTGTTCAAATATGTTTAAATATTGTTAATTGTACAATTAAATAAATTACTTTATTTATAAAATGTTTAATTAATTTTATTTAATTGGAATAGGTTAACATTCCCTCATAGATTACATAAGTTATTCCAAATAAGAACATCGTTTCTATTCGTCAATTTAAAGATTCGATCTTTATTTATTTAAAAATAAATAATTGGCTGATTGGTTTACAATTGATAACGTTACATCAAGTATATAGTGGCATATTATGTCTATCTTTTGGATACTAAATACTGATTGGAAAGTGAACAATTGTTTGGTGTATTATATTATGGGTATATGAGTGAAAGAATTTGGGGGAAATAGTATTAAGATTACCTCGTACCGATATAATAGATGTATTTCAAGACATTTTCTAGTCACTTTCATTAAGAAGTGAATAATACTAAATTATTAAAATAATTGATTATTTTACCATTTAAGAGATAATATGTGTTAAAGTCAAAATAAGAGAAAATGATTTACTTCAAGTGGATTTATTTGGTGGGCAACCCCGAAGTGGTGCTTATATAAATGATTAAATATCAGAAGGGTGAATTTAAAATAAATTTAAAGTGTCATAATTGTAATTAATAACATAGACCATAACGTGGGAGATAGAACAGGTTAATGGTTAACTTTTTTTTTTTAATTAGATGTTAGTGACTATAGTGTGTGATGATGATTTTATAAAATGAGACAGTTTTTTTAATAAAAAAGGATTTTGTAATTTTTGACTTTTAGTGGAAATTATGTGTCTAAATAATGAGAAACACTGATTTGAAATTGAATTTCCATTTTCAGTTTACGAGGAAAATCTTTTCATTGGCAAAAATCAGAGTAATATTTAGAAAATAGAATCACTTCTTATCAGAAGTTTCATTTTTGACCCCTGTAAGACCAATAAAACATATTTAGTGATATAATATTAAATTAGACATGCTATTTGGATATTTTTAATTGTACAACAAAACAATTCAATTCATTTAAACCTTGTGGATGGGTTTTTTTTGTTCCTATTAGAAAATTATCCCAATATTATTGCTACTTTAGTTATACATACGACTTGGGTTGATTTCATAAATACTCATATTTTTTATGATAATCAACAAAAGTGGGGGGCATATGTGGATTAACCAATTTAATTGATAAAAACCATTGTATTTTATGGGCCACATCAGTGAAAATACTAAGACCAGCTTTTAACGTAAAGGATACTTATATATCATGTTAATAAAACGAGACAGAACACTAGAAAATGAAATTGCTACAATTTTTTTTGTAATCCAGGAGGAGTAATTATATATTTAACCTTTTTAATTCAGTAATTTATAATAAAATAGTAATTATATTATATGTATATAATTTTTTTAGAGAGAGAGTTGTAGAAATATGGACTTAAGCGTATAAATTAATAAAAGAAAACTATATTTAATACACCAATATTAGTTATTACGAACCATAAAAAATAGGAAAAAAAAATAACGAATAAAAGAATTTATTTTGGGTCACTGAAAACGTACAAGGATAGGAAGGTATCCAATTTTGGAGTTCAAAGTATAAGCGTATTATTAAATATTAGTAACTTGAGTTAAGGAGGGTCTATGTAGAAGGGTATAATAGTTTGATTTGGTGTATCAGGATGAAATTGTATGGAAGGGTCGAATCAGTAAATCCTTTGATATTTTGTATAAAAAAGTCTATTAATAAAACCATTTATAAAAAAATAAATAAGAAAATATACTATAAAAGATATTCAGATTATGGCATAAGAATATTCTAGAAAGAACAGAGATCCGGTGGAAGCAGAAACAGTATGACTTTTAGATTGATAATGCAATATAATAGTTGATTAAGAGCTATAGTTTTTTTTACTTATTTCTTTGGGAAACTATTATAGTTGTTGTTGCGAGACGGTTATATTATTGTTAAGTTAACCTGCATGGTTTTTTCATTAAATACATACTAATTTGGAATGTTTTATTAAATATATATTGATTTAAAATATGAGATACAGATCAATATCTTTTGATATTTTTGTATAAAAAGTCTAATAATAAACCATTTATACAAAAAATAAAAAGAAAAATATAATATTGATTTAAAGTATATGATCGAATTGATAATGCATAATATTTGCATAGGCAATCGTTTTTTCTACTTGGTGGCTATTCACGGTCATTGTTTGACTCCATGGTCTTTCTACAAATCCGATATGATTACCTTCAAATTTATTCTTTCTATTGGCGAGGAGATCTACACTTATTTCTGCATAACTACAAAACTGCCAAAAGACATTAGACACAATTACTATAATGGTGATAACAATAACTCAGAACTGAGAACAAAATCTCAAGACATGAGTAACGATAAATCTCAATACTTAGACAAAAATAATTCAAACTTGTATACAAATTTGATCATTATTTACAAAAAAAAAGAAAAAAAAAAAAAAGGAAGGAGTAACCACCAGTAAGGGTTTAGCTGAGTAAGGGTTCACATTTTAAAGTTTTCAAGATATATTTTAAATCATGATATATCTACTTCAAGATAAATTTTTCATCCTAAATTTAAATCATAATTCGTACTAAATTTGAAATGAGTTAAAATAATAATATTTTATTATTAAATGCCGATAATAAAATTATACTTCTAAAATGAAATAATTTAATAGTTAAAATTATAATAATCTTTTCAATATTAAAAAGATGGATAAAAATTTGAAATTTGAAGTATTATTATAAAAATATTTTGATTATTATAGTTCCTATGATATTTCATGATGTGGTATTTTGTGTTGGGAGTTGTTAGAAATACTTGATTTTGAAATTTGGTAGGATATTTATAGAACAAAAGTAATTAATTAGTCAAGTTTATAAGAAAATTAATGCTTTTTTTATCGTAACTAATATAATTACTCAGCTAAATTATGAAAAAAGAAAATTATTGCATTTATAATTGATATAAAAATATTATGAGTGATTACTTATTATTAGGTATGGCTAATTAAATCATATGTAGAGACTAAGAAAAATTAGTTTCCTATTATTATTGTACTATATTAACTAATAAAAATGATGAATGCATAACCTTATTACTGAGTTTATTAATTATTGTAAAAAATATAGTAATTAAATTTTTATGTATACATAAATATAACTAATTAAATAAAACTAAAATTTGTAAATATTGTGGATTTCTTTTTGATTTTTCAATTTATGAATATTTTTATTAAAAATTTATAGAAAAGAATATAACATATGGAAGATTGTAGTAAAATTTTATTTAATTATAAGTTATTTTGGTAATTTTATTTATAAAAATTATAAAAGTGGAACGAGAAGGGAACATTGTCATCAATAAAAATAACGCTAATAAATTTAAATATATTGACAAAAGCCTAAAATAACTAGGTAATGACATATGTTAATAATATTACATTTTCTTTTTATTTTAATATTAAAATTTGCTTTTCACATTAACATTAAAAAATAAACTCAATGACATTACGTTTTTTTTTTTTTTTTTATGATATTGGAATATTATGTTTTGATTTTCTAATATTAACCTGGAGTGGTCCTATTTTATTTATTTATATTTTTTTGTTTTGAGAGATAAACATAGAACTATTCATTGAAACAGTGCAGCCATATCAGCTGCACAAAAGGGAACAAACAATCTGCGAATTTTATCAACCCAAACGTTTCATTTTTTTTTTTTTTTTTTTATGGAATATTATGTTTTGATTTTACTAATATTAACCTGGATGGTCCTATTTTATTTATTTATATTTTTTTTGTTTGAGAGATAAACATAGAACTATTCATTGAAACAGTGCAGCCATATCAGCATGCACAAAAGGGAACAAACAATCTGGGAAATTATCAACCCAAACGTTATCATGAGTTTGAAAGCTAAAGAGAGCCTGAGCAAGGTGATGAGCACAACTGTTACCATCACGCTTTACATGAGAGAAAGAAATCTGTCTAAAACTAAAGCAGAAATTCAAAACATTAAGCAACCTAGTACCCAAATCAGACATTGGCAAATCACCTTTAGTCACACAAGGGAAGCTACTTGTAAATTATCCGTTTCAATGCAAACATACTGGAACTGAAGGGACTGGGCTAGTTGAGCTGCCAACAACACAGCCTCAGTTTCAGCGTCCACAGGTTCCATCGCTTGCCTCAACAATTTAGACGCAGCAGCAACCAATTGGCCGGTAGAATTCCTCGCTACAGCCCTAGTCCACAGGACAAAACATCTCCCAACTTCCTCACAGCAGCGTCAACATTAATTTTAATAAAATTTTCAGGAAGGTATCCAGCGGGCTGCACCTGCTTCACTGTCACTAGTCATCAACTCCATACCTGCTGCTCCTCCAGAATTCGGCTGCTCCACACCTGATCGTGCATCAGTAAACTGATGAAACCAATTGACAGCCATATGCACTACCTGAATAGCAGAAAGCTTGTAGTGCTGAAAAGTTCACAAGTTACGATTACGCCAAGACATTGATATTAATTTGCCATTCACATTAATATCAAACGAAATAATATTATATTGTTAATTTTATATTTTACTTCCTGCTTCTCGTAAAAGATCTAAGAAGTTAAAAGTTTCGAGTTCGAGTCCTCACTGATACAAAAAGTTATCACAACTTTGAAAAATGTCATTTAAAAGGAGGACTACCCCATACTGTGTAGCCCACGATATTATTCCGGTCTATTGAGCCTCTCATATATAAAGGAAAAAAATTATTCTATTTTCGATTATGCTTTTCACATTAATAATAAACTTAATAACAATAAATATTAATTTTCTAATAATTATACTGTTCTTTTGTCGAACTTTTGTTGTATCTTAATTAGAAATTATAATTATAAGTCAATTAATAATATTAATGTGATTTAATTTGATCAGTTATATCAGTCTCCTATATGAGTTTAGTTTTATTACTTTAGGAATAGAAAAATTATTAAAATAAAAAATCTATAATAGTCTTAAATAATTATAAATTTCAAAAAGTGAAAAGTTTTATTATATTAAGTCCGTAATAGTCTATAAAATAATTATAATTTATCATTATTTAGAATATATTTTGAGATTTTTAAATAATAAATACAATTAACTGTTATTTAGTAGTCTTAGAGTTTATATCTGTTATTGACAATAATTTTATTTGATTCGTAATAGTGAATACCAATTCAATTCGGATATTAATATCTTTTTTCTTTTTTTTTTGAAAGATATATATATATATTTATTTATTTTCTAACTAGTATTATATATGGATTAGTAACATTGATATAAATAATACTATGACTTATGGTTCTAATAATTATATATTATTAAACCACACTGTTCAAATAAAGAAAAATTAATTTTATTGCACGATAATTATATGCCTAATAAACTTCTTAGTATAGTAGGCTTAGGAATCCTAATATAAACCGCTCAACACGATATGTCGTTATATATTAAACCCCTTCATATTTATACATTAGGTACCAAGCAAGTTTAATTTATTTTCGCTTCGAAAGATTTCTTTACTTTCAAATAAACTTTCATTATTTGAAGTTTCAAGGTTTTGTTATCAAAGGTACGTTTATGGCTAGACTTATTATTATCGATGTTGATCAATTTTTATGTATTTGAATTTATTATCGACCATTGATATATAAAAAGTATAATCAATTAGTTATAATGTGTTTGTTCTTTTTATATATTGTAAAAGACGTGTGTGAAGGGAGAGGTTGGAGAACTCTTGACCACATAAAGGTTATTATTTGTGTAGGTGACCATGTTTTTCCGTTACCCGTCCATTCGGACTCTATGTATATAATATAAAGTTATTTTTTGCCCTGATGGGCCGATCATTCGGTTTCAAACTGCCGGTTCAGCCCAAACCCGGCGGACGGCCACCATCAGAGGCCTAACCAAGCATGTCCTCACTTTTCTAATTATAACTCAGAAAGTAAAAGCAAAATTCTAAAATCCATTAAACCCTGGTGACTGTCTATTCAAACTCCCGTGGGTTTTAGCATCTTCATATCCCTCAATTCTGAATTCCTACATTTTATTTTGCAATTTTCGGTTTTTTAAAAGACAATATTTGTTTTGTTTTTGTTTGATTTCTTTACAGATCTTATACTTGCATTCCTATAGAGATGGCTTTATCTAGAGTTGCAAGGCGTCCACTTCAAGTGATGCTATATAGCAGGTTGAGTAACCAAGGGCAAACTTATTCTACATGGACTCGCACAGCTCCGTCTACTTCTATTTCTCAATTTACAGAGGCAAAAACCTTACGGGAATCTAGTTTTGGAATGTTTTCTCGGCGATTCAGTATTCAAGCTCCTGTTGCGGCGGAGCAAATGAATCTGATTAAGCAATTGAGAGAGCGGACAAGTGCTCCCATCAAGGATGTTAAGGTTGCCCTTGTTGATTGCAATTGGGATATTGGTATGGACAGAGAAATTTGATTTGATTTTATGTTTTTTTGGTTTCTGTGGGTTCTTTTTAGTTTAATGTGAGTTTTACATGCAGAGGAGGCGCAGAAGGATTTGAGGAAAAGAGGGAAGGTTTTGGCCGAGAAAAAATCTGGTAGAACTGCTGCTGAGGGGTTACTTGCATTGGCAGAGAATGAAGGGAAAGCTGTTCTTGTTGAGCTTAATTGTGAGACAGACTTTGTTGCCAGAAACGAAATATTTCAGTATTTGGTTAGTGGGTAGCAGACATTTTCATTTGAAGTTGATTAAAGTTTTAAAGATTTATACTTTGGTGTCTTTTATGCATATCTAGATTATCATAAATTTTTTATTATCCTTGCAGGCTCTAACTTTAGCAAAGCAAGCTTTGCTGATTGAGAATACTTCTCAGCAGGTTTCTGGGGTCCATCCCGTTGAGCTTGAGCGTTTGGAGGTGAGGCATTTTGTATTTAACTTAAACTGATTATTGTTGTAGCTTCAATTATTAGTATTTAATTCATGGAAAATTACTGTTTTTTCTCTGTATTTTGTCAAAATACACTAGTGTGTCCATGCATTTTTGAAAATACACTAATTTCCCCTATGTTTTGCATCTTTTACACTACTATGTCCTGTCACTTTTTTGTTTTCTCCTGTTAAATGTAGAGATACATTACTTAATTCTGGCAAAAGATAAGGACAATGCAGTTATTTTCCCAATGAAAATTTTTTTGATTTTGGCTTAAGTAAAAGGGATTTCGTCTTTTCATAAGGCATTAAATGGGTGAAAAAAAATACAAAAAATTGATAGGACATTCTAGTTCTACGGAATCAAACATTAGGGAAATATTAATGTATTTTAAAAATTGCAGGGAGAGACTAGTGTATTTTGGCAAAATACAGGAACAAAGTAGCAATATTCCCTCAATTCATCAATAGATAGTACTTGAGGTATTATATGAGATTTGCTTCCTCATTCAAATTATCAGTCATGTCTCAAATGCGCTGCCTACAACTTCAGTGTACCCTTGATCTTTTTCAGGGAAAACAATTATGAATTAATATTTGACGACATTACCCAGTTCCATTATTAAGAAACTTGCCAACTCCAGTCTTCATTTGGCATACAACAAAAGAATTGTGTGTTTAATATGTCCCCCCATCTCAGTCAATTTTTGACAATTTGACTTCAAGGTTGCTGAGTCAATATCGGTCTTTGGTTCTTTATGATAATGTAATGCTAATTAATCTTTCCAGAAATGTTACAGCATTAAATACTATAGAAAAAGCACGGGAGATCTCAAAACTTTTAAATGTGTAACCTGAGAATTTGTATTGGTAAACTTGTGGTGAGACTAATGCAAGCTAGTCTTTTGATCACCACTCCTTTGGAACTTTAATTTGAAATTAGGTTTTCTTGCTAATTGTGTTTGAATAATTTTATCTTAATCAGGAGTTGAAGTTAAATCTTGAACATCCAAAAATAAGTGGTGAAACAACTGTCCAAAATGCAATTACAGAAGTAGCTGCAATGATGGGTGAGAATGTGAAGCTCAGAAGAGGCTTTGTTATATCTACATCTTCACCTGGTGTTCTTTACACCTATCTTCATACAAGTCCGCAACCAGGTAACTGTTTTAAGGGCTGCCTTTATTTGCTTTGATTTAGTTATTCATGCAGGCAGACTGATGCAGACACATGACCTTTAGATCATTGAGTGCTGTATGTGAAAATACCATGATGTCTAACTATTTGCTTGAACTGGGTCATCTTTTACTGGTAAAGACCCTAATCTACTTTACAACATTAATGTAGGTTTGGGTCGTATTGCTGGACTTGTATCTCTTGAAGTTGAGGATGGGAATCCCCGGTTGGAAGCTCTCCAGCAGGTTGGATCAGAATTGGCAATGCATGTGGTGGCAGCAAAGCCATTATTCTTGACCAAGGAACTTGTTTCCTCTAGTGCATTAGAAAGTGAACGTGAGATTCTTAAGTCTCAGGTACAGTTACACTCCATTTAGCTGTTAGTTGCTCATTGTTAAATAAAATATGAATAGTTCTGAAAAATACAACTTTATTCTTTGGTCCATAATTGGTTGGTGCCTACTTTTAGTTTGATTCAAATATTTTAATGTATTATTTTCACATTCTGAGTATTTCCTTTCCTTGCTGGCTTTTTAGAAGTACCTTTCTTGGATGACTGTACCTGTCACACCCTTAGGGTTATTTCATGCATTTAGGTGTTGCAAGATCAATCAATATCATCTACCAATGACCATATTAGATTTTATCCCTTATGCAATCAATGAAATGTAATGTCTAATTAAATTATGAATCAAGGTGATAATATGGACAATGGAAAAGCATGAAAAATGATGCATTTCTAGAAATTAGCTGGCAATAATTGGGGAGGACACGATAAAGGTATTTATGGCTATTTTATGGTCAGAAAAGATGGTTGATTTTAGGCAAAAAAAATTTGGAATTGACTGATGAAAGGAATTGATTCAATTTAAGACTGGCACTTAATAAGAGTTTAAACTATAGAACCGAAACTGCTGATTCCAAGTAAATTTTCTTCTTTCTGGGAAATTTATTTTTATGTTATGCTACTTTTCAAAAGTTATAATGGGGAATATCTACCTTTCTTGTTCTTTTTCTTCAAGTAATATTTGACCAAAAGAATTTGCATCTTTGGTGCTTGCTTGCTGCATCTGTTTGAGATTGTTTTCCTTTGTCCTAATGTTGAGTTCTTTGATTTGATTCTGTGGTTTTGGGTTACTTAAAGTTTATAAATTGTGCAATATGCATTCCAATTCACTGAAGGTTTATCAAAAACTTCGAAGTCATCAGGTCTTGTTAAGTATAGATTGTGGTGCTAATTATTTACACTGTTTTGTCATTCAAGGCGAGCTGATGATTATAACGAGTGTTTCAGTCAACACTTATTGTAGTTATTATTATTATTTGGAGAGGCTGAGGTTGTGCCAAGCATGGTGGTTGTCTTTATGATTTATGTTCCAACTAATTGTCAATCACCTTAGTTTTGCTAATTAAAGATTTTAACAATCAATTTGATTTAAATGACAGGCAGAAAGTACAGGGAAGTCTCAGATGGCAATAGAGAAAATGGTAGAAGGTCGTCTGCGTAAGTACTATGAGGAGGTTGTTCTTATGGAGCAAAAGTTTGCACTTAATGATGGTATAAATGTGCAGGTACGCTGGAAAATATTGCATAAGATCTGTATCTCTATCTGTCTGTGCTCTCTCCCTCTTGTGTTCATGCAAATGCACATGTAAATTAGATTTATAAATTTGTAAATTAGATTTATAAATTTATGCCTGAGACTTTCTGGTATTTACAGATGTTGTTGAACACTCTATCCAAGCTTGTGGGCTCAACTGTGAAGGTAGGGAACTTCTTCAGAATGGAAGTTGGAGAAGGAATTCAAAGGTAGGGAGTTCAGCGCTTCTTTTACTTATGGTGAAATATAAGAGGTAGAAACCAGGACGTAACTGTTTCCAGAATTTATTCCTGATTCTTCGTTTGCCGCTTGCTTGGTATCTGAACTATTGATAGCAACAGATAATTATTTACATTGCTTAAATAAAGTCCAGACATCACAAAGGTGGGAATTAAATCCCGTGTCTGGTATAATCCTTTGAGGACATTTTCAGTTAGTCTGGTGGCACTTTATGCATGCATATTGTGAATGCTGTAACAGTAACATATTGCTGGATGCCTTATCTGACTGAAATACCTATTGTGAGTGTGCGTTTAAAGTGGTACTCTTTGCATCTTTTTTTATTCTCTCTTTGGTGGCTGCTTTGAAATAAACAACTGCTTTAGTTTTGATAAGGTAATATGGCCAGTAGAAGAACCTTGCTTTCCCTGATACAGAAGCCCAATTTATATCTGTTACTTTGAACGTGGTTTGCAGGCTAGAAGCATCAAGTGCAGATGAACCTGTGGCACAGACTGCTTAACTTGGGGTGATTGTGTCCATTAATCTGTTTCGGCTTATGGGGGTAGACATTTGACTTTGTATGTCATTCTGAGGTTGAGGGCGTGTTTTGGATTTTTATCATTTGATGGTCTCAGCGGTCAGCAGGTCTTCCTGCAATGGTTACTTCAAGCCCATGTGGTAGAATAGAATGTTTTGATATCGTCTTAGATCACTATGAATATTGTTTCTTATTTTATTACAGCATAATTTTTTACAAGTTTAATAGAGAAAAAAACAAAGGGATAATCCTAAACTGATCGTCCCACAGCAAAATAATGTATAGGAGTAGGACATTGCCCTAGTCCTACTCATTATTGTTTGTGATAGTGGTCTGTGTTACACTATGTGTTCATTTAAGTTGGGCAATCTTTTTGAACTCTTCTTCTTCGTGTTGTTTTTTTTACATTGATGGTTCAAAATATTTACACTAAATATTTTTTATTACGTTACGTCTCGTTATGGTTTACCAAACAAATTATTAGCATCAAAAGTTGAAGACCAAGTGCTTAATAGAGAAATCTAATTTGCATGATTGTATCTACAGAAACAAGACAGTAAAAATTAGAGGGTCTATCTTCATCTTAGCATTTAACATGTGCTTTCTTACATGAAATTACAATAGGGCTTTTTGTTTCACACAGATGGTTACAATGAGTAGGAGTGGAAAGAAAAAGAGAGACAAAAGGGAAAAGGGATATATAAATGCATATGCAATTCCAAATCCCTGAATAGACAAGAATAAATTCCCTAATGGAACTTAAGGCTTGTCAATATATTGTTGTTAACAGGATCAGCCAAGTGATCCAACAGATTTTGGTATGGTCCAACTCCTGTCACAAGACCTTGTACAAAGTAACCCAATATTGCCAACATGGCCAGTCTTCCATTTTTAACTTCTTTGAGCTTCAAATCTTTCATTGATTTCTCATCTTTTCCAAACCCTAGAGGGTTAAAAAGGGGTCCACCGGGGTATGCCGGGTCGCCGGAACCACCCAAATACTTCTCAAACCCTAAGAAATACTGTTTGCCCATAGAGCCTGGTTTTGCCCAATCTTGAAATCTCCTGTGCTCTGCAAATCCCATTAGTGCCATTTCTAGCACAAATAGTGTGTATGGATCTGCCCAGTAGTTGTATGTTCCTGCAGGTGGGATTACACCAGTTTTGAACCATGGGAGGGCTGTCTCTTCAGGGATTAGACCTGCCTTGCCTAGAATTTCTGGTGCAATAGCACCTACAGCTCCTAACATTGCATATCTACCATTGATGATTTCACCATAGGCTAACCATTTTGGCTCAATGAATCCTCCTGTTCCTTCAGGGTCTGACAGACCAAGTGGGTCAAAACCATAGTCACCTGGTAGGCTGTGTTAATAAAGTTTCATTAGAAAGTCAACTAAATGTCAATTTGTTTTCGAGAGTTAATTACAAACTAAAGATTTTGAGGGACTTAAGTGCAATATTTAAAAATCTTAAGATCATTAACATGCTTATTAAGATGATGAAATTGCAGAATTACCTGCCATCCAAGTAAGACAGGCTTTGCTTGGAAGCAAACCATAACTGTCTGTTAGCTCCTTGCTGAGATTAAAAAAAAACAAATTCACATGACTAAACTTTTTTAGGCAAATATATATTTATTAAAGTAAATAACATGTGTTTTTAATCATAAAAAATTCTTAAAATTACCAATGAATCAAATTTTGAAATCAGTACTTTCATCAGTATCCAAAATAATAGTTTTTAAAGAATAATTTCAACCTCAATATCAAACAGAGATACCTTAACAGGAGGAGTAGAAGAAGCCCTAACAATAAAGGAGCTCTTTCTTGAGGAATGGTTTGGTCTTCCACCTAAAATTTGTCTAGCAGTTTCAACTGAAGAGGTAAGAGAAGATGAAACAAGTGCTTGTGCTGCCATTTTTTTTTTCTTTCTGAGCTATTGGCTGCCTAATGATTAAACACAAAGCAAAGTGCAGGAAGGAAGGAAATAAGGGCCTAAGTAAGGTAAACCACTACTTGTGGGCTTCAAATCTTGGCTGATATGAGAGTTGGCCCAGCCTTTTAGATTAGGTTAGGATCTGGCTGGCCAACTAGGATTTCACACCTGGCTTCATCATTTGGATAATGGATATTGTCATCACAGTGTAGTTGATTTGAGGAACTCCTTTGACACATGGCAATCTTTCCACCATTATTCTTCCCCTAACATTGCTATAGGCCTGGGAAAAATATCTAGATCTAGTTTCATGAGATTGCAATATTTTCTATAGGTGGATGTTTGTTTATTTATTTTCTAAAATTTAAAAATAGTACAATAATTTTTTTTTAACATAAAGTAAAATATTAGAGTAAGTTAGGATTGGCCAAAAAAAAAAAATTATATGGTTACTTGCAATCCAAATAAGACACACACACACACACACACACACACATAAAGTAAAATATTAGAGTAAGTTAGGGAACTGGCCAAAAAAGAAAAATTATATGGTTACTTGCAAATCCAAATAAGACACACACAACACAAACGACACACATCACAAACACACACACACACACACACACAACATAATAGTTTAGTTGGCCAAAAAAAAAAAATTATATGGTTACTTGCAATCCAAATAAGACACACACACACACACACACACACACACACACACACACACACACACACACATATATAGTTTAGTACATTTTAATTTTCCTAAAAGATAAAATATTTTGCCCAAACAAACACATATATTGTTTTGTGGAAATTAAACAAAAAAAAATTTTTTTTTGAAGACAAAAAAATCCATATTAATGAGTTTTATTAATTATACTCATTGCATGCAATTATTTATCATGAAAAAACATGGTAAAGAGTAATATATTTTATATTGTGTAACCAATTTGAGAAGGTATAGAAATGACTTTCAGGTTAATTCTAGCCAATATTGAAATAAATTTGGATTATTTGAAAATGAGGGTGAGCATGAAATGGTTATAATCTAAAAACTAAAATTAAATTGGTCTAGTTCAATATCTTAATTTGTTTTTTTTTTTTTATTAACTAGTTCAATTTAGTTATTAATTTTAAATTTTTGGTTCAGTTTAACTTCTACCGCAGGAATAAAAAAATACTTTAAAATTTTGTGCAATTTATTTATGAATCTAAATTTTTGTGTTTGGTATGAAAAAAAAAATGAAGAATTCAATTTTATAAATTTAAATATAACTAAACCAAATTCAATAAGAAGAAGATAGAATTTCGAAATAATCCTACAAACTTAAATAACCCAAACTTATGACAAACTCTTCGTCCTTTTAGTTTTCTAAAATTATTACATTAAGAATATTTTAGAAAAAAAAATGAATTTTTGATTTTTAAATTTATTCTAAATATAAAAATTTCATTTACAAATGAATTATACCTAGCATTTATTTATAAAAAAATTTCACGTTTTGAGTTCATTTATACCCAATGGTGTTAGCAAAAAGATTTTAATTTAAATGAATTGGATTGAAATTTAAAATTATGATATAAAATTATGTCTTATTTCCAAATTTTTATGATATAAAACTATGTCTTATTTCCTATTCCGTTCTTATTTTTTTCCTACATGTCGTATTATGCGTACCTATGGCTCTAGTTGATTAGTTGTCCATTTGAATAGGGTTGGACAGACAGGTCGGTTAACTCAAGAACCAATTGAACCAAGCTGGTTCGGTTCGATATTTTCTAGCTTACACTTGTATTTGTGGAATGAAAATATTTTGTTCTTTCAGGTTTTTTTATTTCAGTCTTCACCAATAGTTTCAATTTATTTTCATTAAGGTTTCTGTATCTAGTGAAGCTTTTTAAGATTTTGTTACATAAAATAATTTATAAATTTAATAAATAATAATCTCGTCATTATCAAGAATGAAAAAATGTATTATATTAAACTTGAATAATATTTATCTATATTTATAGTTTGACTTATACTGTTTGGGTATTATAGATTATTTTAATTAGAAAACATAAATAAAATTATTATGTATTATAAAATAAATAGAATTGATATTTATTATTTATTTTCATAAAATTATTATATCAATAGTATTTCAAGAAATAATAGCAATTGATTTTTTAGTTCTAAATTTATTCCAAATATAATAATATAAAAATTAATTAAATTGTATGTTTTAAATTAAACAAAGAAAATATGAAAAAGTCATTTTCGAATGAATTTTTTATCTATTTTTTTAGAATAAAATTTTATTTAAATTTACTTACAAATAAATTCTATATTTTGAATTCGTCTATACTAAACATAACACAAATTCGTCTATATTTTGAATTCATTAGTTGTTTTTAGTGAGGAGAAATTTTCAAAAGCTTAATTTGGTATATCCTAAAATTAAGCAACAAACTTTGCGTGACTTTATTTATTTTATTTTTTAATATAGATAAATTATATGGTGATAATAAAAAAAACATGTAAAATAAAATTAACTAAATAAAGATATGAAAATCTGATGGCTATCCCTTTCAAATTTTTCGGTTGCAATCTTCCATTGTTCTCTCAGCAAACAACTATATAAACCATTCCAATCTCTCTATCTCATCAAGTGTTAAAGAGTTCTCATCATTCAATAATAAAAAATAAAAAAAAAAAACAATAAAAAATTCTCTTAACACAAAAACTCAAAAAAAAATCTTTCTTTCAATAAAATGGCAAGCAAGATTGTTATTGTTGCCCTCCTTTTGGTCGCCATTGTTGGTGTTGTTTCAGCTGGTCCCGCTGCTGAAGGTGCTGCCAAAACCGGTGCTGCCAAAACCGATGCTGCAACAACCCCTGCTGCCGCCGCACCCGGTGATGATGCTGCAGGTGCACCAGGAGACGCTGAAGGACCATCCGGTGGTGCATCATCAACTGAGCAAGGCCCTTCTGCTGAATCACCAACTGCAGCTGCAAGCGGTGCTACTGTTTTTGAAATCTCAACTATTGGCATTGCAGTTTCTGCAGCGGTCACCGGTTATTTTATTTAAATTTTTTTTAATTTTCTTTATTTAAATCTATAATTTAAAAAAAAAAAATTGAGCAAACGTTTCACTTTTGTTTTCTCAATATTTATTTCAAAAGAAAATTTTAATTTCCTTCAATATCTCAAACAAGCTATGTCTTCTTGTAATATCAATTAGCTAGGGAAATACATTCCAATATAAGTTGCAGTCACGAATATTAGAATAAAATTTTTTTTATTGAATGCAAGTCTCCTTCATTTCATACTCATTGATCGCAGAGTATTTATCATAAAAATAAAAATAAAAAAAAAAACATGGTAAAGAGCAAAATATTTCTTGTTGTGTAATCAATTTGAGAAAATTCTAGCCAATGCTAGGCTTTACTTGACCATTTCAATGAGAGAAAATAATATTTCTGAAAAAAAATATTTGAGCCAATTATATATAATTAGTGGAATTAAATGGATGAGGTGTGACTGAGAGAAATTTTATTATATATAAATTAGCTATAGGAATATTTATAATATATCATCTTATAATACCTAATATGAATTGTTATTTAAAAAAAAATCATTAAATGTATATATTAATGGCTATAGTTTTTATAAATCACAAGTACTTAATTATTTAATCACTGACCAAGAGTTATCTTATTAACTTGGCTTATAAAAATCCCACCCAAGTATTCCTATTGGCTTGAGCTTGTTGCTCAATAAATGTGGCAAAGAAGTTTCCAGAAGGATTCAACTAGTTATGATGTTGTTTGTTTCTTTTTGTCTATTTTGATACTCCCATAGAAGAAGGCTCTTGCCTTCTTACTCAGTATTATTATTATTATTATTATTTTATGTTATGTATTTTTTGTTTGATTTGCATTTTACGAATCTTTAGTAATAAAAGACATTTTCCTCAGACTCAAGTCACATTGGAATTTGTTGTTTGGATTTCATTCAATAAAAGTTGATATTACTACCCATGGTGCCGTACCATGGTGATCCTATGGGCAAAGTAAGATTATTGGACCAAGAATATGAGAGGGGAGACCCGTAAGGCTCTCCGCCGTCCCGGAAAGCCTGTGGGCATATGTTCTATCAAAAGAGGTTGATATCTCTATAGAGGAACTTTATGGACACTATAGGATCGAAGGCCTATAGTGCGCACCTCTTCTCAAGTGAAGGTTTCGGTATAAGCAGTTTTATGCTGCCCGAGACGCCCTAAGGCCTTGAGCTTATATATAATTGTGCGAGACCCTTGTATATACAAAGACCCTCGAAATATGGCCAATTATGAGACGCCACATGGGTGCCAGAGGCCTTGGCACCGTGTGAATTTTTTTTATTATTATTTTGCTTAGATAATTCCACTATAATATGAGGACTATAATTTTATCATCTAACTTTTAAATTTTAAAAACTTTGTATTTGAACCGTTTTTGCAATTCTATAGTGGATTAAATTTCAAATAAAAATTTAAGTTTAAATTTGCTGATATGGTAGATATGAATTTGTTTCTTTTATTATACACTAATCAGAAAGTTACTATTTGTTTAAAATATTTGATGTCCGTAATTCCTAATTTTACAGCGACTTTGTCTTTAATATATATATATATATACTTTTTTTTAAGGTGTTTTGCATCATTGTACACGATCGTGATTTAATTTTTTTACATATAATTTATTAATTTTTATCTATATTATAAGTAATTGTAATTTTTTTTTCTTATATATAATTTTTATTATATTTTTGTCTATGGTCTATATTATTAAAACATATAAGAGCATAATGAGATGTTAGGATATTTAATATTACAAGGTGTTAATTTTGACTTCCTTAAAATATAAAAATAAAGATAAATAATTTTTATCTATATTATTTTCCCCCTCTTTTTTTAGTGATAAGAATTTACGTATTTTGAATATACCATTTTCTTTTGATTATTTCTAATTTTAAGTTATTAGTGTCAAATTTATTAATAATATGATTCTATTTGATTGGATTGCTTAAGATGTTAAAGAAGCCTTGCTTTAGCCAATTTTCTTTCATTGCAATAAAATACAAATATAATTAAAAAAAAAATCATAAGAGCAAACAACTAAAAAAAAAAAGTCAATTTGATTGAAATATAATTACATTCAACAAGCAAAATATGAATTTTCCTAATTGTTTGCTTCAATGCATTTAAAAATGATTTTTTTGGTTCCTCCCGAACTAATGCGCATACTCCTTTTTTTTAAATTTGCAGATAAATATTTTCGTATTTATCTCAAACTCTATACTCCTTTCACATTTTGTATCAGACTATAAACTTCTCTTAGCAATCTCTCTTGCAAATGTTGATGTCAATCCTGCAGATTCTGATGCTGATTATGCTATATTGATCCTTATCATAGATTTTTCTTATCACTTTGTTGCAGGAATTCTTTGGTCTAACAAGATATGTGACAAAAGATAAAATATTTTTCTAGTGTTTTGTATTTTTATTGCAAAAATTTTTTAATTTGAGGAAGAACTGCGATAAAAAATTTATTTTTATAATGAGTCTTTCATCTTAGAGAAAATTTGGTATGCATCAATTTTGCATGGTACGTCAAGAAAACAAAGTTGTAATAAGGCTTATAGTAGATATTAGCATTAACAATAAGACAGTATAAGAATTTAATTTACTTCAATATCTCATATATTAAAACCACGAGCCACATATTTTATTTAGAATAGATAAATAACATCTTTTGTAATATCAACTAGCTAGAGGAATAGCTTTCAGCCTAAGTTGCAGTCAGAAAAATTCTACTTCACTTCACAGTCATTGCATGCAAGTATTTATCATAAAAAACATGGTAATTGCAAAATGTGTTGTGTAACCAATTTATCAATGTATAAATTTATGACTTTAAGGTCAATTTTAGTCAATGCTAGACTTAACTTGATCATTTGAGTGGGATTGAGATTATATGGCATAAATGGCTGAGATGACAATAAAAAAAAGAACAAATATAACTACTTTTTTATTATTGGCCTGAATTTATTTTTAGTTGGGAACATTCTTATAATATCATCATCTTATAAATACCTAATATGAAATTATCATTTAAAAAAACACTTCACTAAAATTACATAATGCCCATATTTTTTTATATTTACCTAATATGTATTTATATATATATAATCAAATGTCCTTAATTATTTAATCACTCAAGGTTCAATACTCATTAGCCAAGAGTTGAATTTAGTTAGTAAATGGATAAATTTTCAATCTTATTAATTCGAGTTTGATCGATTAATATTTTGATTAGATTATCAATGACGATTTAAACTTTATACCATATAAAAAAAAATTGACTCGTAATAATATTTTACTATTAAACAAAAAAAAAAATCCGCATATATTATCAATATGTATAACGTTCTTGAGATAATTAAAATTTAGGTCTTGAAAACTCTTATAAAAATTAATATGTGTCCTTAATGATGTAATTACCAACCTTTACCATCTTCTATCCTAATCACAAGCCCTATATAAGAACTCTTACAAAAGCATGTATATACATATCCTTAATCATATAAATGTTTATATATACGCTTAATCATATAATGTTGCCAACCATTAACATCTTAACCTAATCACAAAATTCCAACTCCAGAATTTTCTAATCGTATGCAATGTTTAATATCCCTTTATAAAAACCCTTAAACCAAGATCACTTCTCATCAATTTCACAAAACCATAACAAAAAATATTTAACATATGAAATAACCATCCCATAAGAAATAATGGTATTAAGTTCAAGAAATATAGCCTCAATTGCCTTCTGTCTCTCCCTTAACTTCCTCTTCTTCACTTTGGTCAACTCTACCACTTGTCTTATAGATACCTTAAATTTGAAGGTATGTGCAAATGTATCAGGGCTTATTGAAATCCCACCAAATAGTGCTTGCTGTAGCCTTCTTGGTAATCTGGTTGCTCTTGAAGCTTCTGTTTGCCTTTGCACTGTCATTAGAGCTAACGTTTTGGGGATTTGATTACAAATGAAAACATCTTATTATCAAGGTCCAATATTTGAGATTAATAGCACACCAAGGCATTAAGTCATAACTGCATATACGATTTGACAATAGTTTCATGTTCGAATAAAAAATTTATTTTGCTTAAAATATCAAGTATTTAAAGGAACTCTATAACCAAAGCCCGAACTCAAAATTTCTGGTTAAGGTAAAAAAAAATCTTTGCCATCTTATCTCATCCTTAAAATATTAAAATTGAGATATTAATATTACTTATTAGCATAAACATTTAATTTATACAAAATAAAATTAAAATATTAAAATGGAAAAATTTATAAAACTGGGACGCAAATTATATAAAATAGAAAATAAAAAACCTTACATCTGAATTATAAAGCACACAGCAGGTTTAATTTTAAAAAACAAAATTGCTGCCATTTGACAGAAGTTTGACGATCGAGCACCTAAATGATACAAATGCAAGAAGAAAATGCTAGCAATTGGTGAGATCTTAAAGAGAAACCGGAAGCTTCTCAATCCCATTATATGTAAAACAGCAAGAAGATGTAAAAGTACTAATACGGCTACAACTGTTATGAGCTTTGGAGATGGCAGTCATGGAGCCTTGGGACTTCCTACCTCTCTTACTGGCCTAGGAACCGATGCCTACGAGCCCACTCGCATTCCTAGCCTGCCTTCCGATATTATCGGAGTCGCCGCTGGCCACTACCATTCTCTTGCTGTTACTTCTGCAGGAGAGCTCTGGGCATGGGGTCGCAACCATGAAGCTCAGCTCGGCCGTGACCCTTCCGCCTCCAGGTTAAATTAAACTCAAAAAAACATCTGGATATAGTTATTGTTCTGCATATAATTGAAGCTTGTTGATGCGTGGCTGTGATTTTTCCAAAGCCTGTTTATGTTTTTATGCCTGCCAACTGTTTGTGTTATTTCCGGTTTGATTCTTTAATTATAAATATTACCACATTGATTAATCCTTAATGAATAATTACATGTAGCGAAGTAAGATTTTTTTGCAATGAATTAAATTTAAGCAACCAAGAATGTCAATTCTAGTTTAAGGGAAGGGTTTTATGACCAAAAAAATAATTGAAAAATTGTGATTATATCAAAAGCTCTCAAAGTATATCTTAACTTGTTTTTCTTTTCTTCTTCTTTTTTTTTTTTTTTTTTTTTTTTTTTTAAAGCTCTCAAAAGTATACTCTTAACTTGTTTTTTCTTTTTTCTTTTCTTTTTTTTTTTTTTTTTTTTTTTTTTTTTTTTTTGAAATTTTGTTGCAATTGTGACTATTTTAATGAAAATTGAAAGGAAAAGTAACCTACTTTATAATAATTATTGTTCTTGGCTACCCATCACTGAACTCAACTCTATCATAATATTTCATCAAGCTCTTGTCAATATTGCAATTGTGACTATTTTAATGAAAATTGAAAGGAACCGTGACCTACTTTATAATAATTATTATTCTTGGCTACCCCTCACTGAACTCAACTCTATCTTAATATTTCATCAATCTCTTGTCAATTATGAAAAATTATAGTTTTGCGTATTAGTAAAATTGAAACCAATTATTGAAATAAAGGTAAAATAAAGGCTATTCAGAAGCTTTGGATACAATAATAGATTTTTTGTAAAGTTTTTTTTTTCTTTTTTTTAGGGGGGGGGGGGGGGGGTTTCATAATTTATATTTTTTTTATATTTTTTATATTTAATAATAAAATTTTGAAATTATAAAATTTTTTAATAGTTTTTATGGTCTTATGAGATAAAAAATTTTAATATTTTAATTTCTCAATGATTGATACATTTATGTGAAGCAAATTCTCCTTCAATTTTGATGCTTATATGTACATTAAGAGGCGCAAATTGCTGACTACAAAGTTTTGATTTTAGTAGAGATACATGGAATGAATCAAAGAGGGTGGAAGGGTTGAATCAAGTCCAAGTCCTTTCTGCATCTGCATCTGGTGTTGTCTCTGCAGCCATTGTAAATGATGGCTCTTTGTGGGTTTGGGGGAAGTCTAAACGGGGTCAACTTGGTCTGGGTAAAGGAATCACAGAGGCTTTAGTGCCTTCCAAAGTTGAAGCACTTGGAGGAGAGAAGATAGCTAAGGTAGACACTTGAAAGGTAGATATTTTTAGTAATCCAAGCCTGATATACTCGTATTGATACGAATATAGCAAACTTGAAGTCATTTCTATTTGTTTGATGGGAAGTTATTTGAGTGCGTTTTTGCTTTAACAGGTCTCATTTGGTTGGGGTCATGCCCTTGCACTAACTGAGGACGGAAAGTTATTTGGTTGGGGTTATTCAGCTGATGGTAGGTTAGGAAAGATCACAGGAGCAGTAGAGGTGTCTCCACTAGATTCAAGTGCCGATATTGTTAAACCTAATCAACAACTCCCAAGATCAAAGCTTGAAGCTGCTGAAAGATTGGTTTTAGAAGGAATGGAGAAGGAAAAAGACATGCCAATAGTTTGGGATCCTTTTTTAGTTGAAGAATTACGTGGTACTGAAGTTGTAGACATTTCTTGTGGGCTCGATCATTCTTTGGTTCTTTGCCGTAAGTAATATTATAAATGGTCTTTAACAATTCATTAATGCTATTAAAATTTAAATCACGAAAATAACTAATAGCGCTTGTGTTGCTCATTTATTTGGATTCTCTTATTTCAGGTGATGGCACTTTATTGAGCTCCGGAAGCAATATATATGGTCAGTTGGGCAGAGCAAATTGTGAAATGGGACTGTTTCCAGTTGATATCGACTTTTATCCGCTATCAATAGCATCAGGTCTTGGCCATTCTTTGGCAATTTGTGGAGTTGCATCATCAGATGCCACAAGCATTGTTTCATGGGGATGGAACCGAAGCTCCCAGCTAGGAAGGCTAGGGCCGGACAACATCCCATTGGAGGTTGAGGGATTGGCAGGGGAAGGTCCTGTTTCAGTGTCTGGAGGGCGAGCACATTCCGTTGCTCTCACATCCAAAAAGGAGGTGTGGGTTTGGGGTTGTGGTAAGAATGGCAGACTCGGGCTAGGGAGTTCTGCCGATGAAGCTGACCCAATTTTGCTTGACAGTTTAGAAGGTTGTCAAGTTTTACAAGTTGTGTCAGGTTTCGATCATAATCTCGTCTTGATAGCACAGTAATTTTTGTGCAAGTCCTGGCTGAAATCAAACTTATTAGTATAATTTATATTATTACTATATACATGTGAATATGAGGGTGGCTTTTTCTTTAATGGTAAACTTACTGGATGTAAGTCATGGATTTGAGTTGTGAAAAAAATAAAAATAACCACATATTTTTTTATTATTTGTGTTATTTTGAGTTAATTTGTAATTAGCTCTGCGTTTATGAGTGTGTATATTGATTAAAAATGTTAAAAAAATGAAAATTATATTTAATATAAAGAATACTTTGCAATAATTTTGAAATTCAATAATATTTTATTTTTAGTGTAAGTTTTTGGTTCAAAAATCACTTTTTTGTAGTCACTTTCTAATGATCCTCAAAAATAAATCACCTTTAATTACAAAATCTCAAAATTTAAATATAAAGAACACTGTAATTATTTTGAAATTCAACATTGTAAACGTTAGCTTTTGGTTTAAAAATCACTCGTTAGTTACAAAATCTCAGTTTAATGATTTATAATTAATTTGAAGGGAAAATTATTATTTCATTCCTGATGTTTGTCATAATTATTTAAGTAGTTCCTGACATTTATACATATATTTATAACATCCTGAGGTTTGCCACTGTTATATTAATTGGCCCTTCCATCAAAAAAATACATTTTTCCGTTAATTTTGAGAAGAAAAGTCAAAATTATCCTTTGGAAAAATAATTATTTCGTCCCTGAGGTTTGCCATAATTATTAAGTAGTCTCCGACATTTATACAAATATTTATAACGTCCCTGCATTTATACAAATATTTATAACGTCCCTGAGGTTTACTTCTATCATATTAATTGGTCCTTCCATAAAAAAAAGTACACTTTTTCCATTAATTTTGAGTGAAAAAGATGAAATTATAACTTATAAGTTTTCATTAACATTATTATTAGTCTCTTTCCTCTAAAATACTTAAAACTCACATTTTCATCATCTTCCTCAACCCAACACGGTCTTCATTGCCACCACCGTGTCAATGACAACTATTATCTCCATAACCAGATCACCACCAAAACTAAAACCCAACATCCAAACTCAATCAAACCATCATCACCCGTCATCCATTTATCTCTCTCTCCTTGATTAGAGGATTTAGGGTAGTTTGTTTGATTCATTCTATTAAAAATTAACAGCAAAAAAAAGATGTTTTTTGGATCGGAAGGACCAAGTAAGTATGACGGAAATTCAACCTCAGGGACGTTATAAATATTTGAAAATAGCGGATACTTAAATAATTATGGGCAAAACCTCAGCGACGAAATAATTATTTTTCTTTTTAGTTTGTTTGGTGATCTGGTCATGGAGATGATACTTGACAGAGACATAGTTGGTGGCAATGAAGACCGCATTTGGTGTTGAGTAAGATGGTTTGAAAATTTAAGGTTTTAGATATTTTAGAGGAAAGGAAGAGGAAAGGGATTAATAATAATGTCAATGAAAACTTATAAAGGATAATTTCATCTTTTCCGCTCAAAATTAACGGAAAAAGTGTATTTTTTTATGGAACAACCAATTAATATGACGGAATAAACCTCAGGGACGTTATAAATATTTATATAAATGTCAGAGACTACTTAATAATTATGGCAAACCTCAGGGACGAAATAATTATTTTTTCAAAGGGTAATTTCGTCTTTTCCTCTCAAAATTAACGGAAAAAATGTATTTTTTTGACAGAATGACCAATTAATATGATGGTGGCAAACCTCAAGAACGTTATAAATATATGTATAAATGTCGAAATATATGTATAAATGTCGAGGACTACTTAAATAATTATGGTAAACTTCAGGGACGAAATAATAATCTTTCCTAATTTGAATTCAACGGTGTGTGTGTGTGCATATATATATATTAATTTTAACCGTGTTGGAAACCCATCGGCCTAATTAATTTAGTGTTGCGCAGATCCACAAAGGAAGAAAAACGCTAAGTATATATATATTTTTATTTTAACCATCCAGTTCAATTAATCTAGCCACAGGCAGGCCAACAAAAGAGAGCAAAATGCTCCCTCTTGAGTGGAGGTAAATTAATCAAAATTCGTACTGGATAGGTCTATAAAGGAGGCACTTCCTCCTTACGCTATATCCAAAAGTCGAATTTAAAATCTCTTATTAAGGGAAAAGGAATCTGTATCATCCTATCTCAACTCGGGGTCAACGATATATTTTTTTAATGTAAGCTTTTGGTTAAAAAATTACTTTTTTAATTAATCTCTTATTAAGGGAAAAGGAATCTGTATCATCCTATCTCAACTCGGGGTCAACGATATATTTTTTTAATGTAAGCTTTTGGTTAAAAAATTACTTTTTTAATTACAAAATCTAAAAATTGAAAGAGCTAACTTTCTAGACCTAAAAGGTCAAATGAAAAGTGGTAGTGGGGTCAAAGTGAAAATAGTGAAAGCAGTGGATGAAATGCAATTTCGAACAAAGGAGGCACTTCGTCCTTACGCTATATCCAAAAGTCGAACTTAAGATCTCTTATTAAGGGAAAAGGAATCTGTATCATCCTATCTCAACTCGGGGTCAACGATATATTTTTTTAATGTAAGCTTTTGGTTAAAAAATTACTTTTTTAATTACAAAATCTAAAAATTGAAAGAGCTAACTTTCTAGACCTAAAAGGTCAAATGAAAAGTGGTAGTGGGGTCAAAGTGAAAATAGTGAAAGCAGTGGATGAAATGCAATTTCGAACAAATGCAGATGATTGGGCAAAGCCAGTGTTTAGAGAACGCGTAGAACTAGCAGAAGACTCAAACCCACAGACCTCGTGGATCGAATCCAGACCAGGAGGTACAGGTGTAGCGGTAGACTCCGGTTAAGACGTTTGAGCGGAGAGGAGAGAGATGCTGGAAAACCCTACACCGGCAGCTCAGCCTGATTCCACCAGCGTCGTCAAGCGCTATGCTCCTCCCAATCAAAGGCAACTTTTCTTTGCTTTTTATGCATCTCTAAATCTATTTTCATGTATGTGTTATGTGACCATAGAATAAGCGATAAAGTCTTTCTGTTTCAAAATTTGCAGAAACCGTTCTCTTAACAGGCGCAAATCAGGAGGTCGGTTTCTCTCTTTTTGTCTCTTTTTTTTTTATGTTTAATTTTTAAATTTAAGTTGTTATTTTATTGAGCTTTAGGTTTATAAGTTACAGTTTTTTGTTAGAAATATTGTTGAACTGCATTTATGATTTTGCTGTTCAGTGTTTTTTTTAAAACTCAATTCAATTTGAATGAAACTTTTTCACTAGCTTAATTCCAGAGATCGGACTTGTTTATTACTTAACTTCTTTAAGTGGTGCCTTTTGTGGACTTGTTCAAGCTCAATCCAAAGACACATAATTTCAGGCCACTTTTTATCTCTTTGTTTATGGAGTTGTTAGGTGACTTTTTACTTTTTTTTTAATTAACATTAATGAAATAAATCAATGTGTCTGGAAGACCAAAGCTAAATCATATGCAATTGCTCATACACCTTGTGTCAAATTTGGTTAGCTGGAAAATAGGAATGGAGAAGTACAATGCTTTAGATTGAAAGGAGTGAATTTGTGTTATAGAACTATTTGTGCATTGAGCTTCACATAAGAATTAATAAAACTAAGACATGTGTGATTCTAACAATTAGGCTTTCTTTAGAGGGGCTTAAAAATGACATGATAGGTGATGTGTCTTGTACCTGGCCTGCTGCATTTGGTTAAGTGTTTTGTCAATTTATACTTTAAACTTTTGTGAATACATTATGATAAATTTTTCTGGCCATTGAGAAGGGATTTGTTTGACTTTTTTTCTTAGTTAAGTTAAGAGGAGTTTGTTTGTTATTTGGGGGATTACTTTAAAGGGGAAAGTTGTATATTGTTGGAAAGGGATAGAGCCAAGTGTAGTTAGTAGTCATGCATGGTAAAATTGTGAAGTTCACATTTTAGGAGTACATTGATCTTAGATTATGTTTGGTGAGTTGTAATGGAACATAATGTAATGTAATTAAAGGTACTTTTAGTATAATGTTTACACTAGAAATGCTTTTGATTACTTTACATTGCGTTGCATTACAGTTTTCCAAACATGGCATAAATGTCTAGAAATGCGTTTGAGTAGACGTATGCGAAAATATTTCTACTGTCAAGCTTTAGATATTTATATCTTGGTAGTTGATAACATGTCAACTTGGTAGTTGTAAATTGTAATATTATCATATGTTTTGCTAACGTGTCATTGCTTCTCCACATCTCTTACTTGATTATCTTGTTCTAGACATCATAAAGTTTTGGAGCCAACCCTTTGCTCTTGAAAATTAATGTTTATTGCCTGAAGTTTTGAATTTTTTTTCTATCTTGTTCTATGTGCTTCATTTATCCTCAATTTCTCTATTTTTACAATCATTTGAAAGGTTACTGCTGATGTGGACTAAATTTCCATGTTTACCATGCTCATTTTCTCAACCTCTGTGTGGCATTGCTGGTTATTGCGGACATTTTTCATCTTCCCATTCTTCAATGTACTTCTCTTACTGTGGTCTAAACTGCAGTAGTTCTTTATATGGAAAGTTCTTTGTATTTATCTGTATATTAGATCTTGGACCCCAAATGATGAAGGGGTTAAGTTGTGTTCACTTTGCAGAACGATTTGATCGAAGTAACAGTCTTTATGCAAATGAGGCAGAGAAGAACCAACAGCATCCCCCTTCAAGAAATATGCCTGTTGTAGATCATGGTGATGTAGGGAGCAGCAATTTCCTGAAGGGGAATTCTCGACCAGGCTTAATTGCTTTAGAGGGCTGTTCTCGCAGTGAGGCAGCTCAACTGTTGAATGATCGTAAGTGCATACTGCAGTTTCTCTGAAAAGATCTAATGTTCAGCAAGCAATTTTATTGATTACCTTGTTGCTTTCTTCAATCAGTAGGTTCAATACAGTTAAATGTTTAGAGTGCCAATCTATTTAACAATGAAAATAACAATCACTCAGAGAAGTATTTAACGCTTGATGTTTTTCAAATTACAAATGCATTTTACTTAGTATATTTGTTGATCATTTAGTCCCATGACAGAATGTGTTCTAGTTCAATCAATGCATATGTTTTTACTTCCTGGATTGGTGAATTCTGAGAAATGAATATCTGGCCTCTAGCGTGTTCCATGCCAAACATAATATGTAGATGGCGGATAGAAATCATGGTTTAGAATGCACTAGATTTATATGATGGTGTAGATGAACTTGACCTACCAATTTGTTTGAATTGGAATGAAGTGATTGGTGCCACTTGTTTACTTTGTCCTTTCCATTTAATCTTTTTTACTGTGCATTTGTAGAAAATTTCAGTTTCCTTGATGAAAACTCTTGTAGTTTGAACTTTGAAGTCTTCTGTTGTTTGGGATGTATCGTGTTTATGTGGAATTTCAGCACAAATAGTGCCTAAAGCAAAACAAAAGTTCAAATCTGTTTATGTTTTAGCATTTTAATTGATAAATTAAGATATCGCTTTAGTTATTTTTAGAATCTCAAGCTCCCTGCATGGTAATATGTGACCCATTTATCTCTATGTTTCATTTATTTTAAGTGCAGGCTGGACACTGGCAATGCATAACTACGATGATGCATCCATAGATTTATCTGGTTAGTGGAATTACCTTGGAAGTCTTTTTATTCTATCATTGATTTGACTGGATTTCCAATGATGAATGGGTATTTTTCATTTGGGAACAACTTGATTGTGTACAACAGTAACATTTGCTCCATGTATTGTGTCTGCTTGTATTTGAGAAGCAACGTTCCTCGATATGATGGGAGGGTATAATTATAATGAATTCCAGGTACCTGTTCTTTTTCCTTGGTTCACAAAATTTGGAATAGTGTCTATTTTAGCTACATTGATAGACTGTAAGGTTCATCTCCAGACAAGACTGCAAGAAAAGAGAACAGAATACTGGAGGTCGTTTTTGTTCTAGTGAAAACCAAAGTATATAATTAATTGATTATCATTCACTGAAAAAGTTGAGCAGAATGGTGTGACCATATGTGTTTTAATGGTGGCTGAGTGGTATATATGGTTTTGCTTTGGTGTCTTGTTGATATCCACTGCATTTTAAGGTGTCATTTGCTCTATTTTATGTGGATTTTGGTTTGGTGAAGTTCACATTGAGCCCAAATTATTCTTGTTTCGGATGGTCAAACATTGCTTGTGAATTTTGTGTCTTGTGACTTTTAGGCATCATGTGTCAGCATTTTTGTTTGTTTACTATCTTGGTTTGGTCATTATCTAATGAATGTGGTGGTCTTTTTCCCCCCTTTCCTTTCTCTGTTGCTCGACTACTATTTCAATGCAAGATATAGGAAAACCCAAAATTTAGGAAAGCTCGTGAAGAATAGTTTATGGAACTTTTGGGCATTAGCATTGTTGATACTTTAATCTACTGTTATCGTTTGCTCATTCTCTAATGTGTACTTTTTCTATCTCCTGTTATTACTGCTGAAGTTGGGAAAGATGTGAAACTCTGAGGCAATATTTCTTCTCTTTTTGGTTCTTTTGAGGCAACCGAAATTGGTTCAATACAACTAGACTATTAGTCGATAACTAGTTGGTTGACTAAATGGATCCTTCTCCATCTTTTAGACTTTCTATGAGCCATCAGGAAAATCATTTTTGTCGACATAAAAACAACAAAATCAATAAACAATGTGTATCTTTAAGTTGCAGTAAATTCATGTAGAATTTGTTCATATGTGCTATCATTTTGATATATAATTAGTGGCTCGCTTATTTATTATAATATTGTTTTCTGAATTATTAATATCTGGATTATGTTAATCAGAAAGACCAGTTATGTACTTGGGAAGTAGTGCACCAGCATGGGGGGGACACATTAGACTTCCTCATCAGGTGAGTGCATCTTCCCTCCCGCTGCATAAAGTCCTCTCTCTCTCTCTCTCTCTCTCTCTCACATGATACGTTGCTGGATATGCTTTTTCAGTTCATGCCTGCAGCAAATGCTGGTGCACCACCTTCTGGTTCACAAATTGACTTCTTAAGTGAACTTCGCCGCGCAATGCGGAATGCAAGTGCCAATTCCGACAACTAACAGTCCCCGTATGTACTTAAAAGATGAAATGTTGTATCTGAATCTGAGATTCGCAAAATGCTTGGAGCACTGTTGCTCAGGAGTCAAGATTACCTGTTTTATTCTGTTATTAAAACCCTAAAGTATGCTACTTTGTTAAAAAATTGTGATTTATGTGACAAAGTGTTCTAAACCTTGATTGTGCTACTTGAATATATAGTCATGAGATTTTTGTTGCAGAGGTCTTTATGTGTGTGACACTTAAATCGATATTGTGTTGTAATTTACTGGATAATGAGATTAGGTAATATGCATTTATACTTGATATTGCAAATGATGAAGGCATCATGAAATACCCATATAAAAAAAAATTTACAGTGATGTTTTTTATGATGGTAAGTACAAAATGGTCTTTGAAGTTCGTCTTAATTTACAGTTTGGTCCTTTATCTCCAAATTATTACTTTCAGCCTGAAGTTTGTTGATCAATTTAGTACTTAATTTGAAGTTACAATTGTTTTTAATCAAACTTTACCTTAATGTATATACTAAAAAGAGATTTACCTTAATAAACAAATTATGTTATGTCATTATAACCATTGAACAAAAATGCAACAGTAATGCATTTGGTTATTGTGTTACAATGTTTGGAATGAATTTGGAAACTTTACAATTGTATATGATTATTTGTCCCAAACTGGAATGATTCCTTGAGCTGCCAAACGCTTTTCTACCCAGAAGACAATAAGTTTTGCTGTTATTTTCTTTTCATCGACGAGAAAAGGTTCAACATTGCTTGCTTCTGAGCCATAGGAGGATAGAGAAAATCCTTTTGGACCTGTTCAACCGTAACAGAGAAGCTAAACTAAGCTCACACACATAATTTAATGAGGCAAGTTCTAAAATGTGAACAGAACAAGTACCTGTTAGGTCTCCATTAGGGAAGAAAGCCCAAAATGAGTAAGGGTTGCCCTTCTTTTTAAAGGAGCCTTCCAACTGTCATTTCAGTTCAAAAGGAATTGAATTATAAATATGGAATCTATTTTGCTCTGACGATGAATAAACAGACTTTAAGAAAACAATACAACACTAGAAAAATCTAAGGATAAACTAAATTATGTTCAAATTAATATTTAAGTACATCTTCATTTGAGAAATAACTATAACGTCTCTAACTTATGATTTATCTCAATATCGGGTTCTTTCATCCATAAAGTGAGCTTTTTTCTTTCTAAAAAAAGTGTTTAATTGACAGTAAAGAATTTACTTGTTTTGAACGGAAGAATCTAATATTTAGATGGAAGTATAAATTATGGACGTCATGATTATTTCTAAAATGTCTGAATTGTAGAGGCACTTAAATGTTAATTTGAATATAATTTACAACTCACTTATATTTTACCCACAAACCTAATTAACATTTTCCACATAATACTTCCAAACAGCAATGTCAAACGGAATTGCATCAAAGGATGTTAAAAAAGTAAAGATTACTTACTCTATTATCTTGGAAAGTTAACTCAAGTTCAGTAACATCTTCTTTAGTTTCAAGAATTGCTTTCAGTGATGGGATTACATCTTCTTCCATCAACTGAGGCAGTGGTTTAACAGGTTCTTTTGCAGGCTTGCGCTTTGGTGCTGCTGCCTTTTCTTCAACTTTCTTTACTGCCTTTTCTTCAACTTTATCACTAGCAACTAATCAACCAAATGAGAAAAATAGTTTCTTATTATCACTTCTATATCCAAAGGCAACCAAATCCATCAATGGCAAAAATGTAAGTATTTACCTGTAGAAGTAGATGATTCTTGCACAGCAGAACAACTTATCCTTCTCCTTGATGTTGCAGACTTGATAGCAATATGCTGTACAAAAATATGGTAAGTGGTTTTGGTTTATTAAGCCACAATTAGCAGAAACTATCTTGTTCTTGCTCCCCAAATCCAAAAATTAATCAAACAAATCTAATAATTATAGCTTAGTTTAATAAATTTTTTCTCCCATTGACATGAATTTTCCTTTCTAAATAAAACCTAATTCTGAAGCATGTAACCATATAAAAATTAATGAATAAATGTTGGAAAGGAGACTAATATAAGAAAATTATAATGGAAAAATGTGTACATACCAAACAGAAGGTGGAGGAGTTGGTTCTGGAATTCCTACTGAAGTATGAAGGTGATGAAGGGAAGCTTGAAACTCCCATAGCTCCACCTTGAGTTGCCATGTTACTAAATATTGAATGCATTATAAAATTCTAATTTTCCAAATTTACTTTTTCCTTTCAATAACTAATCATTTTTCTAATTTTCTGTGAAATCAGAACAGAAAGAAAGAAGAGAAAAGATGAGAGCTGAACTCAGGATAGAAGACAAACACTCCAAGAAGAGGAGAAGAGAAAAGAGTATTTTGATCCACACAAAGCTTGGTAAAATATATGCCACTGGTTTTCTTATTTTTTCCCTTTTCTGGACTTATAATTAATTTTCATAACTGAAAAAAATCAAGAAAAATAAATAAATAAATAATTTTATAATTCCTAGTGGTCCACCGTCCATTTCCTGTTACTCTCTTGCCAAAAATTTTTATCAAATAATTGACTAAGCCAACAATCAATTCTGGTCTATTTGCATATAATAATTATGAATTTCAAGTACACAATTTATTTTCAAAAGATAAAATTTAAATTATTTTCAAATAATAACTTAACATGCGATGCAATAAAAAAATTTTATATCATGATACATAGTATCTAAATATATATTAGAGTTTAAAAACTGCACTTCCATATTATTGAGAGGAGAAATTATAATTAAAATAATCTGGCTTGAAAAGGGAGTGAGTGTCTATTAATACTGCTGTAAACGAGCCAAGGAAGACATTTTCTATTGAGTTCGGATCAATTAAGGTATATGTATATTCCAACTCAATTTATTTATAATTAATAATTTAAAAAAATCATGATTCATTTACTTTACACATTCATATTATAGCATAAGCTTGCAAGTTGTCGCGAAACTATTTAATAATAAAATTTATGAGCTTGAGTTCAAAACTGGAGTCTGCTCGTTCATTAATAAAATTTTAAAAGTAAAAAATAATTCATAAGTTGCAAGCTAATACACATAACGAGAAATTAGAAGCTATTAATTTATGATAAAATCAACAAATTTCTTGATCAAGACATCCCTCTCATTATTGGCTTTGAACATATGAAAACAGTGTTCTTCCTCTTTAGTCTCATAGAATTCCACTTTCCCTCCCCATCCACTGTTACCTAAAGTCTTGTAATAGGCCTCCCCTCTATTTCTCAACCAATCTTTCTCTGCCACACAAACCAATACTTTGTCACACCCAATCCTTGACAAATTCGGATCCACTCCCGGGTTCAGTTTCGGGTCATCATCGCACCCGGAACTTGTTGGACACAAATACTTATACATTTTGTCTTCCTCTTTCCCTCCAAAGAATGGATGCACTATAAGCACACCACTAATCTTCAAACCACCTAATCCAATGACACCAGCTTGAACTGCAACATAATGGGCTATATTTGCCCCGGCACTCTCGCCCATTAAGAAAACCCGCCCAAAGTCCACGCCCTCGTTGAGCCACTGTTCCTGCCCTAGCCCATTGGAGTGACTAGCGATCCATTGGAGCCCGGCCCATGAATCATCGTATGCAATTGGTAAAGGGTGTTCTGGGGCTAATCTATAGTCAATTGAAATGGCAATCATATTGGCTTCAGTGACTAGAGAAGTAAGAAATTTTTTTGTCACAACGTCGAAAGGCGATCCAGCGCAGAAGCCTCCGCCATGGTAGTGGACAAGGAGCGGCAGCTTCCGATCAGAACCATCGAGTTTTGGGCTGAAAATGCGGGCCTTGACACCGGTATCGGTTGAGACAATTACATCTTTGGATTCGACACCACTTTCCGGGTCTTGGCCAGGAGGAACAAAGTCCATAACCATGTATCTCTCTATTCTACCATCCTCATAGACTTTGAAGAAGGGTGGAAAATCGTGAATAATGTCCTTAGTGGTTGAATCCATAGCAGAAATGAGAAAGGTGTGTTCTTGAGAATGGCTATCTTGAGGAGGATGAAACAAGAATATAAAACAAGCAACATGCATCTGAAGCTGAAAGTCTTTAAACTGTCCAAATAATCTGCTCTTCTTATGTTAGAATGGTAGTTGGCTAACTGACTATTTGGAGCCAACTAATATTAAGTCAACCGAAATGTCATTCAAGGCTTCAAGCAGTACCCATTTTAAGGATAGTCTGGTTTTATTAGATAGAAAAGGAAAATGAACATAATATAATACAGAAAAAGTGACCCATAAGGTAATTTAACATGAAAGCAAACAGAAGAATAAGTATACTATTATCTCCTCCATTAAAATTCACTTAAAATTTTCTGAAAGTTGTATTTTTAAAAGAAATTCCGAGGAATTATTCATTAGGTGCAAGGAGCATAGATTCATTGTCCAAAAACTTGTGAAGGCTCAACATTACATAAAATTGAAATATTGTTCAATAATGTAAGAATTTAATATAAAAATGACATATGGGTCATGATAACCCTCTTTTCTTTTCTTTTCTTTTTTTCACCAGAAAAAAACCTTCATTTATATAAATCTGCACAATATGCAGGCATATAACAACAATTTAAAGAGTTATATAGAATAACAAAATCAACAGAGCAGGAAAACATCAGTAACTTCTGATTTGCAGCCACCAGGACAATAATAATCTATAAAACTTTTTTCATTGATCTAGTACAATAATCTAACTTACAATGGTAGATTTTTGTTTCCTTGAGTTTGTTCTTTTTTTGACAGGGGCAGAATCAGTGGACAACCTGTTCTGTTTAAACTTTTCAACCATTGTGTAGACCTGCATTGAGTAGACGATGTAAGCGGCTCCACACTAATGAATACATATTTAAAGAATTAAAGTTATATATCAATGGGGGATGTGCTTTTCTTGAATAAAATTTACCTAATTTTTTCAGAAATGAACCCTGCCCCTTCCTAGCTGGGAGTACACTACCTTTAACCGGGTGCCAATTTTGCAATGGACATTTTTGAAATGGCCTAATGGCTGAAAAAACTATACCTAAACCTTTTAAAATATATTATTTTACCCTAAAATACATCAATTCTACCCATTTGGTATAATTAAAACGGAAATATAACCTTTATATCTATCATTTTTCCAATCACTCATCTCCAAACTCAATTTTAGTATAACGCTTCATCAATATCGACTCAATTGCAAAAATGATGGTATAATTCTGATCAAATGGGTACAATAACAATGAACCTTAAAGGTTAGGGCAATATGATTTATTTTTAGAAGGTTTAGATATATTTACGATTCTTCTAAAAGATTCGCATTTTGTTTGGTCATTACCCCTTTCAAAATTTACCACTATCAGCACATTTTTAACATGAACCCATTTGCAGTGAATCTTAATTACAAAACTTTATAATTTGCAGATATTGCTTGTTGTTTGTCAAATTGGGGTATAATCCAAGACATCAATTGATCTAATAACGGTGAATCTTAACCTACTTCACACTTCCCCCAAATTCTAATAACAGTTTTCAATTGGTCATAAGTTCACATCATGCGAACAGTGAATCTAAACCAGCACACCACATTACCTTTCTTACTCCAGATGTCAATCCCAAGTTCGAAAGGGCCTTCTTGTTCACATACTTCCAACTTGTAGCTTCTTTTTTGTGTTCACTAAACAACTCGGTCGTTCCACCTTGAGGCCAAGAGAAAGCAAATAATGAATAGAAATGTGAATATGAAATACTTGTGGGAGGAAAATAAGGACAGAGTAGGTTATTCATTCTATACCATCTAAACCCCAAGGACATAGCCAAAAATTAATGAGAGGCACCACAGAAAAGGCAAAATAATCGTTTCATATGATAATAATGAGAACTTAGTTGTATAAATCACATATCACTAAATAATCAACAACAGACTAGTGCATTATAACATGATAAGTCATAAATAATGATTTAACGAATGATTCTGACCAGTCATAAGGCAGTAATGGTGTTAGAGTGAGAGATTATAAAAACTTGACAAAATGGTAATCATATACAAATATGTTAACCACACATTTGCTTTTTTAATACAATATTTTTGTGCACAAAATGGGAAAGGGAGATTAGGCTAGGCCACATACCTTTAAGACATATTACTAGCAATTCCACATAAACCTTGAGACGAATGTGAGAGAAAATATGAACAAATTCTCCAATATCTTCTCTCAGAACTATGCTACACGTCCTCTGTGGATCAATTTTGAATGTTTTTTTCAGGAACTGATTAATTTCTTTTGTCCTTTTGGTTAAATCAGCTTCTTTGTCTAACATGACAGTAGGGAACTCCCAGAGACCAGCAAGCAGACCATCGTCTGGCCTCTTTACAAGAAGAAATCCACTTTCAGATTGGTCACCGTCAGTTGGACCTTGGCTTCCTAATATCTCCACAACACAAACAGCAGAAAATTCATTTCTTTGTTTCACCTTGACAACCTTGGCAGGATAATCAGTAACTAATACCGACTTGTCCTCGGAAATTGAAAGTGCACGACATTGGTTGGAAACAGGACATAAAGAGCAATTTGGGTTTGATGGAGTGCAAACAGTTGCACCAAGTTCCATCAGAGACTGATTGAAATCTCCAGGACGGCAAGGATCAACTAATTGAGCAGCTAATTTCCTGATCCACAAGAATTCAGATGAATAAGTAACTGGAGGGAAAACAAAAATCATCTCTTATTTGTTTCAATCAGGCATACCAACTCAGAGGTGCTTCATAATAACATGTAATCGACATAAACAGTTTTAGGGTTGCCATCAAGAAATGAATAGGGGATAAGAGAAGGAATTGCTGTTGTGGCAAGTAATTAGGAGCCTCTATGAGAAGAAAATAGTCTACCAAATAGATATTTGACAGCTTCACCTTTTGTTCTCATGAAGGTGTGCTGAACCAAAACAGAGAGTGGACAGCGCAGAATAGCATCAATGTCTGTATCAAAGTAATCAGGTGGCAATGGAGGTGATCAATAAAACACACACACACAGAATTCAGGAAAGTACTAATGTCATGTCCCGTAAAAGAATGGGAGTTTATCACAGTATATCACATATTATGTAAGAAAAATGAAAAATACGAAGAAAAATGTCAAAGTATTATCCATTACAAAAGGATAAAAGGCTAAGGTTCTAAATTAAAGAAAAGAAATTCTAAATACCAAAGCTCACCAAAAGTTCTTGATAGCCACTAAGTTCTTTGGATTTGTTGAAATAGCCTTCAACCTAGCAAGCACCCTTATAACATTCCCATCAACCACAGGCACCACCTGACATTTCAGACCTTGAACAATATCTGCTTACATAATTCAAAAGGACAAAATGCAGAGCCTACTCACTTCTCCAAATGCTATCGAAGCAATTGCACCAGCTGTATAGTTTCCTATTCCAGGAACCTTCCTTAAGGAAGACACTGTACTAGGAAATCCACCTCCCTCAGCAACAATCATTTTAGCTCCCTAATATTAAGACAAAGAGCTGGAAATTAATCATCCTTTCTACAGTGGTGATAGATATTTCTATCTGTAACTTACAGAACCCTTTGCATTTATTTGAACTTTGAAATTTTCCTTTTTTTCCTTTTACATTCTTTGATCTTTTTATTATCTTTTTTCACTTCATTTTCCTTTTAATTCCCAAATAATTCAACAAACTCACGTTCTGGTTTCATTTCTTTCTTATTTATTCAAACAAACTGAAGATGACAAAAACCATGAAAACTGGTGCTGCCAAAAGAAGTTCCTAGCTTGCTAACTGTTATCCGCAATTAGAAGTAAATGAAATAATCTTAAATTGGAAGTGAACATTCAAACGGGAAAGGTATCAAGATATCAAACAAAAATGAGGGGCTTTATAAAACCATTGGGTAAGAAGTCACAGGTCCGTACTGTATCCTGGTTAAAGCCACACAACTACAAAAGCAATGTTTCCCACTATTCATAATTTAAAGCAGTTTTACAATTGTATCCAATTCAACAAGTTATCATATTAGTAAACATAGTAAGTATCTTTCAATGCAGCCTGTAATAACATGATACATTTGTAGATTCAAAGAAACTCTTCCAACCACAATAAGTATATCTGATTAACTCTCTCTTCAAGGAATTGACTTTTTTTATACAATTCCAACAACAACAAAGACAATGAAATTTTTCATAATAATTGTTTAATTTCCCATTGTTAAACAATCAGAGATCCAGACCAGTATTTCAAAAAAAAATGCATATAAGCCATGGAGTAAAAAAGATTCAACCTTTAACCATATAAATGACAAAACCAAGCATGCACTTTAAAAGCATGACCAATTAAACAAAGCGCACCTCTAACAGAAAACGTGCCCGCCTATAATAGCCTAATCCTGCCCACATCTCATTCACCTCCTGTACAACAAACAAAAACAAAAGATTACTTACTGAGGATCACCAAGCAAAATCATTAAACAGCCACCAAAAGAATAAATCTTTCACACCTATTCAAACCCAGTTTAAATTAATATACCTCAAGAGAAGCCAAGGCCAGATTTTCAAGAGTGGGCCATTTGAGCATCCAACGGTTATAATAATCAATCACAGTCTGAACTCTAGTCTGTTGAAGCATTACTTCAGATACCCACACCCCATAAGCCCTCTTCCCTTTCTCTTCTTCTTCTTCAATTTCAAGTGGGTTCGTGTTTTTTCTTCTCCAAGGAAGCACTCTCTGGTTATGATCGTACCAGTCCAGTAATGATTCCCTGATTTTCTGGATTTCTTTGTCACTAAACAGGTCTTCAATGTCCGGTATTGTTTTCTCTTCTTCGTTTACCAATTTCCTCTTCTTTTTCTGTTGAACATTCCTCTTCTTCTTTAGCTTTGTAGTGTCCTCCATTGCTGCGATTGGAGCAAATTGGGGTGTTCTTTGGTTCAGTAGTGGTTTTGTGAAACTAGAGCTGCTGCTTTTGGTTGTGCTTGGAATTGGAGGGATTTTCAAGTATTCGAACCCACCAAACAGGCTATACATGGAAAACAAGAGGTCGCTTAATGCGATTTTGGTCTTTTACCTTCTGTTTTTCTCCTTCAGGATAAAATTACATTTTAAGCCCTTGATATTTGTTCTAATTATAAATCCGGACCTTTTTTTTTTTTTTAATGCTAGATGCAGAGGATTCGAACCCGGATCTATTGCCAGATTCTATATATACTTATCACTAAATTATGTCTTGGTGTACTGGATAATATTTTTCAGAAGTATATTTTTTATTTAAATTTTATGTATAGTTTGTTATAAATGAATTTTTGTTTTGAATATTGGTATAAAAAAAATGTGAACTATAAAATCAGTTATAAATAATAGAGGCTTCTTTAGTTATATTGAATTTCATATCATTTACTTTTTTTAGAAAAATAATATTTTATTAATGATTACGTTATTAAAACTAGTTTGGTTAAACTATTGTTGAAAGACTGGTAGCCGACAACTGATAGATAATACTTGGTGGTTGCTAATTAATACATAGTATATGTTTGATAAAATTTCGTCACAAAGTTCATATTGAAATATTAAAATAGTAAATGACTATTGTGGGAATTAATTTTTTTGAAACATTACAACTATTTTACATTATTTTTTATTTTATTTTATTGAATAATAAAATAAAATGATTAAAAAATTTATACATATGTTTAAATAATTTTACTTTGACTTGTTACTAATAATATAATTCCTCTATCAACAATTAAAATATACAAATAATTATTTATTATTTTGCACATCAAAGCATAGTCTAGTGGTAAAGTCATATATGACTTGACCATAGATTCATTTCAAATCCCCTTCCTCAATATTCAAAAAAAAAAAACTACTTTTATTATTTTAATAATTTATAATAAAAAGCTAATTTAAAAATACTTTTTGAATTAATTAATTTTAATAAGGTTGATTGATTTTAAAAAGTCAAATTGATTAATTGCTTATAGGAAAAAGTTATGATTAAGCTGGTAGAAATTTGAACAAATATTTCTAAATGTTTAAAGACTAAACATAAAATTCAACCGATTGTTGATCAATCTTTTATAAATTCCTAAATTGATAAATTAGACAATGATTTTATTTAGAAAAAAAAAATTAAGATCTAATTATATTTGGCTAAATACATAGATTACCTTTGAAATTTAATAAATTAACTTTATAGCACTTTCAACTTTACGTTGGACTAAATATGCACTTGAAGTAAAAAAATTTACACCAATTAAATACATTTCCATACTGGCAATCGTCCGTGTATTACAATTTCGACTTGCCCGTCCGACAAGCTATTGTTTAAAATTTTAGTAGGCCCCCTTAAGCCAAGTGCGCAATGTAATATGCTTGGGCATGATGTATAATTCTGTGCAAATTAGAGGGTTGAAAACATGATTTTCACTAAAGAGGACCCAAAACGTCTTTCTTTCTCAAGTTTATATCTTTCTTTTCTTTTTCAGAATAATTCGTCAAAAAAAATTTATAGATTTAATTATGCACTTCATGATTGCATCAAATTTAATTAATTAATTAATTAATAGTTGTTTGGCTTTTGCTTGCCCATATATAAGCATGCAAACAAACAACAAATATTTATCAAAATTTAAATTTGAAAATAGTAACAAAAATTATTTATCAAGTTAAAACACAAGAAGATAGCTTTCTCACTAACAAACCACAGCCCTTTCAAATATTGTACATTTCAAAAAGCTTTTCATTTATAGCATTTCAAATATCTAAAAGAACTGCAAGATTTGAATCCGAGACATCGTGACATAGCTCACGAACTATTTGTTCGACAATGGCGAGAGATGAGGAATGTAGGACTGAGACATTGTTTCTCTTCTGGGATTGAATTCCGGGTCGAGGTAAGGTAGGGGAAGAGAGAGAGAGAGAGAGAGAGAGAAATGCATTATTTTCCTGGGGAAAATGCTCTATTTTTGCTTAATGGGATTGGTATTTGCTATTTTAGACATAGAGGAAGAGAGGGGGTGGGGGGGGGGGGGTCTGGGATGTGAATTCCGGGTCGAGGTCAGGTAGGGGAAGAGAGAGAGAGAGAGAGAGAGAAATGCATTATTTTCCTGGGGAAAATGCTCTATTTTTGCTGTAATGGTGATTGGTATTTTGCTTAATTTTAGACATAGAGGAAGAGAGGGGGTGGGGGGGGGGGGCGAGATTAGATCCAAAAAGGGTTTTTGTAAAGGATGTTTCATTTTAATTTTTTTATTTTCAAAATTGCTTATGTAAAAAGAATTGAGGGGGGAGAATTAGATCCCACAAAGGGTTTTGTAAAGGATGTTATTTTATTTTTTTTATTTTCAAAATTGCTTATGTAAAAAGAAATTGAATCCCATTTTTGCTTACTTATCTTACTTAGCTTTTTTATAATACACGTGCAGTTGTCAGTGTGGGTATATATTGGAAGATGTTTAATTGATGTAAAATTATTTATTTCAAGTGCATAATTGGTGCATCGCAAAGTTAGGGGTGCCGTAGGATTAATTTATCAAAGTTTAAGGGCAATTTATGTATTTGACTAATAAAACCAAATTTTGTTTTGAGCCTTCAAAAGAGAAAAAAAAAAAAAATTGCTGAGACCAGGAGAAACGCAGGTGTATAATTATGTGACCTCAAGAAGCACTTTCATAAACAGGGATAACGTAAAAACGTGGCGCAAACTGATTGGCCAGAACCTACCCAATTACGGACACATCTCTCCTGCTGATTCACTCACTGAGTGTGCCTGCTCCTATAAAACTGGACCACGAGCCAACGGTGATCTACTCTGACGTGGCACACATCCTTCCATCCATTAATCATACACGATCTAGATGCTAATCAACGATGATGATGGACGATCATCATTAAAAGATCTTAATTAATCAGTTACATTAGTGTGTTATATGCGACAATTATATTAACCAAAACATTAGTCCTTTACCATAGATTTTCTTCTTTCTTTTTTAGGATATTCAAATTCTCAGTGCAAAGTCAAAGCAAGTGAAAGCAAATTTGACTATAGTTTAGGGTAATGGTGACGAGGACGAGGACGATGATGGTGACAATCATTTTTTAATTGTATTATATAATAATATAGATCATTACATTGTTTGTAAAGTGAAGGAGATTGCAGAAGCCCGGAAATTTCAGTTATTTTTCTTTATTTTCGAGTGAGTGAAAGAAAGAGAGAAGAAAATGGAGGTTGGGTTCTTGGGGTTAGGGATAATGGGGAAGGCCATGGCCACTAATTTGATAAAAAGTGGTTTCAAGGTCACTGTTTGGAACAGGACGCTCACTAAGGTAAATGTTCTTCTACTTGTTATTTAATCTTTTGTTTTTGAAGATTTTATTTATTGATAAATGGGTATTTGTAGTGTAATGAATTGGTAGAGTTAGGTGCTTCCATTGGAGAAAGTCCTGCTATTGTGGTCAAGAAATGCAAGATTACTATTGCTATGTTGTCTGATCCTGCTGCTGCACTATCGGTTTGTAGTACTGTCTCCCAATCTTGTATTTATTAGTTTCATTTTTGTTTGTTCTAGAGAAGATTGTTAATGAAATTAATGGATTATTGTTCAGGTGGTTTTTGACAAAGATGGAGTTCTTGAAGAAATTGGCAGTGGTAAAGGGTATATTGATATGTCAACAGTTGATCCTGAGACTTCCACCAAGATCAGCGCGGTTTGTCCTTTGTGCTTTATATTAGACTCTAATAATTGATTTACTCCTATTTTCAATTATTTCATTGTGCGATTGAGATAAGTACTCTTTCATGGTATTTGAATGTGAATATATATGGAACTAATGCTATATCGTTTCTAGAGCTCAAATGACTTTACAAACAATAAAAACAACTAAGTTTTAGTCCCGAACTTGGGGTAGTCTATATGAATTCTTTGTTTCCAATATCCGCTCGGATCAAATTAATATCACCGCAAAGCAAAATATGTCTGAAAAAATTTTGAGATAACTTTTTAAAAAAAAAGTAGAGCTCAGATGACTTTGTGAGAACTAAATTTCACACTAACTGTCTTGGAACTACCAAAGACTTTGTTTTTATTTTCATCGACAGGAAGGACATGAAATTATCTACATGTTACTTGCGTTATCTAGTCTTCATTAAGTTTCTTACATCATCAGGGTGGAATTTTGACAAGTGGATAAATGGACTTTTCTACTAAATCTCTAAGAGGCTAATGTCATTTTATGATTTGAACATTTTTGAGGTAAAAGTGCAGTTTTTCTACGTATTGCATAAAAAAGGTACTTTGAGCTAATGAAATCATGCATGAATGAAAAGCTTTGGAGAGATTGATCACATCTATTTTTAAAATTTTTGGCACCTAATTTTACATTACTTTTGGTAAAAACTGAGCAAGCTTTTTTAGTTGTCTCAGTTTGCTAATGTCATATATTGAAAATGTTGGTTGTTTGTTTTGCTTTTAGCAAAACATTGAGAACGGCAACTTATGTTGGTTATTGTCATTTGTGCTGGTGTCCACAGGCAATTACGGCAAAGGGTGGTTCTTTCCTTGAAGCTCCTGTTTCAGGTAGCAAGCAACCTGCAGAAGCTGGCCAACTAGTAATCCTTGCTGCTGGAGATGAGGTAAATGGACAAATTATTTTGTGATTTGGCTGCCTGCTAGGTTTCTAGTAAACTCGATTGCTAGCTGTTATGATCAGCTGCTGTTGTTCTTCTAATTCATTCGCATAGCATGGGCAGAATCCCAAATCACACTTCTCATATAGCATCTTATAAGTAGCTCATTTTTATACAGAATGTTGCTGACATATGTCAAATGCGTTGGACGTATGGATTAAGAGTTTGAAGCCTGTGTCCCCATTTTGTTTTCTACTTGTTTGTCAGTATTACTTTTCCATTGATGTATTTTTATTTATGTCATCTCCCATTTCCTCTCAGTTTAGGAAGCAGCCATTGGAATTTACTTGCTGCTATAGACTGTCTTTATACACCTGTATGTTGTAGTTCCTTGTTTTCAGTTGGTGGATGAACATTTGGTTCCGCATGGAAAGTTATTTTCTTGCTTTTCCAAATAGGAAAACAGAAAATATGAGAGGAATAGAAGAATGGAAAAAGAACAAAGAAACAGTAGTGTTTTTCTCCTGAGGCTTTTATTATAATGCTAAGTTTATCCTCTTTAGATACCAGACAATTTGACTTTGTTAATGCTTCTAAAGTTGTGATAGGTTGCTAGTTTATTCTAAATTGTTTTGTTATTGTGCTTAAGTTTCTTTAGTATTTTTGTGTGCCTCTATTATTTACTACTTCATGCCTTAATTGTAGGCATTATACAATGAAGCAATACCAGCTTTTGATGTCATGGGGAAAAAGTCTTTCTTCCTGGGGGAGATTGGGAATGGAGCAAAAATGAAACTTGTTGTCAACATGATAATGGGCAGGTAATTGGTGGCTTTTTGAAATTTAACTTGTGATGATAGTTTATATATCAAGGAGAATTTTAATACGAGGTAAAATGTCAGAGAAACTGATAATTGAACATAGCTTATATTTTATGATTCTGATGTACTTGCATCAATCTAGTAATTATGTGGTGGAAATTTTGTCAAAGCATTATAATAGTATTTTTGCATATTAGTAATTTAAGGGGAAGAAAAAGGACTCTGAATAGCAGATCTTTATTTGCAGCTTATCCTGTTTGAGAAATGCAATTTTTAATGTAAAAGGGTTCTGGGTAAATAGATTAACTATGATATACTGGGTTCTTTTGCAATGCATAATTGATGTTATGCTGGGCGAAGAAAGGATAGAATTGGCTATTCCTGAAGTGAAATCTACTCGAAGTTCATATATTTCATTTCAAACTTCATGTCATATATTCTATGGCTGTTATGTCATGATCCTTTTATGTCCATAGAGGTGATGTTAAAAGAAGTTTGGTGGCTGCTTAAGCAGTATTTTACATATTCTTTTTCACATACACACAAAAAAAAAAATTCTTTATTTTGTTTAGTATTGGTTATCTTAATTGAACAAATTGATTCTATTCTTTCTCTAGTTGTTAAATGGAGAACACCTTTACAACAGAGACTTGTTGAACCTGTCCACTTTGCTATAGCCAAAACCACTGAGTTATGCATGGTTTTATATGTCATCAAGTACAAATGGGTTAAATAAAGGCCTCTAGATGAGGATGCCTTTTTGGGATACCCATTATGACATCGTAATTTGTATACGTTACAGTTGTCTGCTTATTATGAACTGACTTGACAAACTAATCGATGCTTCCATGATATGCAAAATGTTCATGTACTCAATATTGACATCGGTTATGGTTTCTTGCTCTTTGCAGTATGATGAATGCATTTTCTGAGGGACTTGTGCTGGCAGAAAGGAGTGGACTGAATCCTTACAACCTCCTTGATGTATTGGTGAGATAGCAAACGGGAACATTCTATGTCAATTTACCTTGGAATCGTTGCTGACCTATTTCATGCAGGATCTGGGTGGAATTGCCAACCCAATGTTTAGGGGGAAAGGACCTGCTATGCTCAAGAGCAATCACGCCCCTGCTTTTCCTTTGAAACATCAGCAAAAGGACATGAGGTTGGCTGTTGCCCTTGGGGATGAAAATGCTGTATCAATGCCAGTAGCTGCTGCTGCAAATGAGGTGATGCTTTTCTTCCATCTTAGTTGCTTGTCTTCAAAACTTAACAAATGTGGTAGTGATATGTTAGACAGGATTTAATTTAACAATGCTTGATCTGTTATTGTATATTTTGAAATCAAATGGACTTGAATAACTATTCATATAAATGCAAAATTGACAATTGAATCTCAGCTCAGAGCAGCTTCTTTCTTTTTCCTCCTTCAAAGTTCTACAATTGTATCTCTACTTTGTCAGGAATGTTCAGCCTCTCTCCATTAGTTTATGGGCCTGTGGGTTTTTCCTCTCTAATATTTCATTTCATAATTAAATGCTAATTAGGTTAGCCTTTAATTCAAAGGGTGAATTTACTATTTAGTCCCTGAGATTTATCAAAATATAAGTTCTAACTAGTTTATTTCTGCCTAGCTTTAGGAACTAAATACTTTTCTTTTTCATCTATCCCAAATTATAAATCTCTTACTTTCTTAAGAATACAATTGATTTGCTAAAATCTCTAATATACCCTTATTTAATGCGCCTTGTTACCAACAACTTTTCATTGAGTTCTTTATTGGGAGTGGAAAAATTCTTAGGTGGACTGAGTTTACCACGTCAGCACGTCAGCCATAGATCAACACAATGAAATAAAGCCACATTATTTGCTTGTTTTTTTTTTTGCGTCCCACATCAATAACTCCTAAATCAACGCAACTAGTCTTGGGAGTGGCATCAAATAGTGTGATATTAGTATTAATGTAGGAGAATATTATGAAAAATATAGGTTAAATTTACTGTTCAATCTATATTAATTAACTTTTCTAATGTGTGCAAAAATAGAAGCAAACTCATTTTTATGGGACGGAGGGAGGAGTAGTTTATCCTAAAAAGTTTTATTACTTTTGACTTGCCTTTTATAGTTGAATAATGGAAAATTTAACTGAAAGATTAAGTAGTTGACAGAATGATATTATGAAACCAATTATTTTGATTTAGAAATAGAGATTCCGACTCATGAATTAAGCCGAACTTCAAGGATTAAACAGTAATTCATCCATAACCGAATGTTCCATTTTACAAGAAGTTTTGTGCATATTGAACTGAAAACTACTGATTGGCATTTTCTTGCAGGCTTTCAAGAAGGCAAGAAGCTTGGGATTAGGGGACTTGGACTTCTCAGCAGTTTATGAGGTTGTGAAGATGCATAAGGATTAATCTTATAAGATAGTGTAATTTACTCATGGTTTAGCTTTGTTGGTGACTATATTACTAGTTTTAGCTTTGTGGTTTTTATTGTACAACTGAAAACATGTTTCAAGATTTGTATCCCAAGAAATAATGCTGTGAATTCAAATCTTGGTTGTCGTAAAATTCGAATCTTGATTTTTTTTAAAAAAAAAATTGGAAAAAAGAATTTTCACAATAATTTAATTCAGGGTTTCTAAAAATAGTTGTACACTTTATAAATGAGGTTGGGGAAAAGAAATAATTGCTTTTGTTTTGGATTGGATTGTTCTGAATTGTAGAATTCAAATTAGTTTTATCATTTTAACAAACACAAATTTTTACTTTGAAAATCTTTATTTAGAAGAATAGAATGGAATACACCTAAAAAAGAAACTATCACAAAAGTTATAAATTAATTTTAAAAAATAATTTTAAATTAATTAAAATAATGCGGTGAGCGTGGATCGAACACGCGACCTTCAGATCTTCAGATCTTCAGTCTGACGCTCTCCCAACTGAGCTATCCCCGCTAATTGATTTTAAAATTAAAATTTATTTTAATTACGTGTACAGTAATTTACTCATTTTGTTTTGGGATTACAGCAATTTACTGTACCCATACCAAAAGAAGAAACAAGTCAATTATATCTCCCAAATGGAACATATTCTCCACCTTACCGTTACTTTGGTTTCTTCCTCCATAAGACTACACAACACAAACTACAAAAGAAACCCACTGTACTTGTTTTCCAATATCTACTTCCATCAATGGCTGCAATTCTTTCTCTTCTTCATTTTCCCTTTTACATCATCAACCACAATAACAATCCCCCTTTCTTCTTCAACAAAGCATCCATCTTCCTCAGATCCATCGAAAATCCTCAACAATTTAGCTTCACTTTCTCTCTCTAGAGCTCATCATCTCAAATCGCCTAAAACCAAATTTTCTCTTATCAAAACCCCTCTGTACTCTCGCAGCTATGGTGGGTATTCAATGTCTTTGAGTTTCGGTACACCACCGCAAAAAGTTAAATTTATCATGGACAGAGGAGGTAGTCTCGTTTGGTTTCCTTGTACCTCTCGTTATCTCTGCAGACTGTAATTTTCCAAATACATGGACAGAGGAGGTAGTCTCGTTTGGTTTCCTTGTACCTCTCGTTATCTCTGCAGACTGTAATTTTCCAAATACATGGACAGAGGAGGTAGTCTCGTTTGGTTAAAAAAAAAGTTGTAACACCTTAATGAGGTTGGGAAAAGATAATTGCCTTTTGTTATGAGGATTAGGATTGTTCTGAATTGTAAGAAATCAAAATTAGTTTTACAATTTTAAACACAAAAAATATTTACATGTTGACAAATCTTTATTTAGAAGAATAGAATGGAAAACAACCTAAAAAAGAAACTATACAAAGTATAAATTAATTTTAAAAAAAATTTTAAATTCATTAAAATAATGGGTGAGAGCGGTGGACGAACACGCGACATTCAGACTTCTATCCAGGATCTTCAGAGTCGAGCTCTCCCAACTGAGAGTAATCCAGCTAAATTGATTTTTAAAATTTAAAATTTATTTTTAAATTACGTTACAGAAAATTTAGCTCATATTTTGGTTAGGGATTAACAGCCATTTACTGTACCATCATACAGAAGAAAACAAAAGTCAACATTATATCTTCCCAAAATGAACATAACTCAACACTTAAACCGAGTACTAAATGGTTTTCCTCATAAGACTAACACAACAAAAAAAATTAAAGAAACCACTGATACTTGTTATCACAATATCTACTTCCAATCAAGGCATGCAAATTCTTTCATATCCTCAATTTTACAAACCTTTACATCAATCAAACCCAAAACAATCCACACTTATCTTCTTCAAACAAGCAAAATCATCTTACCTCAGAATCCATGAAATCTCAAACAATTTAGCTTCAACTTTCTCTTCTAAAGAGCTCATCATCTCAAATACGGCCTAAAAACCAAATTTACTCTTAAAAAACCCGTTGATGAACTACTCGCAGCTAATGTGGGTAATCAATGTCTTGAGTTCGGTTACATTACCCACACGCAAAAAGTTAAATTTATCAATGGAAAGAGGAGTAAGTCTCGTTTGGTTTTCTTGTACTCTCGTATCTCTGCAACTGTTAATTTCCAAATCATGGACAAGGAGTAGTCTCCAAGTTATGGTTTATTTGTAACCATCTCGATATCTCTTGCGAGACATGTAATTTTCCAATACTGACAATTAACGCAAACTAAAATAAAATTTTATACCTAAAACTTCTTCTCATTTCAAACAACTCGTGAGGGTTTGCAAAAGACAAATAGACATAAGGATTTGAGGGACAAATGTTATAGTCCAATGTCTTCAAACTGGCAAAACGAACAGTCAAACATGTAACGATCAAGGCTCTAAAACGGCAGGGTCGGCATGATACGATGTAACAAGTCTCTTGATTTCCTAATAAAAACGGTAAAACCGCGATTTTCTAGTAATATATAAAAAAAAATTCGATTTTAACATTTATAATTGTTTAGAAACCGTGAAAAAAGTGCAATAAAAAAAAAACAATATTATCGAAGTCACCTGTGAGCGATCGGATCATACTGGAGGTTCACCACAATTATGATCCTGGTGATCGAGCTGATCGGATTCATACTGGAGTCACGATCCTCAATTTAAGGAAAAGCTATAGTGCAGTTGTCTGTTTACAAATGCAATTAGATTAGCTTTCTTCATGTTATTAAAATATATTAACATTGTTTTTATGAAATTAAAACATTTAAACTTCTATTAAAAAATTATTAGATCTTCTGTTTACGATCAATTTTTGCATATTACTGTTAAGTAACAGAAACAATAATAATAATACCCTCGAAAGAACAATAGACAAGATTAATTAGCTATAGGCTATCACATATTAAATTGATCCTTATAATAGTAGTCAAAAGTATAGACAATGTTATGTGCAAGAAGGGAGAAAAGAAGACGCAACTTTTCTCAAATATGTAGAAAGCAAAAATGCACACAATCATATTCTAATTAAAATTTAATCTTTCGACCAAGATTTATTATACTTTAATAAATAATATCTTATTATGTTTAAATTACTTTTCTTGTAAATTATTAAAAATTCATATTATTGGCAATATATAAGGGTGTTGGAGTCTACGAAAAAGCATATATGGTCATTAAAAATAAATTATATTTTCTCCCAACAATTAAAATCTTCTACTATTCCTCCCATTTATAATCCTATATTTAAAAGCCTTTTAAAAAAACTACTTCTTTTTAATAATATTTATCTTCTATATATACTCATTACATATATATTGTATAACAATTGCAATATATCTAATTGTAATCGATGGTGATAAATGCATGTATCCAGATCAAAGTCATAAGGGACCGAAATAGACCATTAAGAAACCTGAAAGTTAGGTAGTTGCTGTTTATTAGTCTTTGGATGTACTCTAGGAATTTAAATTACAATTATTACCTCCTTTATCATTATTTATGATTACACTAAGCTTCTATTTATTGGATAAGATATTACTACAGTGGTATTTGATAAAAAATGTTCAACTTACACATCCATTATTGTAAATTAAAGTATACACGTATATATTTCTCTTAACCTTTTATACTTCCTAATTGAAAAATCAAAACTACAGTGTTCTAGAGGTTAGATACTAAACACGGAAACTTAACCAACACGATAATAATTAATCAAATATAGCACCGTTAAGACATACACAAAAAAATTATCGAGTTCCTCCATTTACTATTAAAGTTTATTAAGATATTTACGAGATATACCCATTTTCTATACCCGAAGAGAAAGAACAGGGGAACTTGTAATCAGAAGTGTTTTTATTATTATGCTTTATTTTTTGAAAATAAAGAGGAATTACTAGGAGTTATGAAATTATACCTAACTAGTAACTAAAGAAAAGTTAATAATATAATTTTGTTATGACATATTGTATGTGTTCAAAATGTTTTAATACTCGTTACTTACTTATATTTTCACAATGTTGTCTGGAGCACGCCCCAAATGGAATAGTAAGGGTCGGATTTCCTAAATATTCCAAAAATACTTACCCATGCATAACAATCCTGCCATTCATTTCCTTCTGGTCACAGCAAACCAATCCTAGATAACCAGATAGGACATTCATTTTCTGGGGCCTAATCTTCACTGCGTCTCCACACAGGTGAAACTTCTGAAAATGTTCGGTTACATATTTCTTAGAGTGACTAAGGGCAACTATAGGTCGCCAATGTGTCTTTTATCGTGGGCAAAGTGAGGAGTCTTGTTGAAAGTATTGTTTTTTTTATCCTTCCTTACATTATTAAATGAAGTGCGTCCTCATAAATAATATTGCCACCAGCATGAGCCGGAGCCCTACTTGGACCTATTGAGTGATACACATATGTATATTTACCTTGTAATTTTTAGTAATATATTTAGGGATTGCTTAAATAACTGGAGAGTACAACATTGAAATTTATGAAATAACTTTGATATTTATTAAGGTTTTCTAACTACGAGAGTTACTGAGTTATTTGATAATATTAAAAAGAGAAATCATTTTAAAGGTAGAATTATCTACTTAATCCATAAAATCTAAATCCCACGACAAATCTCATATTATTTGTCGAGCTCACATTGATTCTCTGCTCAGGAATATGCACAAGAATTTAATATACCAAACCACACACAGAAAATACAACGAGTAAAAAATTAAAAGCGGATGTATTGAGAGATAAATTATTAAGGTTATCCCTAAGGCCTAAACCCCTAAGTGAAAAACAAAAAAAGAACACATGTTACGTACCTGAAAAACACCATGGGTAAGTTTTTAGAGTTAACATATTTTCACAAAAATTATGAAACATGAATTAAAGTAATTCTTGGTTGAACAATACACGGATATCCTGAGGTGCACTTCTAGCTTCCAAGGTATTTTTCCTGGTTGACTTGTCATACACCTCTTGCAAAAAAAGCTTTCCTTTCCTAACTAAGGAGCCAAATTAAAAACTCATTAAATTTTCACCAAACCTCACGCAGAACAAAGGAAGCAGAGAATTGTTTCGAAGCATTAGTCTCGGAACAAGAAGTGCCCATAATACAAACATTTTCTTCCATCTATGTATAGTTTCTTTTGTAATTCTTTTCTTTTTTTTGTCCTCTGGGGAAACCACCACTCGTAAGAAAGCTCATTGTTGGACGCCTGCATCACAATGTTAGAAATATGGCAAAAACCCACACACTCATGTTTACCAAATCAAAAACGGCCTCTATAGAGACCGATGTGAATCGCGCAGTGCACACCTCATCACGCAAGATATGAATAGTTAAATATGATTTCTAACCATACAATTGGAGAGACTAACTAAAAAAATTTGACACACCACGGCTCGGTTCCGATACTGTGAAAATTAAAAATTAGAAATTTCAAGAAGTATAATTTATCATCACTATTGGAAGTCCCGAATCCTCTATCCCTTGAAATATTATAAGCCCGACCCTTGCATTCAAAAGGAGGACCATCACAAACAAGAACAACCAACAGGACGGTCGCTACTGAAGAGGACGGGATCCAATATCGTTAATAAGAACCTGATGCACGATACTGTTACAACAAAGTTCTAACTAACTATCTTTAAGAATTATATTATTTATGGCTGATTTATTCTTTAGGATCATAGCGGTTATGGCTTGGTGTAACGGATTAAGCAAGTTCTGGCATTCGCCTCCGTTTTTTCTTCAAACTGCGACAATAGAGCCGCGTCCTTAGGTGTCAGATCAATTTTCACACTCGCGAAGTGCAACATCTACGCTGGCTAGAGGAGGCGTCGACTCTTCAGTATTGAGGGCAAATTTTGATCCCCCAAGCAGAGCAAGTGAGGGGATAAGAGTAACTGGGGAATATAATGAAAAGAATATGCTCCTAATATCCTGCGTCCACAGCTCACCTAAGACGAGCTCACCACCTGTCATATCACGTCATATACGGACAACTGCCAACCTTAGCACACAATTTGGATCCTATTCTTTGGTCTCGTACCGCCGTACGCCACACGAATATGCACCCTTACGATCACTTTAACTCTAGGGAGTGTCACATTCAGTCATGCACACTTGACTTGAGAAACAGGTTGTTAGCCGGAAACAACTATTATTATCCAGGTTCCCATATTCGTTTTGCTTACGCCCTCACCACTCCTATTTATCTAATTCATCGTATGCGTGATGCTGGAGGGATTCATCCTCTTTATTACAGTATTCTCATCGCCATCTTATAGTCAGCAACATTATATATTGCAGCATGTTTTCTTAATGGCGCTAACTACTTCACATAATATCCACGCCCAGTTCACTGCAGCTATTTCATAGATATCATTATCAGACTCTTTTAGACAGGTTCTCAACTTTTATTTACTTGAACGGAATCTTTCGGATACACGCCTAAGCGTCAAGACGATCTCACTACGAGTTACTCTACAAGGGAGGCGGCGTTAGGGATTTGGTGGCATTTGAGTGTAATATTGGTTGAATTTTAGGACAACAATCAGCACCCTTCGGCCTCCTTTTTTCTACATCAGTCAGCACATCATCCTTTTACTAGAATGGTTTCCTTGTACCTCTCGTTATCTCTGCAGACTGTAATTTTCCAAATACATGGACAGAGGAGGTAGTCTCGTTTGGTTTCCTTGTACCTCTCGTTATCTCTGCAGACTGTAATTTTCCAAATACATGGACAGAGGAGGTAGTCTCGTTTGGTTTCCTTGTACCTCTCGTTATCTCTGCAGACTGTAATTTTCCAAATACATGGACAGAGGAGGTAGTCTCGTTTGGTTTCTTTGTACCTCTCGTTATCTCTGCGCAGACTGTAATTTTCCAAATACTGACATAACGAAACTAGAATAAATTTATACCTAAACTTTCTTCTATTTCAAAACTCGTGGGTTGCAAGAATAAATGTGCATGGATTTTTGGATCAATGTTTAGTCCCAATGTCTTCACTGCAAACGAACAGTCAAAACTGTACTGATCAAGCTCTACGGCTGGTCGTTTACTTGTAAAGTCTCTTGATTTCCCTAATAAAACGGTAACCGATTTTCTAGTAATTATAAAAAATTCGCATTTTACATTTTATTGTTAGACGTGAAAAAAATGCATAAAAAATAACATATTATGAGTCCCTGGTGACCGCTGATGGATCATCACTGGAGGTCACAAATTATGAGTCCCTGGTGATCGCTGATGGATCATCACTGGAGGTCACCGATCCTCAATTTAAGGAAAAGTATAGTGCAGTTGTCCTGTTTTACAAAATGCAATTAGATTAGCTTTTTTCTGTTTTATTAAATATATTAACTTGTTTTTATATTTTACTTCTATTAAATTATTAGATCATTCTGTTCGATTTTTGCATATTTTCTGTTAAGTAAAGAACAAATTAATATATTTCCTGAAAGACAATGACAGATTAATTCTATTTCACAAATTATGTACCGTAATTTTTTCTTTAATTTATTGCAACTTTTTCTCATATTAAAAATGAGATTTCTATAATTCTAAGAATTTTATATCCTTATAAAATATAAATTTTAATACTTTTTAATTAATTTTTAATATTACAACAAAAAAAGCATAAAAAAAATATTTTCCAAAAATAAATTACTTCCCATAAACAATTAAAGCCTAACACAGAAAAAACAGAAACAAGATACAATGCAGAGCAAAGAACTGTAAAGAGAATAGCTGAGGCCCAAAAAATTGACCTCATATATTTGCTTTCAGCATTGTAATCAGTGAAGGTTTACATAAGCAACACTTATTATCCCTCAACAAACATTGGACTGTCAAGCATACCGTGACAAAAATTGATTCCTCCCATACCATGAATAAAAACAAGCAAAAAGTATCTTTTTCTACAAGAAAACAGGGGAATGGAGGTTATTTGCTTTTTTGAAAGGGAAAAAAAGATATATACTGAACTAAAAACTAATTTTTGAATATAGATCGTCTTTTTTAATGCTGTACAAAACTAATTCACTTGTCTGCCAACAGCCAAAAATTGGAAATAGTCAAAAGGTCTGCTCTATACAAACTTGTATCTATGCCTTCATTTCCTTCTGGTCAGACCAGAAAAAATGCATCAAATTATGCTCCTCAATGCGAAACTAGCGGTGAAACTTCGTTTCAATAATTCTTGGAACAGGGCATAGCGCACGGATTCGAAGGCAAGCAACCCTTTATGCTCTCTATACGCAAAATGCCACAGCATGAGCCGAAGCCTTACTTGGACCTATTGCTTACAAGCATTTTTTTTACCTGAAATGTAGTATTTAAGGAATTGCTAAAAGAATCAACACATGGAATTATGAAATACTGACAATGTCTCCACGAAGAGTTTTGTAATGATAATAAATAGAAATCTAAGTAATTTCATAACTAAATCAAACCAAACATATACATTATAATTGACCAACATTTAAAAAAAAAAAAAAAAGAAAAAAAAGAAAAAGAAAACCAGATAAATAATATTTAGTTCCTAGACTCCCCTAGTGAAAAACAAAAAAAGAAACATGTTACCATCTAGTTAAGGTTAAACATATTTTCAATATGAAACAGAATAAGATGCTGTTGACAATAGAGGAATACCTGTGCATTTGCTTCCAGTTTCCTGGTTGTTTTCACCTTGAACCCTTTTCAAATAAGGAGAAATTAAGTCATCAAATTTCACCAACCAGAGAGCAAGAGCAGATGATGTTTGAGGCATAGTTGGAAAGAATGCAATAATTTCTTCCATAGAAGTATTTGAATCTTGCGGAACATCAAGTTGACACAACCAGTCCTCATTAATTCCAGCAACAAAATCAGCAACAGCCTGCAAAAATAAAATAAAATGTACCATCACAAAATTGACAACCCTCCCCAGTACAGGGCACGAAAAAATAGACCTAGACTCATAGTACTTTGAACAAGATGCAAGCAGAAAAAATCTAAATAATCTGGAATTAAACCTGCAAAAGCTCTGCCAAAGATGATGTTCGTCTGAGCCGTTTGACCCACAACCTATGAGCAGACTTTGTCCAGGCACCCAGCAAAGCATCTTCAGGCATAGCTGACTGTAAGTGATGCCAGAGAAGAGATTGGTGAATAAAAGACAACAATAACAAAATAGGAAAAATAAAATAATACACATGATTTTATTTACATACACCACTCACTACAAGCGCGAAAGCTAACATCTCATTTATAGGAAAACACCATTAGAAGAGACAAGTTTTGGCAGAATTACAGAAGTCTTAACCAAAAATTTATATTGTCTGGACCAAGTCTATAAGAGCACCTGACTAAAAACGTGGCCATCCATCCTCAGCAATCAGTAAGTTACCATTTAGGCAATATTCTTAGAGCCTTCAACAAAAATAGACTACATTAAATAAGTCATCAAGGGCCTTGATTTGTGATTGGTTAATTGTGCTTTAGAAATAGCTTGGCCTCCTTTAACCAAAGGAAATATACATTGCTATCAACTTATCATATTGTGACACTCATGCATACATAAAAGTAAACCATTCCTGCTATTGGTTTGTTATTCTTCAGTGACTATTTATTTTCCTCCACTTTTGAAGCAATCCAGTAATTTAATGCGCCCAAGCACTAGCTAGTTGAAATTTGATAGGCATATCTTATTTTACACGGATTGCTTTCACTCTGAGAAAAACTTCAGCTATTCAAGTGGCTCTGACCATACAAGACAAACTTCAGATATTAATGTACTGAATACTTAATTCAATTTAGAATTTTAAATACTTCCAAGATTATGTTTAAAATATCATATACTCATTTCTTATTTTGATGCTCATACACATGAGAAGATCTCATTCATGTGCTTGTGCACGTACATGGAAGTGATACCCATATCAAATATACACAAGTGGCAAGTATCTATATGCATAAAAGCACAAGTTAAACACATGAAACACAATTACTATCCCTGCCTAAAATATTTCAAGGGTCACCCACCAAAAGCCTTGATCAGGCAAATGCCATTTTCTGTATTGGCTGGGTTCAGGAGGATCCACATGCAGGGGAACTTTTTGATCTTCTTAACAAGACTTAGGAAGATGAAATAAGTCAAACGAGAAAGTGATCTAGAAGTATTTTTTTTCTCCAAGCTTCAAACAAGAATAGTATGCTCAAATCTTTTTTTGTTAATGTCAGAAACTGAAACCGACCTTCATGTTTCACATGTATATACCACAGATGCTCAGCTTGCATATGGACAATAACAAGCATACATATATCAAAAGGGCAATAGAAAGACAGTAATCATTGAGAGCGCACCTCGATTGCATGAACTGCAGCTTTCAGAGATTGCAACTGAGACGACAGAACCTTATGTTTTGGGAACATTTCACTGTCTTCTCTCTCTCTACATGTGGCTGAGTGGATAGCGTATCTTTCTTCAAGATCAAAATCAAGTTCAAATGTCGAATGGCAGATTCGACAATGCTTCTCATCTCTCCAGTACAAATCATTACAAGTTTCACACCTGGTAAGCGATTCAAAATACGATCTTTTACTATGTTTCACGGCATTAAGATCGCAGTAAAAAGAATTCCATATCCATTTATCTAACTCTTGAAGACGGCTCCATTTCCGGTTTTCTTCTTCCTCTTTCTTCCCTGCCTCAAGTATTATTGCACTGCATGAAGGCAAAGAATCTTTAATGGCCCCAGACATGCTTAGGTTGTTGTCTACATCAGACACTGGCGAAGTACTAACTTCTCTAACTATTTCAATTCCAGATTGATCCGATTGCGTTAAGTTACTATTTCCAGCATCATTGGACATGCTACTAGACATCTCTTGGTAGAGAAAAGTTTCCCGCTTCTCCAAAGATTCAATAAGGTGAGCCTCCCGTGCTCCCCTGTCATCCAGTATGGACAACAAGGCACGCAAAGCCTGCAGTTGGTGCGGCATGAAGAAAATGGTAAGTATAAAAAAAAAAAGCACTAAGACATTGACAAAGTATATAAGTTTTTTGTGAAAGTGCAATCTAAAGCTGCAGCATGCAAAAAATTGACAAAGGTTAAACAAGAATACCTCTTCAGTATCAACCACCTCCCAATGACCATCTTCAGAAGATTCAAAATAAACCCTCTTATGGCCTGGATCTTGTGAATTACAAGGGCCTAAGAAAAGCCAATATCTATTGAACCTACGATCAGAACCCAAAAAGATAGATTGCATTGAATGCAAGAATTCTGTCTCTTTCAAGTCTTTCAACTTGCCACAGGATTTCTCCCTTTCATTGAACTTTACAATTAACATAGAAGAATCAATAGGGCGAGATGCTGGTAATGTGTGTTCTTTTGGATCATTCATTTGTCCAGTGTAGACCCAGGACGGCCTGGGCAAATTAAGTTGCTTTGATGATCTCTTTATTTTTCCTCCTGAGCCATAGTGAGGCACACTGGGAGCAGATTCAACAATGGATTTTGTTCCGTCCTGGAGAAGGGAAAAGAGAAAAGCAGAATGAAATATCAATCACTCAAAATCAAATCAAACAATAAAGTGTGCGATAATCTGCTGATCTGTCCTCAACAACAGTGTCTGTAAGATGATAGTGACAATAGTTAAGAAGGATAATCAGAATCAGTGATGCAAATGTGAAGACAATGACACGAGAAATTAAGACAAACAAGGTGATTTAGTTGAACAAGATTGATGCATTAAATGGGGAATTCAAAATCAAATTTACTTTCACAAATCACAATACAGTTTGGCAAACAATAATAGTTTAAAAAAAAAAAAAAAGATCCAATATCCACTTGCAAAAATGACAGTACAAATGGCTGGAAATTTCATCAATAGGTCACCTGATCACTCCTGAAACTGAGCCGAAGAGAAAGCACGATAACAACAATAATCACACATAAGTAAATCCTAAAAAAATCTGAACTGTGCTAAGCTTTTTTTGTATTACCTCCACTCTAACACTGGATCCAGCACTGAGGAGATCAATCAAGGCCACTAGAGCATTCAACTTTTCTTCAATGCTTAAATCTGAATATTCACCTTCCATAAGTCCTAGCAACCATACCTCTCCTGGTTGACTCTCATCAATTTCATTGTGAACAGTCAGCATGTCATTTTTAATTATTTTACAGTTAGCATGTTTAAATTTTCTTGAATTGGAATTATCTGATTCACACTCAGAATCACCGCTGCTACAAGTTCCGTTATCATTGAAGTCATCATGAACACACCCAGAATCCTCAGTATCAGATTCAAAATCACTGGTCTCCTTTGAAAGAGTACTGATGCGCAGACGATACGCAGACGGTGAGATCTTTTCAAATAAAGTAATATCACTTGAGAGAGTAGAACTTATTAGAAGTTCCAGTTCCTCAGTTGTGCTACCAAGATTTAATTCAGAAATCTTCAAAACAAAACAGAAATTCATTGTTACAAATGATTGGAAACTGAGCATGCATTCAGAGCCAATAATAATAACAAAAAAGATAACAAAATAATAGTCTAGCAGAATTTCTCCTATTCGCTAACTTACCTGCAACGAATTTGCTAGTTCAGAAACCTTCAACCCATTATTTCCTCTCTCTAACAAGAGTTTAAACAATTCACCCTTCAAAGTTCCAGGACGGAGGCCATACTTCACCATGAGGGTCATTTCCTGAAAGAAAAACGTTAGGTCCCTTTCTGTGCTTCATTTTTCTTATAATTGTTGCATATAAAAGTGATAGCATAAGAAATTACTACATAATATTGAAATTTAAATAAGAAGAAGATATTGCAATCCAATTAAATGGTACCTTGCTAAGGGCTTCCCTATGCAATGCTCCTTGCCTTGAACCAAAACCAGCTGCAACCAGGATCTGGCGCAGTATCTCTGTCCATGTGAGAGGGTTGAGAGACTTCTTCCAAAAATCGACAATATATGTTTGATCTTCAACCTGCCAAAGAAAATATCAATAATCATACAAAAATGCAACAGTTTCTTAGTATGATTACAAGAAAGTGGAGATTGCGCTTTTGTAACCCCCAAGATTTTATTTTAGAAAAAGGAAGAAAGTTACCCTTTAAAACAAAAGGAAATGGAAAAGTATATTCAACCCACAGAGTACATGAATATTCTTAATTTCACCACAATATTCATAATGAAATCATATATTAGACAAGGAGGGTTTCGATAGGTCTGCCAACAGGGAATTGTTGGGATGTTCAGAATAAAAAACAATTTCCACTCATTAATTAAGTGCGAACATAGTATTGTGCACACATTATGAATTAAATAAGAAGCTACGAAAAATAAGCACCCGAAGGTGAAATCATCACTTTTAACTTCAATACATGAGATTTTTAAAGAGTCTGAACTTCCAAGGTGTTAGATTCCCATACTTGCAAAGAATACCCAGACCTGTTAGGTTACGTCTATTCTAGAATTCCAGTGTTTATGTGCAAACTTCCATCACAGAAACAGTAGGACCCTCAAAATCTCTCAACTTTCAAATGCATTGAAGTCGGTTTTACAACTTAGAAACAATATTTTAAACAGAGAAAATTAATACATGTCAATACATTATACATATTAGCAATTTTGAGTGTTCATCTATACTTTTTGGTAATTAACTGCTTTGCAAGATTTATAAAGATAGCAATTTGCCTTCTACTGTCATTTACTGGTGCCAGATTTACCAGTATGAAAACAAACGAAATTTCAAATTCTGGACTGATTTCCCTATATACATAAATTTGCAGTCAAATAGACAGCAATAAATAAATAACTTGTTGCAGAAAGTTGTCTATCAAAACTACCATGTGCTGCGTCAAATACATGAAACTTCAAATAGATAGCATATCTCACTAAAAACACATCAAAAGTTTAGGCAACTAGTTCTAGTTGTCCTTTTTCTACAATCTCAGTATCTCACAAAAACTACCATCCAGATTCAGAATCTCATGAAACTTCGAATTGCCAAATAGAAGCATATAAAGGTATTGATGGATTCTTTTTTTAATAAGAAAAATAAAGGAAGAAGCATTTGTTATTTTTGTCCAATAAAGTAACTTGAAGTCATACCCTAAAAAATAGTAAGAAAGTACATAAATTTATTAGATCTATAATATTCTCCTTTTCTTTGTTCTTTTTGGCTTGGAAAAGATGACTGCTTTAAATTGACAATAACCTCTTAAATTTAACAAGTTGCATCTGCACTCAAACAAAACAATAAAGACAAGATCATAGAGCATCTAAATGTAGCAAAATCCCATTTCGTACTTCACAAACCTATAACAACTAAAAATCACAGAAAGGAAAGCCATCGTAAGCTAAATTTATGTTAATGGCTTACAGCTGCAGAGTCATATGCTCACCGAATGAAGAAGTGCAAGAAACTTGCAAGATATACTCAAATGAGGCAGAAATCCATTACTAATCTCAGTTTCAACATCAGATAATAGAAGTTTCAGAAGGGCCACATGGATTTTTCCAAGTAACAAAGAATCCTGAAAGAAACATACACAAAGATTAATTCAAAACTGCCACCTAAAAATTAGCAGTAAGGAACTTAACTAAAATATAAGAGAATTAAAAAATATGTACTGAGAATTAACCTTATCATGGAATGCTTGAGCAAACTCATCAAGAGTGAAGGAGTAAATATCAATGGCAACGGAATAAGTATAAAGAAAATGAAAAACCTGCAAACAGCATGCCAACCTAACTTCAGTGACATAATTTAAAAATCTTTAAGAGAATGAGAAAAGGGGGAAATTAGAACGAACAAAAGGAACAGAAAACTGAATAGCATTCTTTTTGATCCCATTAAACTGAATAACGTTCTCTTGAATCCTGTCTTAAACTCAATAACATTCTCTAGGATCCCACCTTAATATAGAGAATATGTAGCAGCAAAAGGCATAACATTGAATTTTCTAGATCATATTTGTCTAACAAGAACACAGAGAGTGACCATAACAGTAAAACCAAAGGGTTTATGCACAATAAGAAACATTGAAGTCAGAATCAGACCACAATATTGTAAAAAAAATTGGTGTCAGCCGCTATATCTTAACATAATAATAATTTTTTTTTTTTTTTTAAATGATGAACTCATTAAGCATAGAAAACAAATTAGAAGTCAAGTTACCTAATCAGAGTTTAGTCAAATATGATCCTTAAAGCAGCTATAACGCATCTATTAATAGGCATGGTAAAAGTGGCTTCTGGGGAGAATATGCAATTTCAAAATAAAAAAAAGAACTCTCAGCAAAAGAAGTTATCTTTTACATATGATGCATATTGCAGTATGCAGTGAATAGTTAATCATGTTTCATGCACCTTAAACAGTTTCTTCACAGTCTCTGGAGAGGAATCCCAAGGCTGCTTCGCAAATGGTTGCTTCATACGAACAGAATTTGGAGGAAATTTTGGCAGCAAATCTGAAAAACCATCAATTTAGAGTTGAAGAACTCAATAAACTTTATGTACAATAAAATGCAGATAAAATTGTTCAAGCATCACAGACACATATAAGAAAAAACTTACCTTTGCAAAGGGAACAACCGTGCAGTCCATTGGAAGCACAATGATCTGAACATGTAATTGGATTTGGTCCAGCTTGTAACTCCCTCAACTCCAGCTCTTCATCATCCACTAGCATTGCAAATTGATTCACTTGTTCCGGAGATATTACTCCTTCCAGAGCAAGTTCGCATTTTTCCTTGCGAGGCTGCTTCTGGAATTCATCTCTTTTAGATTCCACCTGCAAATAAGAGGCAAGTTGATGTCACATCAAAAGCAAACATAAACTGCACCAATAAAACAATAGAACTATCAATACCTCTCTCCTTTTAACAGCAGGCTTCTTCTTATGGTTTGATTTATTTTCCAACCTTCTCTGTTTCTGAAAATATAACACAGTGAGCACGTTTGTTCTGACCCATCAGACCAGTTGATATTTACCCAAGGATAACATACATGTCAAATAGTCATCAAGAGGAACCAAAAAAAAAAAAGGAACACATAATGGACTAACCATTAAAGATACTAGCTGCTGTCTCTTTTTTTTCTTATGTAAAGGTTTTCGTGATACAGAGATTGATATTTGTGGTACTATTTCTCTATCAGCAAAATGAACTCCTGGAGGAAAATCTCCACTGTTCGGATTTGTGGCCCGCCAAACTGTCATCAAGCCCTTCCCAATACCATGTTTCATCACCGGAGCACTATTACTGTTATCTTGATAATTCAAGATGCCCTGCTTGGGTACCTTAAATCAAAGATTATATACATGAAATCATCAGAAACAATGTCCTAAGGTAGAAAGGTTTCCATAACAATTTGACAATATTCTGCTTCCAGTACCTTTCTCCTTTTGTTTGCTCTTTGGTTCTCTTGGCAAACATCACCAGAATCTCTGGAATCTAAATGCCCAAGGAGAATATGAGTACCATGGCCATGTAGAGTGATGCAAATTGGAAGAACAAGAAAGAAGTAAAAAAACAGTAAAGGCAGTCACAAAGTTTATTGAAGTTCTCCAAAGATGATGAGAAATGAGACACAAAGCAATTGGACACAGCAACCCAGGGCAAAAGAAACCAATATTTTATGAGTTTATTTTTGCCTCCAACCCTCCCCCCCCCCCAGGGCAAAAAGAAACCCAAATATTTATGAGTTTATGTTGCCTTCCACCCTCCCCCCCCCCCCCGCAAACTTTCCCCTGCCTAACTTTCCGCCTCTCTCTCTCTCTCTCTCTCTCTCTCTCTCTCTCCCCTTCTCTTCCCCCTTCTTTCTCCCAGTCAGATGTGAACAAAAGACAATTTTGGTTCTCTATCACAGCAGGTAAAGTAAAATATCTTAATAAATAGTTATGATTTTAAACAATCAAGAACTCTTAATTTTTTAAACCATAACATATTTTAAATTATGCAAAAAAAAGAACTGACAATTTTTATGAATTTCATACCTTCATCATTCCCAAATGCCCTGGACGGAAGAGAATCAAACTCCGCACCAAGGGGAGGACCATCTTTGCGAAAAATCTTCCTTAATATGTAGTCTGGTGTCAACAAGTCTTGGAGAAGAAACAAATTCTTCTTCCTTTTAGTCTTATAACTCTTGCTTGCAGAACCTGAATATGCATGTTTAATTAATGTGTCCCGCCGTTTATCCTTCTTTCTATTAGTAGTCACAGAGGGTGTTGTAATCAGTATATTTTTACTTTTGTCCCTCCTCCTTTTCTCAACAAACCATCCCTGGACTTGTTTGAATGTCAAGTCTAAGACTGCAGCAAGCTCTTCCATTGCACTATTCGTGGGATACTTCTGCTCTGCTTGACACAACAATACCACCATAGAAAATGAACAACATGCCATTATAATTTTATAATCTTGTTTTAATAGTTCCTACACTCCTATTACAAATGAAAATCTTAATACTTCCACTAATACTTTTTCCCTCTAATCATAAGCCAAAACCAAGGAAATTAAACTTCGATTCTACAAGAAATAAAGAATTTCCCTGGTGAGAAACTTAAATCGCTTCTAGAAAAATTAAGCAGCTGCATTAAAGTTGAAATTAAACCCATAACCAGATGGACCTAAAATGAATCAACTCAATTCGAATTCACCAAAATAAATAAAAAATAATTACTAATTTGACAAAAATATATATATATAGAGAGAGAGAGAGAGAGAAACATAGAGTATGTACCAGCATAGAATTTCTCAAGCGCTTGAAGCTGAAGTGGCGATTTTCTCTTCGTTTCCATTTTGCTGCTTCTCTCCTTCAATTAACTTAATTGCAGTAATTAAATTAATCAAACTGTATTCTCCATAACCTGAAACAAACAAATTATCAATTATTCCACATTTCAAAACAAAAAAAAAAAAAAAAAAAAAAAAAAAAAAAAAAAAAAAAAAAAAAAAAAAAAAAAAAAAAAAAAAAAAAAAAAAAAAAACCCAAAAACAAAATTCAACATCCGAAACGAAAAAAAGGAAAAATGAATTAACAATTCTACCGCCAAATACACCAGTCAGTACTTGAACAATCCAAACAAATTGGAACCCAAACCGATATTATCAAAGTGGTTCAAAAAAAAAAAAAAAAAAAAAAAAAAAAAAAAAAAAGAAACAAAACAAAATTCACATCCGAAACGAAAAAAGGAAAAATGAATTAACAATTCTACCGCCAAAACACCAGTCAGTACTTGAACAATCAAACAAATGGAACCAACCGATATTATCAGTGGTTCGTCCACTGTGACTAAGCAAGATTGAGACCAACAAAGGAATTAGTGAAATTGAGAGTGGGGAGTGCGTGTGAGAGGAAAGTAAAGCACTTACGTAGGTAGAGATTTGTTACAGCAATGATGGAAATGGTAGAGGGCAGGATTAGAAGAGAAGAGAGTGCGAGAGGTTGAAGAAAAGTCAGTAGAGAGATTTTACCAAAGCTGTAGGGTTTTGGGTTTTATCATCATTTTTATACTATCACACTTTTTTGAAAAAAAAATAAATATCTATTGCGGCTCTCTCAGTCTCTCTCAATATCTTCACTTTCAATATACGACGCATATAGACGGTGTCGTACAGAGCGGAAACAGGGTTTTAGAAATAAAGCCCGGCCCAACTAACAGAACCCAATTCCCGCCATTAATGGGTCTCGCATCGTGTCTCGAAAGCTCCCGGTTCTTATTTCTTTCCTGGGGCTGTTCTTCTGTTTGGAGTTTCGCTTTCTAGCAGAAAAATTGCGGAGAAATTAGAGAAGAAAGATGGAGAAGGATTGCACGCTGTCAACTCCGTCACCAAAACGACAATCTATCAAAATCCAATCGCATTTCAATACTTACCCTCTTTGGAAAGACAAGGTTGGAATGATTCATTTGTTGTAATTTCCTTTATTGTTTGGAATTTTACATGTAATTTTCTTTTTAATGGTTTAAGTATAGTTCAGGGAGAATTGTTTCAAAAGGATTCGGGAAGACAGGAATCGCTTGCTTTGGAAAATGAGGTTGCCCACTACTAAATCTCTCCCTGAGAAGGTTTTCTTTCTCGCTTACAATATCTTAACTCCATTGCAGTCATGTTCTGTTTTTACTTGTTTCTTTATGTTTTCTATGTATATTCAGTTGTTCACGTATCCAATCTTTTAAGGTTTATCTGTTATGGGAACTGATTTTATGATCTTGGCATTGAATGAGTAAAACTTTTTGCTTGTATGAAACCTGTGATTTTATTTTTGGAATTAATTAGGTTTAAGCTTGAATTATCAGGAATAGGATTTTATTTAGTTTTATATCTTATTTCGAGGGTTTTTTTTTTTTTTTTGGCCTTTGGTTACTGGTTTTTGTAGTCCTTCATTGAATAATATTTTGTTCATAATTTTTGTGTTTCAGGATTTTATTAAATCTGCTTTCCAGGACATAGTTTCTGAGGAGCTGGAAAGGATGAAACACTCCTCATTAGATGAACATTTGAAAATCCCAACTTCTGCCCCTGATGCAAGTGATATATTATGGGAATATGACGGTCTTCATGATACTTATCAAGGGGAATGTGAAGAGATATTGTTAGAAATGCAACAGATCTTCTATGAGAATATTAGGGCAGATTCAACTAGAAAAGGTAAAAATGTTGCCCCCTAACACATCTTTTGTTTTTGGACCTTTTTTTCCAGTTATGGATTTATTGACCTGCTAAGGAAACAGAAAAATGTATTTATATGATAAATTTGATCACCAAATAGAATTTTGAAAACATTCAGTTATGTATTTTAATGTTTGTGTTCATCACTTTGTAATTTGCAAATGAGAGTTTATTATTGGATCATTGTTTTTGAGCTTAAATGTTTACTCTAGCTCTTTGCAGAACCTGAAAACTATATTGAAACCTGGGAGGATGAAGAAGATGAGTACTTGGCTCGTGCTGTTTATGAGCACATGCAATTGAATGATAAGCAGGTATAATGCCTGCTACTGTAGCATTTGACTAATATTCTCCAACCAAGCGAAAGCGCATAAATTTACATGCCTTGAGATGCATAAATATCTGCATTAATAAGTTTAATTTGGTGATACAGTAAATCAAAATGTGAAAGCTCATTTGAATTTGTTATATCTGCACAAGTGCAGAATATGTTTCAGTTAACATCCAGAATGATCATGTATTAAATCCAAAACTCGTGCAACTTATGTTTCCAATTTCTTGTTTCTTCATGGCTTTAAAATTGTATGTTGAGCTTGTCTACCCAGCTATGAAAACATTACTAAGTGAATACAGCTTCGTAGAACCTGGCTAGGAATTAGGATGGCTGAAGAAAATCTTAATTAAGGGACAAATTAGCTAAATGTATTCCAGGAGCCAATCAAAAGCTCAAAGAATAACATAAGGAAGAATCATGTTTATGTTGACTGCAACAGTCAGTAGGTGGGGAATGGCACATGTAGCACATGGCAAATGCTGAGATAAAGAACTGCCAAACTTTCTATTTTACGTCTGAAAATATCAGATATGTACTTATGTAGCAACATTTTCTTGCATTATCTGCATACAGCATACCTTTTAATTATAAATGAATATATTGCTGCATCCTCCTTGTTTGGAATTTCTTGTTCTATACCTGTTCAATACACCATAGCAGAAAATGTGATATAGTAATTTGAAATTTGTTTAGTTACCACTATCCTCCTTGCCTGTTGAAATAACAATAGCAAAGATTTCTGATTATGATGCTAGGTGCACAAGGAAACCTGGTGTCCCATCTGTAAGCAAGGGCAATTGCAAGAGAGCCATCAACTTATATACTGCAATCTTTGTGAACTTAAACTCAGCAAAGGCGATGAGGTTCTATCCTTGCCTTTCACTTGCATGTAAATCATTCATATTTTGGGAGTCTCTTTAACCACTGTATGTGTTGACTGCATCACATTCTGAGCACAACTTGAACTTTGCCAGTGCCCAATTTTTTACCAAGTTCTTAGTTTTGGCCAGAAGGAAGTTAGGAGTTCAATAATCAGATTTAAATTTTTCGGTAATGGATGATTTTGCCTCACTTTATGCAGACTGAATGAACTTTTCTTCTTTTTGGCACCACTCACTACCATCTAACGTCCCTATGTTTTTTTCCAATTTGATGTGGAATTATAAAAATTAATTGTGGATTTTCCTTTTCTTTTTGGTTGGAAAGAGGGTAGGTTGGTGGGGAGGACGGGATCAAGAAGATTAGAATCGAATGCTTAATGTAACAAATTTGGCAAAACTTTCCTAAATATATCATATACTGTACTGTATTTTTTGTAACCATTGTGGCTTTCATACGATTGCCATTCAAATTCAACTAATATGACTGTTAATACTAATAGTATGAGCCTTCTTCACACATAACATGTCAATGTTTACTGAGAAATCTACTAATAACTCTGCAGGAAATCAGTTTAGCTGGGCTGACCTTGCGGTGTTAAGTTTATAAAGCTGAGTTTTGTAGATGAATTGTTAGTAAATTTCCTGGTCAGTTTTGTTCTATCATATGTAGGAGCTCACAATGTCAGTTTTAACAGTTATATCAGCTTACTTTAGATGACAATCATACAAAACACACAATTATTATGAAAAATAAAAAATACAAGATATTAATTGATAAAATTAAAAGAATTGACCAAATTGTAAAGTGTCAGAATTGAGGATTTTTTTTGTCATTTGGCCTTGCCGTGGTTATCAAACTTTGCGTTTAATTTCATTAAGGTTACATAATTTTAATTTGTCATTTTTTGTTTCAATAGAAGTCACCCACCAGAATCAAGTCATGGAAAATACTAGCATAATACTAAAATTAAGTATTCAAAAAAACCTTATTTATTCTTAATAAACTAATATGGGACTCACTCATCAATTAGCTAGCAAATGGTACCTGCCAAATGAAATAAGCTTAGAAAAATTTTCAACTCTCTATCTTTGTATTTTGTAATGTACTTTTTCCCTTCTCTCTTTTGTTCCTCCATGATCAATATTTTGTCTTTTGTGAAATTTTTTATTTTTGATGTCATGCCACCATTCTAGTTAATGGATTCCGATGGGTGACCCCCAGTTGAGGCAAAAACCAAAGTTTAATGATTAAAAAATGAAAATTTGAAACTGTGATATGTACGAAACTAAGTATAAAACATAGCGACAATATACTCAGTTTTTGTTATATCATGCTATACACCTTTATATTTCTCAATGATTGAATATCTACAATATCTAAATTCTTACTCCACTGTCAATAATTCTTGTTAATTTGGTTTGCAATTTCAGGTTAATTTGGACATCTTGCAGACTCGTCTGGCAGAAGCACACACAGAACATCTTGATCGGGGTTGTGTATCGAAACCCAAGTTTTCTATGGAAAATAGATTTGGTTTAACTGCATTATATATCTCTTGTGAGGTTTGCAAAATATTTGATATTGTACTGTAACTTCTTTTTCTTGTTTTCGAGGCTGAATCAGTTTTGTATGGCTAGCTGTTATAGTTCTACATCAGTTTTTTCAATCTGTGGATCAATGAAAACTTCTATTTATACTGGCAATTTTTTTTTTTTCACATGACACCCAACGTTTATGCTAATGGAAATGCTATCCAGTGGAATTATTTTACCGCTTCAACTATATGTTTAACCCTCTCCCTTTTCTTTGCTCGTCCTTGACGTATGTCCAATAACCCAAATATATTACTACAATTTTTATACAATCTTCAGCGTTATAAAGAAATGCTATTACAGCTTACTTAGCCTTGAGTTCATTATGGTTTAAAGTTTAAACGTTTAGATTTGGGGCTCCAGACCTTCAGTAGTAAAGAGCTTCCGTGGCTAAAAACATAGAGAGATTAGGATTTGTGTTTTGGAGAAATGAAGTACTGGAAAGAGATGAGGAGCTAGGATGGCGGCCATGTAAATATATCAGCTAGAGGCTAGGGCTGGAGAGCAGAGAGATAATTCCAAGTCAGCATTAGTTAAGTAGCCTGCATACCAGCTAAGCAACTTGGCTAAAATTTGGATGAAAAAGAAAATTAAAAAAAGGACAGTAACTTGTCTAAAATAAATTGATCTTTTTCTTATCAAAACTTGAAAATTTGGTGATCTCCAATGTCACCTGGAAAAGAATATATTAAGTATGAAACGTACATATCAGAGTATAATCAGCCCAACAATCATACAAAGCCAATAAGGTCATTTTGACATCAACAAACATATACTGTATTCCACTCGAAATATCATATGCTCTACCACCAAAAAGAAAAATACCCCACAGAAAAAATTACACATATATTATATATAATTATAGGAAAGAATTAACACAAAAAAAAAAAAAAAAAAAAAAAAAGAATTAACACAAAAAAAAAAAAAAAAAAAAACCCTCCTTATCTAATGCAAATGGGTATGCTTGAATGAATATCTACACAGAGAGCAATTCCAGCTTTCAGGTAACATAAAAAAAAAAAAAAAAAAAAAAAACCCTCCTTATCTAATGCAAATGGGTATGCTGAATGATACTCTACACAGAGAAGCAATTCCAGCTTTCAGGTAACATACGCCAGAGGAACATCATTTTACAGGAGACTGCTTCACCCTTTAGGCATCTCAAAAGCTACAAATGTCTCCTATGCGCAATTCTATCAATGCAAGAATACATTTGCTGGAATAGTTGCGCATTTCCACTCCCCATGAATTGTGTAATTGCCAAATCAAGTTTTTCTAAGTGTAAAATATTCACCATAGTAATTCAAAATAACTCCTCAGAATTGAATTTGTTCCACGCTTCCTATTTCAACATGAGAAACATAAAATGAGAGCCAGCCAACAAGTCCAAGCAAGCTATTACTGTAAAATTCTGAAGGTAACATAGAGTTTGGAACAATGAATAAGCAAATCTTTATGTTTGAATTAAATGTAGAACTCATTGTGAATATACTCTAGTCTTTAAGTGTGAAGTTCATCTGGAATTCTATCAATTTTAGTGCAATTTGACTCAACTATATCCATACTCATAAAATTAAAAATATAAAAAATCAAATGAATTTTTATGCATACCAAACAACTTACTTGCGAACTTAAAACTCCCTTAAAATTTTATGGAATTCATGTTGTATACCAAACAAGCTAAATTTCCTTTATGGAATCAAGATTGAAAAATTACCTTCAACAAGTCAAACACCTTCTCAGCAACATATTTTTGTTGAAGATTGGCGCCTTTTTGCTGCACTTTATCAGGATGGATGCATAAAGTTGCCTTCCGATAAACTTTTTTAACAGAAGCAGCAGTTATCAAATCGGTCAATGAAACAGGCTGCCAACCGCATTCAGGCCATAGCACCTGGTCATAGTTCAATAGATTTTAGAAAAATGTAATTTAGAATTAAACACAAAATGGAAATTTTTTAGAAAAGGTTTATCTTAACAATAATACTGAAAAAAAAAAAAATTAAGTGAATATTTATTAACATTAAATGTTTCCATATTCTTACATAAAGTGGTACTCATCGACGGGAAGTTTAAAGTTTTAAAGAATGTAATTTAATGCCAAAACAGCAATGCATTCCCAGCACAAATGAGAGAGAGAGAGAGAGAAACATACAACAAATAGAGAAGCGTAGAGAGATTTAACATAGCAGAACAAAGATGAATGGAAGTTCAATAACCAAAGAATTATCCATACGATTTCAATATTCTAATGCATACAACGGTTTAGCATTTGACTTTCTTAAGATGACTTATCTCCTAGAAGGCAGGTATCTCAAGCGTACAGCTAGATGAAATAGAAATTCCAAACTGAAAAGAGTCTACATTATGAGACTCTTGCAGTAACCTAGCTTGCTATGATATGATGACCTTACTAATATTTGAAAAGAAAACAACTATGAATTAAGTTCTGGTTCTTATCGAGAAGGTTTTAACAGAAATGATAAATCCAGGAATATGATTGTCACAGTTAATGATCCAATTAATGTCTATTTTAATCTCTGTTCATCTCAAAACTTTGCAAAATAGACATGGATTTAAATACCTAAATGATAATTTTCAGATGATATTGCAATATTGATAAGCCAGATACCATGTGATAATCCATTGTAATTTGTAATAAAGGATACATCTAAAAGCCTAAAAGCCGATAATTAACAATCATTCAGTTTATCAATCGAATACAGCAGATAATAGAATATATATAAAAATGAAACGCACATATTGCAATGTTGATAACAGAGCACGTAAATTCCCCTCTTTTCCTGCAGCCCAACGCTTGATCTCAACATCTAGTGTTTCAGCAATTCTCTGAAATCAGCAAAGATCAATATAAGCATCATCTGGAAAAAGATAAAAACTGAATATGACCAAAGGACTATTTCCATGTCAATAACCCACAGAAAAGGAAAGTGCAAAAAATATCCAACTAAATTATCTTTTATGCACTTGAAACCTATGGAAAAACATAAGTACTTGACATCAAAAAAGAAAAATTGTTAGTCAGATAACTTGTTAACTTGAAAGAATGGCCATTAGCATGAAGATTATCAGGTTGATCTGAAAAAAATATCCCATTTCATAGATATGACACTTAATAGATAAAGCAACAAATAAAAGGAGCACAAGTGGATAGTGCATAATTCGTAAATGGCGTTATGGGAAAAGGTAAAAAGAGATACACATGCCACTCCTTTTGGTAATTTTGTGGATAACATGGGAGAAAGAAACTTGAGGCTCCAGATATATAGAAACAAACTAGTAAAAATGTAGAGTTAGTGCTTGAATCTGACTCCAATTTCGGATGATTGGAAATTTCTTACAAGATTACATAGATATTGTCAATTTTGTAGATAGCCTTTTGCTGAGATCCTTATATCATACACCATAGCTACATAATCCACATACCCCCTCCCACCCATGAGGCACCACAATCCCAGACGTATTTCCCAAATTGTGGTAATACAGTCATGTCATGAAATACTCATAGGAAATTTAAGAGAAAAAAAAAATGTAACAAACATATCATAATCCAAATTAGTGTACCAACTATGCTGTTAAGCAGTGTAAGAGAACTCAGCCCTAAAGCTAGTGTTGGAAAAAGAAAATGTAATAAACAAATCATAATTCAAATTGGTGTACCATCTTAAGCTGTTAAGAACTGTAGGAGAACTCAGCCCTAAAGCTAGCTGTTGAAGGAGCGCGAGCAAGGCCTTATCCACCCCTATCAAATTCCCATTTATTATATGGGACACTAGTCATAACATGAGCCTATCCTGAATCCCATATAGTTGTGGCATACCCTGTCCCTGTCCCGAGACCCAAAATGTACATTCTAGGTAACTAAGTGTATACTCTCAATGAATGTGTCTTTTCAAGTATAAATTTTACTTATTAAAGGAAACAACTCATAGCTAAATGCAATACCACCATACATTTGGTCTATGAAACTCTAAGCTAAAGGTAGGTAGTTAGGATAGTCTTACTCCCAAACACCTCTGTTTTTCTTTTTTCTTAGAGCAAAGTGTTCATAGAAGAATCCAAACAGGTAGAATAGCAGCTATCCTAATAAATTCACAGCATAACTTACATGTCTCTCTGCCTGTTCCCTCTGCGCTTGAAGGTCTCGTTGGTTCTTCTCAGCCAGTGCTTTTGCCTGAACAACCAGTGTTTATAATTAAAAGAAGATGAGCAAATGTGAGCATAGATAAACAAGAACAGGGCAAAACTCTAAAATCAATATAAAAGAACATACCGCACGCTCCTGAGTCCTTTGATGGCGTTCCAACCTAGCTCTTCGCCTCTCTTCGGTTTCCCCTTCAACCTCTTGGAATTCTCCAGATGTTCCAGTAGCTTTTGTAAGCAAAAGAAGTTAAGTTAACCTACAAAATAAAATTATACGATCCTAAACAATCATTTTAATATAAACGTATTTACCTCCAAAAATTGATGATAGATCATCAACAATATTTGCAGTTGAAGACGCTTTCTTCATGCTAGATGTTGCTCCCACAGATGTCCTTCTGGCAGCTTCAGACCCTCCCTTAGTTTGGGTATCAAAGAAAGGATCCTACATTATAGATTGACGAATTAACCCACTTATATTACAGGCAATCAGTGGATAACACAAACATTAATAAGCATTGATTCTAACCGATGTGTTAGCTCTAGGCCTTGGTGCGCTACTTGGTCGGGAGCTAAAGAATGATTCGAGATCATTTTCATTCTTTTGTTGGTTTGCCCTTGCTGCAGCAGCCGCCCTTTCCCGAGCTTCTGCTGCAGCCCTTTCAACAGCAGCTCGCTCAGCTCTCTGTCGAGCATCAGCTTCAGCCCTTGAAACAGCAGCTCTCTCCCTTGCTTCTGCAGCAGCCTTTTCTGCTCTTTCTTTTGCATCTGCTGCTGCTCTTTCACGGGCTTCAGCTTGTGCTCTCTGAACTGCAGCCCTTTCTGCTCTCTCTCGAGCTTCAGCAGCTGCCTTTTCTACAGCAGCCCTTTCAGCTTTTAGGCGTGCTTCAGCAGCTGCTCTTTCACGTGCCTCTCTAGTTGCCCTCTCTACTGCTTGTCTTGCCTTTTCTCTTTCCCTCTCCATCTCCCTTGCTCGCTCACGCTCCCTCTCAAGCCTCCTCTGCTCCCTTTCTTTCTCCTCTCTTTCCCTCTCAATTTCACGAGCTCTCTCCCTCTCTTTCTCAAGTCTCCTCTGTTCTCTATCTTCCTCCTCCCTTTCCCTTTGTTGTCTCTCGCGATCCAACCTCTCTTGCCTTTCCCTTATTTCTCTCTGCTGAGCTTCTTGCATATCTTTATCTTGTTGACCACCTTCTCTACTTCTGGCAGTCTTTAGATAATCCCTCTCTCTCATTTGCCTGAATTTGGCCTCTGCTTTATCCATGGCCTCCTTCATGGCAGCAGCAGATGCAGCAGCAGAAGATGCATTTGCTTCCACATCATTTCCAAATAGAACATCAGCATGTTCATTAACATTGTTCTGCGCTCTACCCATAGCAAAATCTTCAAGTTCATCCATTTGAGAAGCTGCTGAGCTCCTTGCTGCCCGAGATGACACGGGGCTTTGAGAATATGAGGTGGAATTTGAGACAGAATATTCGTTAACCTTCTTTCTTGCATTTGAAGTCCGAGGTGGTCTAGGAGGTGGGGGCCTAGAAGGGGGAGGAGCACTTGTAGGTTGTGTGTAAAGAGGAACTTCAGATACAGTAAGCCATATATCATCAGGTGAGTCTGAAACTTCCTCAGATCTTGGAGGTGAATTTGCATCATTAGGAACAGCATTCACGTATGAAGGAGAGGACACATTTTGACCAACAGATCTTTGAAAATCCGTAGTAGAAGGCATTCCAAAGAAGGTTTCATGAGATTCCTGGAAATCATCATTAGGCATCTTCTTCTGTGAATAGCCTTCAACCTCATCCACAGGATATTTGTCAACTGGTTCTTTACTGGCAGGAGAATAGGTGTCACTCATGTTTGGTCCAGTTCTTAAAGGACTTCTATCTTTTGCTCTCCTGTTTATTCCAGGAGAAACTGGTGGAACAGATTTTCCAAGATTATCAAAAGAGTCTACATCATCAAACACTCCCCTATTAACTGATGCATTATCAACCTTGGTGCTTCCAGAGCTACTTAATTTATTAATTTCTTCCAATGGATCTTCATACAACCCTGAGGATGAAGCTGCAGGGATTGAATTAGACTCTAAGACTACAAATGGATCCTCCATCATGCTGGAGGCTGTCCTGGCTGAATTTGCAGATGGTTTCTGGGAACGAGTGGGCTCCGATGTTGACCTGGGCATAGCAGTGTGCAATTTAATTCAACTTATTTATCTCATGAACAAAAGCCACAAAGAAGTCTGATCAATCAACAAATCCAATGGAAATAAAATTGCAAAAGCATATAAAGTTTTCTTATTAAAAATAACTAATGTCCTACACAATGCCACATGCTTTCTTTTCCCGAAGCAACGCAATTGCTAGAACCAGTAGCTTTAAAAAGAATTTGCATTAAAAAGGGAAGAGGGGCGAAACAAAAGAAAACAAAAGGCAATAGAGGCATTTTGGTCTGTTAAAATTGTTGATACACAAATATCATTACCACATCATGTTTGCTTGTAAACCATAATCACTAAAATGAAATTAAATGTTTATTCACACGGAACTACAAAGAGAAAATAACGAGAACAAAAATTTCAGTGCATTAGCAACTGGCTGAATCAGAAGCCATAACTTTGGGCATCTCAAACATAGTACATACAAGGTTCAAGAATAATTTATTAGATTAAAAATAAAATCACTCAATGACAATTATTTAAATTGATTCCCATAGCATACCCTGAAAAAAGAATCAGAAAGCAACCAGGTCCCAAAAATCAATATTCAACTTGTTAGGGTTTAGTTTTCAGTATACTAGCTAATGCTGTTAAATATTATTCATACTATATACAACCAATTTATAGTTCAATTCTATAGATGCTAACTTTGGCATAGACAACCTGTCACTACCCATCTTTTCTTCTTTTTTATCAGTTCCAAACTAAAAATGATTCCTCACAAATTTTTAGTAACTTCGAGCTCATTCCAGTTGATATGTTGCAACCAAGGGGTACTTACAGAATGAAAACATAAAAGATAGATTCAGAATAGAAAGCAAAATCCCATTTAAACACACTCAAAATTATATCAAGTTCACTATTCTAACCAGATCAACTTGGTTACTTCACGATTTACACAATTCCAAGCACTCCAGTAGACAACTAAGATATTCAAGGTCTGAAGCATGTATTCAATACAAGCCTACGATGTCTGATAAAAGAATACACAAGATGATCCATGATATCTTAAAAGTTAAACATGGAAACCACATGTAACATAATAAATTTGTACAATACATAATTGCAGTATATTCTATTCCGTCAAAATTCAAATACTGGCATTAATTCAGAAAACCGTATAAACGTTTATGACCTTCTAAATTCTAATAACAAAACAATGTTACTTAAAACTAAAATGTAAGTAAAACTGCAAAAGTTTGACTTATGCAATTTGTATAAGCCAATAATTACAATCAAATTGTTCTAGTTAATCAAGAAGCCTATGTGCATATTTATACAATAATGTAAAACGAAAAAATTAAAATAAATAAAATAAAACAAATGATCTTAGCATAACTAACTAAAAGGTGTTAACAGAAAATGTCGATCAATAGCAAAACAATTGAGCATAACCACCTTGATTTACTAATCCAACAATGGAAGCCTAAAATCAAATACCTGCTAATACTTGGGGAGCTACTGCGACCAAAACCAGGAAGCAAATCATCAAAAACAGCTGAATCGTTCTCCACTTTGGCAGTCTCTCTCTTGGACTCAGTCTCCTTTTTACCTAAAGTCCCCAGAAGATCATCAAATGGCGAACTATTGTTTTGGGACTTGTGCTTAGGCGAAGGAGGAGTCCCGATCGAAGCAAACACATTTTCGAACTTAGCAGATTGTGGACCCGTCGATGCACTCTTCAGCCCAGGCAATCCATCGAAAATATCGTCATCATAAACTGGCTTATCAAAAACCGGCATCGAGGCCGATTTCGCGTTCTGGTCCTTAAAAATGGAGTCATAATCAAATGTAGAAGACGAAGAGTTAGTTCCTCCGCTTCCGCTTGCTCCTCCGCCGCCACCTCGCGATTCCGTATACTTAGGTGGTCCACCAAAGACATCGTTGAACAAGAAGCCATCACTAGGGCTACGATCGTGATCATCGAAAACAGGAGCAGATTTGCTAGAAGCGGAGGAAGATCGGGAATGGACAGGAGCAGCACCGGATCCAAGACCAAAATTGACAGAGGAGAAGCTAGTAGTAGTGTTGTTATTGCGAGGTGGAGCCATAGGGGCGGATTTACCTTGGGGTTTGTACCCGAAGTCCCGGGCTAAAAGACCAGGAAAATCATCCATAGATTTCCAAAATTTTAGAACGTTATCGGCGATGGATCTGCAAAGCCGCTTAGCAGTGGCAGCGGTGGTGGTGGCTAGGGAATTTGAAAATCTTTAGATCTAAAGAAGATAAAAGGACTAAATGATAGAGGAAAACATGGAAAACACGGACACGGAGGAGACGAGAGGTGTTTGAGGTTGGGGGTGGATGGTAGAAAGAGAACCCAAATTAGAGGGTGAAGAGTCAATTATCGTAAAAATAAGGTGTGAAAATGGATTCCCCAAAAAAGTTAAAATAAAATAATGAACTGACAACAGCTATGGAGGAAAATTTTTTATTTTTTCCTTTTTTTTTTTTTTTAAATGGAGAAGGAGAGAGGATCAAATCTTAATTGGGTTTTTTCTCAACTGTTTCTTTCTTCCTCTTCTTCGTCCTCTCTCTCTGTCTGTGTTTTTCTGCCCGACTGAGTCCCCAATTTCTTTTTTTTTTATTTTGTTCTTTTCTTTCTCTTTTTTTTTTTTTTTTTTAAATGGAGAAGGAGAGAGGATTAAAATCTTTAATTGGGTTTTTTCTCAACTGTTTCTTTCTTCCTCTTCTTCGTCCTCTCTCTCTGTCCTGTGTTTTTTCTGCCGACTGATCCCAATTTTCTTTTTTTTTTATTTGTCTTTTTCTTTCTCTTTTTTTTTTTTTTTTTTTTCCTTTCACGCTGTTTTTTGTGTTCTTTTACCGTTTAATTTTTTTTTTTTTTTTTCCTTTTTCACGCTGTTTTGTGTTCTTTTACCGTTTAAGGCCCGCCAGATTGTTGTAATTTGACATTGAACACCAAAATTTGAAATTATTAAAAAATGTACCTCGTAACATAAGAATCTTTCGCTTTACTTTGTGAGATATCATAAAATATAATACAATATGATCAACAAATATATCTACTATGAACATAGTAAAAAAAATTGTATTACATTTTATTATGATTACAAGACAAAGCTTAATACATACAAAGGAAAATTGTCTTGAGACCATAGCAAATTAAATATCATTCCAACTTTCTAGCATAGGATATAAAAATATCTTAATTTTTTATTTTGTTTCGCTAAATTGAATCTTTAATCTTAGAGATTATTCGCTCAATTAAAAAATATCACTATTAATTCCCTTTTTCTTATTTCTTTTAGCTTTGAAGTTTTAAATTTTGATTTTAAGATAATCCCACTTGAATGTCGTTGATGAAAAAGACGATGCAACATAATTAAGAGTCTTAAAATCCTAATTTGTGTGATAATATGAAAATCCATAGTTAAGATTAATTCGCATATAAGAAAATTTGGAAAGGTAAAATTGGACCCTAAATTTGGACTGGACTGCAAGGTTTGATTCCAACAAAGGAGGATTAAAATAGAACAACAAAAAAATCATAGCCGTTTAGTTTACGTTTGTATGTTACGATAAAAATAATTATTCTCATGTGATGTCAAAAGCAAAAAAAAAAATCTATAGCCTATTTGTTTCTGTTCAATCACTTTTTTTTTTTTTTAATGAATGCAAATTTGGAAAAACAAAATATCGTTTTTTTATTATTTTGAAATGATAAAATAGATCTATTTATTTGCAAAAACAATATTTACCTTGGGGATACATGTGGTTAACTAAAATAAATTTACTTGGGAATATAAGTGGTTAACTAAAATAAAAAATAACTGCTAGAGAGGAAAAACATTATAGAAATTATGGAATCCATTTATGCAATTTTGTTTACCCACACGGTTGGTATGTTATTCTATGTAGAATCTATGGTTAATACTATATAATTTCCGTAGAATTTGCAATTATTTTGATTTTTAATTTTTGATTCATCGGAAGATTTAACGGCTCGAAAGAATATTACGGCAAGATAGTAAGAGGTAACCCTCTTCTTCATTTACTAAGGTTAGGTTATGTTTGACAATAATTTTTTAAGTAATTTTTATAATGTTCGGTAGTATAGGGTTTGACTTAACTTTTCAATGTTAAATAACATTTTATGAAAAGTTAAAATATGTTCAATCAGCTAATAGTTTTTTAGTGTTTCGTGAAAAACTATTAAAATAACTAACAACTACCTAAACAGTTAATTTTACCAAACAGACATCAAATTTGTGAAAACTCTTGTATTCAAGATGTTCAAACCTAAGATCTTTCATTCTTCATATAAATAAAAAGACCAACCAAACCACACACTTGATTGGCTATTTTTATTTGATTTTATATTTTTTTTTTTCAAAATCTTCATACTTCTCATTTTTCCTTGGTGTTGAATTAAGATATTCTTATTAATTTGTATCATATTATAAATCTCTTCTACCTACTCAAGATTCAAACTTGAAATCTACGTGATCATTCGAATATTCCCTTGAAGTAGAGGTAGAATTAAAATTTAAATATTATAGGTAAAATAGAAAGAATTTAGGGCAAAGACGAATTGAATTTTGAAAATGTTGGACCAATAACCCTAAGCTTTAATGAACCATAATTATTAAAATAAAGAGCAATTTCATTTTTTTTTCAAATAAAAACTTCCTATTTCTGTTTTTTGACAAGCTATCTAAAACAAGAGAAAATGTGAGAAAAAGGAAATGAAAGCGAGGAGGAGAATGCTAGTTTCCACATTGAACAAAGTAGTGAAAACAAGGATGGAGGTAACCCGCACAATTATTGCACATTGATTCACTTTTTGCAATCACCCCAAAATGGGGTGACACGAAGAGAAAATTGAACTTTTCTTATTAGCATACGTATTTGTTATATTTAAACATTTCTTTTACATATTTTTTTCTCAATGATAAAATTATATTTTTTATATTTTACACATTTTTTTTCCTCTATGTTCACTCTTTACTAAACACATGGGAAGAAAGTATCGATCTCTGACCCACATGTTCTATTTTCTCATTTTCACCCTTCTACTCTTCTTCCTCCTACTTTATAACTAAATATTAAAGGTGACCACGTGTCTGTTAAAATTAAAATATCAAATTAAACTTATATAATTTGATATTTTTTAGTTTGATTATGTAGATTAAGCGGTTCGGTTTGATTTGTGATTTTAAATAATTTCGTTTAAGCTTTTAAATTGATTATAAGCTAAATTTACTTAAAAATTAAACCATATTTATTCGATTTGATTCAACTAATTATGCACATAGTTCAATTTTGATTCCCTTAAAAAATATATAATTTCAATATTCATTTTTTTATTTTATTGATTTGTTTCCAACCAAACCAATTACACACGCTATCAATGAGGCTGCACATGGGTCGAGTTTATTGATTTAAAGTATCTGACCCATATGTATTATGGATCAATAATTTTTTGATGCAATTCAATCTATAAAATGTGAAATCCACCAGTTATAAACAGGTTGAGTTGGGTACAGGTTTAACGTAAACTCGTGAGTCAAATAAATGATAATAATAAAAATATTTTAAAATAAAATACATTTATTTAAGAGGATTACTAAAAAAATTAAATATACTTAAAAACTTAATTACACAATAATTTTCACAAACTACAAATATATTTTAATGACAATATTAAAATTAAATTTCTTAACATGATATTTATTATCATCATCATAATCATAATCAATAATGAAAAATTAAATTTCCTAATAAAAAAGACTACCAGTAAAATAAAAAATACTCAGTAATATAACTATATAATATGTTTTAAAGTACAATACACTCCAATAGCAAAGGTAATATTTACCAAATATGTAAATAATTTAGTATTTATATTCAAAATTTTATTTATGAGTTTGGTCGGGTCTACGAGTTTATCTAGTGAACCTATTGTAACACCCCTTCCCAGTCCACCCGATAACCCGAACGAACCGAGTCGAGATGTTACAAACCGGTTGACTTAAATGTTCTGACATGATGATACCATACTAAATGCTGATTATTATATTTACAGATGTTGTTTACATTAATAGTGTACTGAATATTGATATACATGATACAAGTTTTCAAAGTGAAATGGGCCCAACTGTGTGCCTGAAATGGGCCCAACTGTGTGCCCTGTACAAGCCATGAATAGAATAAATAAAAGTTACACATCAAAATAGGGAGCTACCCTGAAGACCGAGTCTTCTACAGATGAACTGCTGCAGTTGTACGCTGACGCTTAAAAGACCAGTCTCAAAACCTGCGAGTTAAACAGGTAAAACAGGTACTCGCTGAGCTATTAAAGCTCAGTGGATTAATCTCAACATAAACAACAATAGTCACACATATAAGCAGAAAAGACTTATGTAAGCAATATACATCAACACATTAAACATGCTGCTTTCATTTCTCACTTCTTAACAAGAGATATCAAACCTTGCGTTCCAAAAAGCTTGGACTCTATTTTAAGCTTCTCTTTTCTGCTACTTTTGAACTTTCTTCTCCTATACACAAGAAGTCTCATAACTCATCTCCAATATAACGAAATTAAAGATTGAATAACATATAACTTCAAGGACTTCTACTTACTTGGAGTTGACTTAATGCGTAACTTGCATGAAAAGTGCAAGGCAATGGAAGGGAAACGTAAGAAGAGAATGAAAAACGTGAAAATGGGGAAAGTGAAAATGATAGGAACGGGTAGACTCTAGAAGAAGGTGATTTGGCTGTGTAAACTCTCTAATTGGTAACCTCACTTATAAGAAAGGGTTTGCAGCTTCATTACCCAAAGGCTATATGTTTTGAGGCAAACAAAGTTCCTAAACTTTCCATGCAAATAAGTCCACTTATCATCCATTCTACCCCAACCAGGTTTGGTTCATTCTACCCCAACCAGGTTTGGTTCAACCCGACTCAACTCAAGAGGATGTTACACCTATGACCCAATCCAATCCGTGAATTATAAAAATGATCCGTGAATCCAACCCATTATATCTCCAAACCTGTCGGGTCGGGTTGAATTGGTTGGGTCGGATTATAATGGGTGATGTCCAGCCTTATCTACCAAACCTAGGGTAGAAGAGTTACTGGATACGCCTACTTGCTAATGGACTAGTTACCCAACTATGTTTCATGTCAACCTGGCCCAAATATAATTGCTCAAATAAGAATTGACAGCCAATGCACTAGAAATGTTTGAGACCCTTTTTCTTCTTGTTTTTTTTTTTTTTTTTTTTAAAAAAAAATTTTAAAAAAAAACAAATTAAACTACACTTACCCATACATATGTTCTTTTTTTTTTAAATTTTTTTAATATACAAGCTTTTCAATCAAAATAATAACAATAATAAAAATTATGGGAAGGAAAATTATTTCACCAACACCATCAATTTTTCTCATAGATATATTTTATTTTCTCTCCTTTCTATTACGGCATAAAAAAAATATTGTTATGAACAGTAATCTATGTATATTGAAATTTTTTTCGTCTTTTTCAATACATTTCTTATATGTTATCCTCCTAAGATACAAAATAATTATGTTCGTTA